AATCGATCAGGAAACCACCAGCCCCAGCACAGGACGACTATTTTATTATGGACAGACCAGAACAAGCCATTATCCTCAGAACAGGACACAACCGATTACGTAACCACATGTACACAAACTTCAAGATAGGTGTATCCGCCATGTGCACCTGTGGAAAGGTGCCCCTGTCAGCAAGGCATGTACTCTAGGACTGCACCGAATTTGACACATTAAGGCAAACCTTTTGGCCAGAAAGAACAACAGTGGAACGTAAACTCCATGGACCACTGAATGAACTAACAACGACAGTGAAATTTTTACAAGAGACAAAACTGCTGATATAGACAACTTATTTCAGACGAACGAAAGAAGAAGGAGAAGTTGACTGTATAATTACCACCATCGTCGTCATCCTGTGACAACGAACACATTACAAAGCCTAGGGCTCGCTCACTGCTCCTCCATTCCTTTCTTGATTGTTCATTTCAGAGATCATCTTCATCGCACATCGGACATGACCATAAGTGCTCCGATTCTCCTCCTGAGTATGTCTCCAAGTTTTTTTAGGCTAACAACTCCCATTCTGTTGTTGATGTAACGACGGGTGGCTTCCGCGTGGTTTTCCTGCTCCAATTGGTACACCAAGGCCGTGACCAAGGGTATGCAGTCTATTTTCAGTGGGGAGAAAAAATCATTTTCACGAAACTGAAAACCTCACTGCGTGTAGTTTCTCGTATGGCATGGATGATGTTCCGTTTCGATCTATCCTATGCTGTTTCGATATCACGGACTGAATCCCGTCCAACGCTTTTGGCTTTTTAAAGCCATGTTGTGTTAGCGTGTCTTTGAGACGAGCTCGTTTTCCTTTTCCTCACGATTCTCTATCCGCTGAATATGAATATGTTCACGCCTTAAAAAATTATCTCAGTCTCTTGTTCGTTCAGTAAAACGTCTGATGATTTGTCCAATACGTATCCGTGTAATTAGCATACCATTGTACTGTGGTGTCATTTTCTCTTCTTCTTTTCTCTACTCCTAGAATTCGTCGTGGCGTTAGGGAAGGAAGACATCTCTGGGATCGGTCCCTTCTGTTCGCTTTGTATAAAGTACTTTTCAGTGTCTCTGATATTTCTGCGGTCCATTTTCTGCGTGGTCCACCTCTGGATCTGTTACCATTGTATCTGTATAACATTGCTCTCTGTGGTGCCCTGTCTGATGCCAATCTTGTTACATGGCCAACCCGATGCCCTGTCTGATGCCAATCTTGTTACATGGCCAACCCGGTGCCTTGTCTGATACCAATCTTGTTACATGGCCAACCCGATGTCTTGTCTGATGTCAGCCTTGTTACATGGCCAAACTACTAGATCTGTTGTCTACCTGTAAAGTTCACTGTTGGTTCTGTGCCGACTCTCCTCCTGATATCATGGTTCCTAAGTCTATCTTTCCTCATTACACCTAGCATAGTACGTAAACATTTTTTTTTCTGTCGTGTTATTTTCCTTCTGTCTTCTGAAGACACTGTCCATGTTTGACTCTGATAGCATAGCGTTGGAAGAATATTGTGTTGAACAGTCACTTATATATATATATATATATATATATATATATATATATATATATATATATATATATATATATATATATATATATGGCACTCTTCCGCCCGGTATTCGGAAGAGTGCCTATATGGCACTCTTCCGAATACCGGAATATGGGGTCGGTATTCGGAAGAGTGCCTATATATATATATATATATATATATATATATATATATATGTGTGTGTGTGTGTGTGTGTGTGTGTGTGTGTGTCATAAAGGGCTCGTAGTCTATTCCGGCATTCTATCCAGTGAAATCACTTCGACTTCATGTATGGAGTCCTGTCCAGCACCTTTAGCCTCTCTCATCGGCGTTCGTTTTAGAGCTTTTTGTGAGCGTCCTCGTCCCATTAATGATTTCATTTCCCATTTTAGTGCATCTTTGCTGATTTTGTATAACACCGTATTTAACATATTGGGCGTCTTTGCCACGAGATATGAAGATAAGTGATATTGTGTATTTGTATAGTATTGCCTATTCTATGTGTGTGCTGAAAAAGGCTCCATAGCCGCAACGATCACGTTTTGTTTGTGTTTGTTATGTGGTGAAGCTCGCTAAAATACTTTTCGTTCGGTTTTAAAATCTTTCCTGGGCGTCTAATAGCAACGGTGTCTATGTCATGTGATCAGGTAGAGAACCAATCAGTGACACGTTTCTAATGCAAACAAACATGGAGTCTGCAGGCAGCTTTTGTGTTGAAGAGAAATATACCCCGCCGTGTACAGGCGCTGCAGACATACGAGTAAGTTTTATGTATTGTAAGAAGCTAAGCAAGTTAAAGATAGATGTTATGTCTTTTTGTTTTAAGAAGACTTCAAAATATTGCAGGCAGACAAATGAGCAAACTGCGCTGCTGCTGAAGATGGGGATGGAGTATTATTATTACTATAACTTATTGGGGCTCTCCTGTCAACTACGGCCGGTAGACAATAGTAGACGGCCGGTAAGTCGGAGTTCTGTCGAAAATTATTCCTCCCCACGTCACTTCAGTCGATCGAAAACTATTTCTCCCCACGGCGCTTAACTTTAAACATTGCGCAGAAGTGAAAACTGATGATGGTGGCTTCAATTATGATGATGATGGCCTCAATTATTTCACGGCATCGGTACGTATTGTTCCATATTTTGTTGTTCCATATTTTGTATAACCTCTTTATAACCCCTTGACCTCTTTGTAACCCCTTAAACCCTGTGAGGCTCTGAAAGGAATGTTTTAGACAGTCAATAATAAGGGGTTGTTATTCAGAAGAGTGCCATACGGTTACGGTTTGGGTTAGGGTTAGAGTTAGGGTTTGTGTTAGGGTTAGGGTTAGCGTTGCGGTTAGTGTTGCCGCATCTCGCCTCCGCAGAAACTCAACGTAGCAACCCAAAACCCTAACCCTAAACCCTACCCCTAACCCTAACCCACACCCTAACCCTAAACCTAACCCAAACCCTAACCCAAACCATAACCGTATGATGACAGTAGGGCACTGCACGCTGTCTATCGCCAACACACAGTAATTATGTCACGTGTTTCCTTCCCTTTAATCCACTCCGTAATGCGTCGCAAAAAGCGGTAATTGAACGCGGTCGCTAACTTGATTCGCAGCGCAGGTTCTGCCAGGCATTTCGACCTTACTTTGTTTTTTGATTCGTGCCTTCTCCAGTCCGTAATTGCACTGCAGCCAGGGGACAGAACTCTGACTAACCGGCCGCCAACTGCCGTAGTTTACAGGAGAGCCCTTATTGGAATGACAATGTCCCTAATGCTATGATATCAGTTCTCAGCTCATCTTGACTCTACAAAACAAACAAAAAATAAAGATTTAAATAACTGTGCTACTGAAAACTGATGATTTGTCCTCCCCGCCACCTTCTTGGGTCTTATGATATGGACTAAATAAGCCAACAAGTTCCTCTTCGTGTGTGTTCCTGAGCCCTGATTGTAGGAGAAAGAATATAGCACCACTGCCCCCTAACATTACAGTCATGTCGTAAAAGGTGAATAGTTAGTGTGAGTTTTCTTCAAATATGCACTCCTACTTTGAGTGCATCTACCCGAGAGGTGAGGTCGCAACAGTCTGCATACAAATAAGCCAAATCTGTAAAACAGATGTAAACACAAAACTCAAGCACTGGAACAAGGCCATCAACCATGAATTGGATGAACAACCAGAATGTCAAAGTTTACCACCTGTGAATAATGGAGAAAAATAGACTTGAGTGGAATTTGTAAAATGGGCAAGAATGATTGAGGAAAGAAGTATTTGAAAAAAATAGACAGCACCTAACACAATAAAATGTACACTAACATTGAACATGATTAGTGGGACCCTGGGATCCAACTCTGAGAGTATCAGAGAAAAACTTCACTATGTGTAGGCCAAGGTAATTCAGCCACTGTTTGACTGTCATTTGGTTTCTAAAACTGAGCTAACTTTATTATTATCAGGGGGGCATGTTTAGTCAACAATATCCTGTTCAATCCATTTGGGTTATAAGTGGGATAAATAGATTTCTATTTCTTTTTCAATAACGTATATTTATGCTTGTCAGTTATTTTAAGTTATTCAGCACAATTGGCCAGGTACTTTTTAGCATGTGCTCTCATCATGACAAAATTGCCAGTTTTTCTGCCTTATCAATTTTTCTATTTTTCTTTTTTTTTATTTAATGTCTTGCGTTCACCTTCATTATGGTGTCTTCTTCTTATTACTATTTGTTTGCCCTTTTAAAAAGGTGTTTTGGTTTACAGCTAGGCTGTGATACTTTCACCTTTTGACCCAACACATCTGATTTCAGCAAAGCCCTAATTAGTAGCCTTTTACAAAATTGCTTGCTATAGGGCAGTGAGATAACCCCCCCCCCCCCCCTACCCCCCCCCCCCCCCCCACACTTAAATACAGCCCTAAAACCCACATGGGGACAATATAGTTTTTAAAATGGTAGTTGTAAAAGATTTACTTGTTGGCTTAATTTTATTCAACTGGTACTGTATTGTGCACCTGGCAAGATATACTGAAATATGCCAGGCAGTAAATATATAGTCTGTTTTGTGTGTGTCTTTTTTGTTCAAATTGAAAATTATTATTAAATGATATCAGCTCATTGTTGCTCATGGTTTGTGTATGTGTTGTCCACATGTACATATAGGAAGGTTGTGTCTCTTAAGAGCAAGTGGGTAAGAAAATCATTACAGATATAGTATACTTTGCAGTTTAATATTTATGTGTGCATGCATGTGTCGGTGCATGTTAGAGTGTCTGTGGTGTGGTTATGGGATTGAGTAAGTCCACCTCAGTGCATTTTTTGTGTGAAATGGGTTAGTGTAAGTCTTGAGTAAAAGTATAGTTTCAGTTATGAAATACCAATCTATTATAAACCAGAAGGTTGAACAGGATGTTTTTATGAAAGTGACTTCTACAACATGTCCATGCAGCTTGGTGACAATGTTCTGTCAGCTCATTTTGTCAAAGAACTGGAGCATTTTTACAAGAAGGCAGACAAACGAGATCAATCAAAATGCCTAGAGCTGATAACATCCATGAACCATTGTGAGGACCTTAAAAAGCACCTGAAGAAACTTCACTACCTCAAGTCAGCCATGCCTGATATCGGTAAGATCTTAAAAATACAACATCTGTAGCAGGAAAACAGTCGCAGTCTTTAGCAGACTGACACTCTCATCCCAGCCCTTTGTGGTTTCAAGGGCCCTATTTAAGGAGGGGGAGAGGGAGGGAGAGAATAGACCCACTACTTCTTAACAGGCATGTCAAAAAAGGTGATTGTTTAAGGTTTAGTTGAAATGGATGTGCTGGACCAAAAGGTGCAAGAAGAAGAAGCAGCAGCCATCCTAGATTTTCTTCCTTAGTTATTGTGAAGTAGTCTATGACTCGCATCCATATATTAATTTGTGTGCTAAAGCTGTAGGCTCTTAATACTTTTAGATCGCTTTATAGCTATGGCCAGTCTTCATCTGACTTTTGGATAGCTCCAGTTGTGGAAGCCATATACAGCGTGGACCTGATAAGGAGAACTCATGGGAGACGCTAGAAAAGTTTCAACTTATCCGGATAAAAATTCAAGTGCGAAACATTGCCGGAGATAAACAAATTGTTCTTCATAACAGAAATTCATCACATCCAAGATCACCTTAAGCAGTCTGCACTGCAGTTTGAAATAATGTTTGAAATTTTTCCGGTATGATTAGGGATTGCCCTTTTTTCCTTAACTCTTTGAGTCCCAAGGAACGTATCATACGTTCATAGATTCCTACCTAGGAGCCCAATGAACGCATGATGCACTGATTTTATGACTCTCATTATTACCCCCTGGGCCTGTGATGCTAAACCCCCTGGGACTCAAAGAGTTAAACACTAAAAGTGTAGTGTTTATCATTGCACAAGACAGAGCTGAATGAAGGAAAAGGCTTCATGCCCAGTGTGACATGCAACAGGACACTGAATGAATTAATAGTGTAATTAAGGTTCAGAGTTAAAAGAATAAGCTTCACTAGACCAAGTTTTATCTCATATGGCTTGGTGTCTACAAAATGCTTGTCCATCTGCTGAGAGTGTGGTATGAAGTACTAACCCCATAATTCCTATGGCCATCTCCAGAGATCTGCATAACAATCGCATCATTAACCAACTGATGAAGTCTCTGAAACAAAACTATGGCCTTTAGAGCACCAGGTTAAAGGCTTGACTACTTAGCCAGGGTGAGCCCTTTTCCTTTAAAAAAGCCCTCAGTAGGTTTATACAGGGACAGTTGCTAGATCACATCATAACCATGTACAGACTAACCAAAGGGAGTAAGAACACAAAAATACATATATGTTCACAGTTAAATTGATGCAGCGGGGTGTGACGAGAGGTTCTGGCAGATGCTCAAGGCTCAGAGGAAAGGCAATTAATCAGAATGCTACTGGCACCATTAGTATCAGAACTCTTCGCTGGCTGCTGAAGATGGGGACAGAGCGCTTATGGGAATGCCCCGAGTGCTGTGATGTCGGTTCTTGAATCAAATCAAATCAACAGTAAATATAGGAGTCAGACACTGGTGTGTTTTCTCACTCTCTTTTAGACAAAGAAACATTAAAAGTTATAATTTCCAGTGTGGGTTCCAGGGACCCCATTTGTGGGTGAAACAAGAAGAGACCCACTGCCTTTTAACAAGCATCTTGTAAAAGGTAACAAATTAAGGGCTTCCCTAAACTGGATGTTCTGGGCTGAAAAGTACATATAATGCAGCCTGGCTTTTAACCACAACACAATGTGTCTGTAGCCCTTTAAGAGCAAAGACAGAAGAAGCTCAGTGATAAGTTGAATTTCTAAACCTCTGACTAATTACACATGATGATAATTCATAGCTCTAAGCTGGATCCTTAAACGTCTCACTCATTACAAATGATTATATTCATAGTTCTATGCTGAATCCTTAAACCTCCCACTCATTAATAGGTCTGTCCACATGTGGGTCACAATTTTTCAGCCCCACCCCGGCTGTGGTCAGGAGCCCTAAATATAATCCTCAGGTTGAATGGGGTTTCTGTGACCTGTCCCCAGGTGATCCTCATCTGAAAGGTGGCACTTTGTGTCACTGAGTGTTTATTGCTCGTTGTGATGTTCTGGTTGGTTGAATTGTCAGTCAGTCAAACCTTTTACTAATAACAGATGATTTTATTTATAGTTCTATGCTGAATTATTAAACCTCTCACTAATTACAGATGACGATATTCATAACTCTACGCTGGATCCTTATCAGACTTCTTATAAGAGGGATTACCCATACAAAACTGCTGGACACGTATGGGCAGTAAGGTAAGTATGTGAGTCTACTGCTGCTCCACTGCTGCTCTGTAGGTACACTTTTAACTCTTTGAGTCCTACACTTTTAACTCTTTGAGTCCCAGGGGATTTAGCATCCCAGGCCCAAGGGGTAGTGAAGAGAGTCATAAAATCAGTGCATCATGCGTTCATTGGGCTTCTAGGTAGGAACATGTGAATGTATGATGCGTTCCTTGGGACTCAAAGAGTTAAAGTGATGGTATTCATATGAAGGTGCTGGTTGACTCTGGCTAGTCACAGAATGTGTGGGTCTGTGGAGATAGCAGTTGTTGGACTGGATGAATCAATCAGTAATTGAGAACACTGCAGCCTGAACATTTCCATTTGAGCTCTGCCCCATCTCCTCAGTAACCAACAAAGGCTCCCTATACTGATGGTGTCAGTTGCCGCCCAGTTGAACAGTTTGCCAGGTGTTTTCCTTGTGGGTAGAAAGTCACTCAGACCCTCTGTTCACTCCCAGCTGAATCATTAGAACCAGATATGGAGGCTCTGTCTGTCTTGTTATACTGTTGCACCTGTGCACTGTTGTGCTGTTGCAACTTTTCACTGTTGCACTGTTGTGCTGTTGCAACTTTGCACTGAATGTCTTGTTATACTTTTGCACCTGTGCACTGTTGTGCTGTTGCAACTTTGCACTGAATGTCTTGTTATACTTTTGCACCTGTGCACTGTTGTGCTGTTGCAACTTTTCACTGTTGCAATGTTGTGCTGTTGTAACTTTGCACTGTTGTACTGTTGTGCTGTTGCACCTGTGCACTGCATGTGGAATGATGCAGTTCTTTTCCTAGCTTTCTTCTCTCTCATCTTCTCTGTGTCACATGATGTCACTGCTTTTTCCTTCCTAAGACATGCTAAAAGACTGTCGATGTCCTTTTCTGATGCAGGTAATAATTTTTGTCTTTGGACAGGCATTAGTCTGTAATTTAACTCTCAGTTTCGATTCCGGAAAGTATATAAATATTTCTCTTCAGGCGATTCAGACAGTTCTGGTATGGTAAAAGGACACAATTTTATGCCTCTCAAATGTACTGGAAACAAACTTGTGAGATAAATTAAACATTAAAATCAATTTGAGACACCCTAGACAGTAATTCCGATTCCTTATATAAGTTGTTTATTTTTTTTTTTTTTTAAGCTGAAATGGAAATGGATAGATACACAAAGGCTAGTTGAATCAAGTGAACAGTGCAACAGAGCAGACAGCACATCGATACTTTGAGAAACTGATTTAGCAGGGAGTGAGCAAAAAATCTGGATGTTTTCCAGCAATAGAAAACAAAGGTGGACTTTTTGTCAGTTTACATTTGGTATTATCAGTACAGGAACTATGCTACAGAATAAGGGGGACAGAAAACATGTGATAGTACTTAGAGTGCACTTATGTGCCATCTTGATTCATCTTGTCATTCAAATACATAAAAACATACATAAAATATATCAGCTGCTAGCTCCCACGTTTGGAGGATACAGACATAACACAAAGGCATGGCGTAATGCTGCAGTCTTTGCACATGACATTTATGAGGTTTTCAAGCTAGCTATGAAACATGTGCAGTCACCACAGATCTTGAGGATGCATACAACAAAGTTCCTTCCACTAACTAATGTTTCAGTTAATGGAACGCAACAAATATCAGTTTTGAAAATGTCAAGTGACGATGACCCAACACTCCCCCATTTTTTCCTCATAAGTAATCGAACATATGACTACGGGAAAGCAGACTTGACATACTAGCTACTGTGTTACCACAGTTCTTTTTCATCTTCTTCTTCTTCTGCATGTTCACTGGCTGTAAACTCAGGCCGACAGTTCTGGATGTTCATCCACTTCTGGAATTTGGTCTTGTTCCAGAACTTGAGTTTGGTGTGTACATTTGTTTTACAGATCTGGCTCATTTGTATGCAGACTTTTGGTTCATTGCCTTTCAGGAAAATGCACTCTACCTTCAAAGGAAGCACCACTGATATAGTTGCCTGTGATGACATTTTGCACAGGACTTTTTTCTTAGAAAAAATAGTACTCACCTCAGTACTCATCATTACAGCGAGGAGCGGCTGGCCGAACAGTTAGACCACTGGACTCTTAAGTGGGAGACTCGGGTTCAAATCCTTGGTAAGGCTGGGGGGTTTTTCTGTCGGGGACAAAATAAAATCCTCACGTGCACAGTCATGGCATCAGCACTAGCCATGCCACCGTAAATCCTCAGGCTCAAAGGCCCTCCTGCCTACACGACAAAATTGGTGTAATATAGGCAGCATTTGGCAGTTAACTTATCACTACAAAGTGTCTGTTACATTATCACAGTGGGCGGGGGGGGGGGATGAAGCCTCAAAAAGATGACAATACTGCATTTCATTGTGTACCACGCACACAAAAAACATGAAGCCCCAATACTAGTGAAAATCTTCCAGTAAGGATGTTTTTTTGTGTTTTTGTTTTTGTTTAGCCCCTTATATAATTAGACGATTTTTGTCATAACATTCATGTTCACTAACAAACTGCTCACTGTATATTCAGTGTTGAACAGGTTATACCTTTCTTTCTATTCTACAGTCTTTCTTAGTCTGGAAATTTCCCAGCAAAAGCAGAAGTAAGCAAGTCCCTGGGGACAAACAGTTGCAGGAGCTGACCGATGAAAAATTGCGGCAGATTACAAAAAGACTATGTCATTCTGTTTACCAGAATGATTACTTGGGAATACCTCAAGGTCAGTTTTTTACTTAATACTCCATATAGAATCTGAAGAACTGTTGTTAAATCAGTCTTTGCCCACATCTGTACTCTGTCTTGGCATTTCTGGGATCAGTGTTTGTGACCTTTGGGGCCGCGTTAGCGCAGTCGATAAGAGATCCGCTTTCAATTCCAGCTGCGACTTGCTGCTGCCCACGGTCGGTGTTCGAAACTGGGCAGCTCCTAGGGTTCACCAAGCCTCTAGAAAATGGGTACCAGAGTGATACTCTGGGGTAAATGGAGGAACTTCGCTGTAGCTACGGAGTTACGTGCGGACGGCGACACAGGCGGACAGTTTCTTATCAGCTGTCCATACTGGTGGCAGAGCACTTATGGTTTATAACCGTGTGCAATGATGCTGGTTCACATCTCACCACTTTACCTTTACCTTTATGATGTCTGAACATTTAATCATCCATAAAACATTTTTTACCATATCTCTGTATACCTGTAGAAAACCTGAGAATCCTTTAAAAAAAAAACTGTTGAATAATTAAATTAGCCATCTGTCAACACCACAGTCTCATTCCAGTGGATTCTTGCACACACTGGACTGCAGGGAAAGAAACAGCATCTTTTTCTCCTTCTTTAGGAATATGGAAACAGGATTTTGAAAATATTTTACAAACTTACAGAACCATAAAGCCAAATGTTGCCCAAATAAATATTGAAGATAATCACACCTGCAGTATAACCCGGTGCCTTTACCAACTGATTGACTGATGCAGAATGTGAGCGTATGGTATAAACATTACAAATAATTGAATGTAAACATTTGCAATGAGATTACATGTACGTGTATGTTTTGTTGTCGGCTCTGTGGCTAAGTCGATGCGAACGCTGCGGAGCCGGGTTCAATCCCAACTGCGGGCCATGCACCTTACGTTGGTTTCAACAGTGGTATCAGGGGTCGACCGTACAGAAAGCAATGGCAAACTACTGAACATAAATTTGCCTAGAGAAACCACACAACAGCCAGGGGCTGCTGGGGCTGGTTCTGCAACGTCCTGTAAAGCATACGCAACTAACCTTTTTTGTATGTTTTGTTAAATTGTAGGATTTCAAGTGAAGTCAGCATTCAGTCTTCCCACCAACTGGAAAGACAATGTACCTTATGGGAAAAACTCAACTCAGCATGAGAACTACCAGCCTCCGCAGCAGCTGCAGGAACTGACTGCAGCCACCACACGTTATGGGAGCAATGTGAACAAACAAGTACCAGCCATAGCAGCAAGTAATTAGTTCCTTTCTCGTTGTTATAGGTACAGCACCCATTAGTTCCTTTCTCGTTGTTATAGGTACAGCACCCATTAGTTCCTTTCTCATTGTTATAGGTACAGCACCCATTAGTTCCTTTCTCGTTGTTATAGGTACAGCACCCATTAGTTCCTTTCTCGTTGTTATAGGTACAGCACCCATGTGTCCCATTTGACCAGGACAGTCCCTTTTTTACATGTGCCCTACTCATCCCATCAGGGCTCCCGAAAAAAATGACTGTTGACCCGTTGTATAAAATTCTAAGAAAAAGCTCGAGAACAGAGCATACACTTATATCTTTAGACCTTATTAGAGTAAATTATTTTAATAATAAAAATAATAAATTCTATAATATTTTTGGGTGGGTGTGAGGTAGGTTTAAACTGGTTTGAATGGAATGTCCTGTTTTTGTCTCAAAATATTTTGGTTGCTCTAATCAAATGACATCTCTGGTTGCTCTAATCAAATGACATCTCTTTGGTTGCTCTAATCAAATGACATCTCTGCCAGAGAACTAACTGGTATGGGAGAAATGTCAGCAAACACCAGCAACTGTTGTGAGTAATTATAGGCTTCTCACTGTTACAGGAAATATCTGTGAGAGTGCACCAACGAGAGTGCAGTAAATTAGTGCACTCATTATATCATTGGTGAGCTACTGCACAAACTACTGTGTTGTTGTATGTAAACCAGTCCAGTAACTGTTATGTTGATAAACCAGTGCACTAACTGCTTTTTTGTGTAAATAAAGCCATCTTCTTCTGCTGCCTTTCTAACCCCCAGTGCCACACAGGCATTCAAACAACTCACGCCAAGTCGTTCGGTCCTTCGCTATGGCATGCAGCTCTCCCCATGTCCTCTCCATCTTTTTACCTTCGCTCTCTAGATACCTTCTCCATATGTTTTTGGTCTTCTTTTATTTCTATGCCCTTGTGGGTTCCAGTGCAAAGACATTCTAGATATATTGTTCTCAGATTTTCTCTTTTCTCACTGTATGTCCTGAGAACAAAATAGTTTTGTCGCAAGCATTGTTGGCAGAATGTATCATTGCCTGGTGATCCCTTATAATCCCTCCTATGTTAATGATTGACAGAGCTGGAAATAAAATTGTCTAGGGTTATATTTATTGGTATTTGAGCTCAAAGGATGGGAGGAAATTCAATAAGATCTGACAACTCAGATAAATAGATGTGTAGGGTGAATCCCCGGAAAATAACTATAATTAAATATTCAAAACAAAACCTATGAATGATTAAGTAGCAACTGAAATTGAATGGAGGGGAACCACAAATGTAAATCAGTTTACCAATAACAAATTAATTAAGTCAAATACCTGTCAACTTAATCAGACAACTGGGTGATATTAATGAAAACAACCCACCCAAAATATCCCCTTCAATTGGACAACAATCAACCAAACTTATCATCCTGTAACTCCACAAAAGAAAAATATAATGCACAGTTCTAAATTATCACTCAACCTTGGTCAGTCAGTGTACTGTTTTATTAAAATAATAGTCAGTGCACTGGTTTTTCAACATAACAGTTAGTACACTGGTTTTCAACATAAGAGTGCACTGTTTTGTCAAAATAATAGTGCAGTGGTTTATTAACATAACAGTTAGTACACTGGTTTTCAACATAGTATTAGTGCACTTGTTTATCAGCATAATAGTGCACTGGTTTATCAGCATAATAGTGCACTGGTTTATCAGCATAATAGTGCACTGGTTTATCAACATAATAGTGCACTGGTTTATCAACATAACAGTTAGTACACTGGTTTATCAACATAATATATAGTGCACTGGTTTATCAACATAATAGTGCACTGGTTTATCAACATAATATATAGTGCACTGGTTTATCAACATAATAGTGCACTGGTTTATCAACATAATATATAGTGCACTGGTTTATCAACATAATAGTGCACTGGTTTATCAACATAATATATAGTGCACTGGTTTATCAACATAATAGTGCACTGGTTTAACAACATAATATATAGAACACTGGTTTATCAACATAATAGTGCACTGGTTTATCAACATAATAGTGCATTGTTATGTCAACATAACAGTGCACTGATTTATCAACATAACAGTGCACTGGTTTATCAAAATAATAATGCACTGGTTTATTAACATAACCATTAGTACACTGGTTTTTAACATAGTATTAGTGCACTTGTTTATCCACATAATAGTGCACTGGTTTATCCACATAACGGTTAGTACACTGGTTTATCAACATAACAGTTAGTGCACTGGTTTATCAACATAATATTAGTGCACTTATTTATCAACATAATAGTGCACTGGTTTATAAATATAACAGATAGTGCACTGGTTTATCAACATAACAGTTTAGTGCACTAGTTTATCAACATACTAGTTAGTGGACTGCTTTGTCAGTACACTAATTATTGTGTTGGTAAACTTGTACACTAACTATTATGTTGGTAACCAATTGCACTAACTGGTATGTTGCTAACCCTTTGCACTTACAATTATGTTGGTAAACGCATGCATTAACGTTGGTGTTAGCAAACAAGTGCTCCAACAATTGCAGCACCAAGGTGCCACCAATGATGCTGTTCTAATAGTAAATAGGTTGATGTGTCATCACCTTGTGTATTCACAATAGTTCCTACTGCCAATAAGAGAATGATTGGAGTGAATGCAAAAACAACATATGATAGTCACTTTAATGACAATGTTGGCTCTGTGACTGAACAAATCAGGGATGCCAGCCGAAAACAAGAAGCAGAAACTCTGAGAAAAATCTGTGACTTTAAGAAAGGTAAGAAGTGTCAGTTTCCTTACAAGACAGATCTATGCCTTGATTGTTTTGAAATGTTTTTCATGTTTCATAATATTAAATTGTGTGAAGCTGACAGGGTTATAATCATGGTACGTGTTAACCAACTGCTAGATAGATATAATATTTGAGCCTTGTACTACTTTGTGTTCACCAGCTATAAACTCCAGCACAAAGTTCTGGTTGTTCATCCATCTCTGGACTTTAGTCTTGTTCCAGAATCTGAGTGTTGCGTGCACATCCGTTTTAAAGATCTTGTATTTGTTAATGCAGACTGTTGGTTCCTTGCATCTCAGGCAGATGCACTCCTGCTTTGAAGGAAGCCCCCATTCAGTCAACTCTTACGATATGCTTGTTAGGCAGGCAATGAGTTTATTCTTGTTTTCCCCATAATGGGGCCCCAGAACCCACATGGGGAAATTGTATTTGAGGCTTGTATCATTCTGGTTTATAGAGATATTAGTATCCCCGCCGGTGCTACAGAGTTCAGTCAGTGTGCTGGGGTTCTCCTTATGTGATCTTGTACTGGGGCATTTATGGGAATATGCATGTATAATCAAAGTGATCTCTAACTAAAAAGGAAATCCAGTTGCATCATTTCTTCTTAACAAGTAAATAATTACAATTACAAAATGAATGGCTTAAGAATTAATAGGAATAAATTATACAAAGTACTACATGATTACGGAGTAAACGAACATCATATTAAATTGTGCAAGAGTTTATACGTGTACAGTCAATGCGCAGTTAGAACAAATACAGGAATGTCAGAAAAGTTCTACATTAGATCTTGAATGAGATGGAGTGCATTCTGTCACCACTACTATTCATCACATTTGTCAACCAAATTTGCAAATCAGCTAACATCAGCGAGGGGGAAAACATCAGAGAATTACTAAATGAATTGCTTTTCGCCGATCACAAGGCAAACATAGCACCAAAGCAGTACAGCTACAAGAACATATTAATAGAATCCACTCAAAATGCGACAACTATGATATGAAGATCAACATAGACAAAACAGAAGTGATGACATTCTCCAGAAAAAGAAGAACCACCAATATCGAACGAAATTGATGAACACCAGTTAACACAGGCAAAGGATTTTTAATATCTGGGGAGCATTTTTTGTCAGAAGACGGAAGAATCAACAAAGAAATTCAACAAAGATGCAATAAAGCCAATCAGGTTTTAGGCCAAATGGCACCAATTTTGAAATGCAAGCACGTGAATATGAACATTAAAAGAACATTGTTTAACACAATATTTTTACCATCGCTCTGCTATCAATGTCAAACATAGATGCTGTCTTCAGAAGACAGAAGGAAAATAGTCACGACAGAAATGAAATGTTTACGTACTATGCTGGGTGGAACGAGGAAAGATCGACTTAGAAACAATGATATCAGGAGGAGAAACAGCACAGAACCAATACTGAACTTCATAGATAGACAACAAATCAAATGGTTTTAGCCATGTAACAAGATTGGCATCAGGCGGGGCACCACAAAGAGCGTTGTTATACAGATACAATGGTAACAGAGCCAGAGGTCGACCACGCAGAATATGGACCTCAGAAATATCAGAGACACTGAAAACTACTATATACGAAGTGATCAAAAGGGCCAGTTCCAGATATGTCTACCTCCCCTGATGCCACGAGGCATTCTAAGAGTACAGAAAAGAAGAAAGAAGGAGATGAATAAATGAATGAATCAAGAAATGACATCACTCCATGTGATACATTTGCATATGTGCTCCCTCTTCTTTCTCAGTAGCCAACATACTAACAGTACCACCTGCAGCCTAATTAAAAGTCTGCATTTGTTTCCTCCTTGGTGTTGAATATCTTCCACAACCCCAGCTCAAACCCCTCACCCCTTTCCTTGCTGAATCAGTCTTTCAAGATATAGATACTCTGTTCTGTTACACTACTTGATGCCAGAAAGCCTTTACCACATCAGCTATCTTAAAGTAGCTCACTGTCCAGAGGAGTGGAAGCAGCCAAGCTATCAGCTTATTCACTACCTCGCACACCTGAATTTTCTAGACATAAAAACCATTGTGTGCTCCTGATCTAAGTCTTATTAAGCAACACAAGCCACTCTGTGCATAGAAGACAGTTTCTGTTTCTGAATCATGCTCCATGAGTCCGTTACATATATGACCCGTTAGGCTGTGCTACTCTCAGGCCTTTAGGAAACTGCTGTTACTGCCTCTATCTCCATTCTCAGGCTGGATGTTGTGAGGTTATATGCAAGGCCCTCTACAAATACATAATATGTTCATTATGTTGCATTGTTTACATTTCTGTACTTTACTACATACAAATGTTATACTGAACATATCCCCAGGCCAAAGTCAGATAGGAAAACTGATGAAGGAATTTGAAGCATCTGAATCTTCAGCTTCCAGAAACACACCAAGGGTAGCAGAAGCTCAACCATTCACACAACGTAGCCATAGATCAACCCCAGTGGAGAAAGGATACAGAAGTCCAAGTCTCGCTGCTAGTCTTATAGCTCAGAGAACTCATTCAGCCAGGTCCTATCAGTCAATTCCTCCTGCTACAAACACAAAGTCCCCACATGAGGCACCTACACCAATGACTCCAATATTTACACCTCCGTTATTTTTATCCTAAAAATGTATGTGTGTTTTTTTTAAACATCATATGGAACAATATAATATTTGCTGTTATTTTGTTGAATAAAATTTTATTTTTCTAAGAAGTCTATAAAGTGTAAATGTTTATAGCTCTGGATGGAGTTATTCATTGCACAGTGAACACTTATAAACAAATTTGATTTGGTTAAGCAACCATTGTCACAATATCATTCAGTTTAGCAACATTAGTAACAGTGTTGTCAAGACCTTGAAACCCAGGCCTTGCAAACTCAAGTGGGTCAGTCACAGTTATGATGGTTTGGGCATGTATGCAGAATGGGAGAAAATGACCACTAAAGCAGGCATGGGAGGCTAAGAATCTGGCAAACCTCTACACCCCAAGGTAGAAGAGGAGCGACTAAATAAGTAAGTATGGTAACAGTGACATTCACCTTGGCAATATTTATAACAATATGACCTATATTAGCAACATCAGTAAAAATAGGATCCAGTTTAGCAATATTTATGAAAAGGTGATTAAGTTTAGCAACTTTTATTAAAAGGTGATTTAGTTCAGCAACATTTATAAGAAAGTGATTCAGTTCAGCAACATTTGCAATAGTTAGGCTGGCTAAGGTATGAAGGATCCACCATGGTATCTTCTGCTGATCAACCATAGTATCTTCTGCTGATCAACCATGGTATCTTCTGCTGATCAACCATAGTATCTTCTGTTGATCAACCATGATATCTTCTGTTGATCAACCATGGTATCTTCTGTTGAACAACTATGGTATCTTCTGCTGATCAACCATGGTATCTTCTGTTGAACAACTATGGTATCTTCTGCTGATCTACAAAAGAAGCACAGCAGCTCCCCATTCAGATAACAGACAATCAGTACCCACGATTTGCATTTATCTTTTGTTAAGCTCATGAGCATACTTTGCATAGATTTTGTTGACTACTGCCAAGATGTATCCACATTATGACCTATTATACTTCAGAGGAGAAAGGTTTTCCTTTCAATTACTTTTCTCAGCTAGCATTTGGGAAAGCATTTGTTAAATCTATGATGACAGTATTATAAGCAATATTTTCCTGTATCTTCCAGACACATTTCTGTAATTTATATAAATTAATTTGTCCTACCCTTAGCATTTAGTCAGGCCTTCTTCTTCTTCTTCTCTTTCTTCATCTCAGCGTTCACCAGCTGTAAACTCCAGTGAAAAGCTGTAGTTGTTTGGACACTTCTAGATTAGGTCTTGTTCCAGAGCTTGAGTTATCCATGCACATCTGTTTTACAGAGCTGACTTATTTGTTGGCAACTGTTGGTTCCTTGCCACTCAAGCAGATGCTCTCGGACTTCGAAGGAAATAGTTCTAATTAGTCATCATTTTTGAGGTGACGTGCAAAATATTTTACTTAATGAGAGATTCTTTAATCCAGAATAGATTCTCTAAAACAGTCGAGTCCACTTAAGTTGAACTGGGATAAGTCGAATTTCGACATGACCAGCTTAGTTCTGGCAATTGTCTCTATTGTGTGTGCTGTCTGGATAAGTAGAAATCCTGATAAGTGGAAGCATTTTCTGAGGTCCCTGCGACTTCTACTTATCCAGACTCGACTCTTGAAATCACAGTTCCACAAACTTACAATCACATAGATGAATGGAGGTGGGTGTTATTTGCAGCAGTGAACCTCAAAGTGTTATCAGAATGCTGAAGATGAAGAAGAAGAAGGTTATTTTGAAATCTTGCCTATCTAAACTGAGTTAGTGCAAAATTTCTAAAAGCTTTTCAATATGCTATAAAACATGTTTTTCTGTATCTGTATACATTTTTGTTTGAGTATTGATAAAATAACAATTACGTTCTTTGTACATATATGTGCAACACATTCAAACTGGATTTCTGGTTGTATTTTAAATCTAATCTTTCCCAGTATAATGCTGTAGTGTAGTTTGATAACATAACTCAATAAACTGATATTACATAAATAATGCATGACATAATACTTGGTTGAATTTCATTTGTGTGTGTGTGTGTGTGTGTGTGTGTGTGCACCAATATTTTAAGATAAAATCAGAAATGAAGTCACAAGAGAAAAAGTAGGCACAGAACCAATTCTAAATTGCCTACAGAGACAGAAAAAAAAATTGGGTTGCCCACTAAATTAAAAAGAATTCCTTGTGGTACCATATCATAAAAGTATACACCAAAAGAGGAGAGGAGTGTCAAGTACAAGGTAAACCAAGAACCATTTGGAATGATAATGTCAGAAAAACTCTACAGCAGTACACAATAAACCAAAAACAATATGGAATGATAACATTAAAGAAACTCAACAGCAGTGCAAAGTAAACCAAGAACAATATGGAATGATAACATCAGAGAAACTCTAAAGCAGTACAAAGTAAACCAAAAAGAATATGGAATGATAACATCAGAGAAACTCTACAGCAGTAAACTAAGAGCAATATGGAATGATAACATCAGAGAAACTCTACAGCAGTGCAAAGTAAACCAAGAACAATATGGAATGACAACATCAGAGAAATTCTACAGCAGTACAAAGTAAACCAAAAACAATATGGAATGATAACATCAGAGAAACTCTACAGCAGTAAACCAAGAGCAATATGGAATGATAACATCAGAGAAACTCTACAGCAGTACAGAGTAAACCAAGAACGATATGGAATGATAACATCAGAGAAACTCTACAGCAGTAAACCAAGAGCAATATGGAATGATAACATCAGAGAAACTCTACAGCAGTGCAAAGTAAACCAAGAACAAATGGAATGATAACATCAGAGAAACTCTACAGCAGTAAACCAAGAGCAATATGGAATGATAACATCAGAGAAACTCTACAGCGGTGCAAAGTAAACCAAGAACAATATGGAATGATAACATCAGAGAAACTCTACAGCAGTAAACCAAGAACAATATGGAATGACAACATCAGAGAAATTGTACAGCAAAATAATGTTTCCATGGTCAAGGTGGCTAGAAGAGCAAGAAGTAGAACATTATATCTCTCCTCCCCTGAAGTCATCATCATCATGCAGCAGATCCTTTGCAGAATCTCGCTCTCATCATGGTCTGCCTAAAAGAAACGGTCTCTCGCTAGCTCTCCTGCCTTGTGCACTTTCATATTCAAGTAGTCACATATATCCTGTGCCATCTTCGTGTCGGTCGCCCCTTTCCCCCCCCCCCCCCTTCCTTGCTGGTACCATGCCTATTGCTATAATTTTTTTCCCCAGTCAGGCGTGGCACTTGATATGACCAAACTATTTCAACTTCCAAGACAAAAGATGTTTATCTTCTTTAATGTTTCAATCTTTTAATATGTCAGTATTTCTTCTCTTCTTTGTCTATGGTTTTATGACAATCTTTCTGAAAACTTGAGTGGGAACAGAAAAAGTAAAGGAAGTGTTTTCTTGTTGGTCGCTGCATGTATGGGGAAGCTTTTAGGTTGGAAAATACTGCCTATATTTCTTTCTCCTAGTTTGTTTTGTAACAGGTCACTTTGCTTACACATTAATACCGCTGTGTTGGAACGGTATCCTCCCATAGATCAGAGAGAGAGATCTTAGCTCAGTACACAAACTCCCTTTCTTCCATGATGATCCAATGTTATATATATATCATCATTCTTGATCAAAAGTGTTGTTAATACATAGGATATTAAAATGTACATATAAACTGGTAAAAAAATCAAGTCGGGGGAAGTAAAAACGATGTTAATCACATCACCCACATAGTTTAGATTGGTCTATAAAATATAGTTCTAACACTGTAGGGTCTACACCCAATACACCTAATGTTATTTACTTTTTTTTTTTTTACTGTACAAGGCATGTGTCTCGGGAACAAATAGACAAATAATACAGACTAAAGGGTTGTTGTTGTTTTTTCTTCTATCATTATTCCTCAGTGGAGCATATACCACCAACTAACTGGCGTTAAGCCGTCCTTATCTTTTGCCTTACCGCCCACTCCTTGAACGCCCCTCATTTCTCTCTTTGTATCGTCTCACTGGTTTCAGTTCAAGGTCATTCTAATTAGAGTATCATCGGGCTTCCCCGTATGAATTCTGGGACTAATTTAGGTTTGGGAGAGAATAGACCACTGCCTGTCTTTCAAGTATGTTGTAAGAGTCCCTAATTAGGGATTTCCTTTGAGGTTGGAGCGCATCTGCCTGGGTGGTAAGGAACCAACAGATTGCATACAAATAACTAGATATGTAAAAAAAAAAGGTTCATGCAAAACACATGTTCTGGAACAAAAGTCCAAAAGTGGCATAACAGCCACAATTGTCCGCCAGAGTTTACAGCCAGTAAACGCGAAGAAAAATGATCATCGGGCTTTCCGTGTGGATGTCTCATCCTTGACCAGCATAGGCTAGATACTAGCATGTGGGTTTGATCGTGTGTTCGGTTAAGGTTTAGATGCGGTTATAGAATGTGAGGTCATTGAACAGGGTCATTTAAGTACAACAGGGGATGCTGCGAATGTGCTGAAGTGTCATTGCATTCATAATGCAGCTGGTTTCGGCCTGAGCAAAATTGCAGTTTTACATTTATTTCAACGGTGATAACTATGGAATGCACATAAGAAGCATTTAATCAAATAAAAATGCGCACATTCAATATTCTTTTACATATTTATATTGATCTAAAAGTTATGTTCACAGTCGGTGAACTGCCAGTGTCGCTCGTGTCTGCTGACACTTGCACAAAGGTCTGTAAGATATTACTTTATGTAGTCGTTAATGGATGCCATAATTTTTGTCGATAAGATTTGAGTGGGATATCTAGAAGAATCAGAAGGAGAACTCTACATGTACAAAGCCGCGTGCAACCGTAAGGTTATATCGAAGCCGCTAACGGTCACGGATAAACCTGAAGTCTGGACAGGAATTTGTGTTGTGGTAGTATTTTTAACTACAGCATCCTGTTCAGCCAATCTGGGTTACAACTGGGATATATAGATTTTTTTTTTTAAATAGCATAGTAATGGATATTTATGCCTATTTAGTTAGTTAGTTGGGTTATCATCATTGCATTCCGGACTTGTCCATAGGTGCTCAGATCCTCCCCTCAGTATGAACCCCGACGTCCGATGGCTAACAATACCAGTTCTATGTTGATTAACAAGCCTTCTGGCGTGTCTGGTGTGCGTCTCGTTTTTTGCTATGCCGATCTTAATTCCCAAGTCTGCCATTCTGGCGAGTGATGTGGATTCACTGCAACCAAAGTCCTCTATCCTTCCCATTTCTCTGAGGGCATTGATAATATCAGCATGATCCATAGGCTGACCGTCGGGAGTGATAGCCTGTTAGTTATGCTTGGTTATGTCAGGTATTTGTCACCAACCGCCCGGCCAGCAGAAGCTGGTATGCTAATATGGAGTAGTTAAAAAACAAACCGCTTGTTTGAGGTACGAAACAAACAGGATTAAAATTCAAAGGAAACCAGAATATTATGCTGTTTTATTGTAAATGATAATTTGAAAGTTTAAAATAATAATTATATAATTCATACTTGTGAAAATAAGGTGAAATTATCTAAAACAATTGAAAAATAAAGGTTAACATCAATCTTCAGTGCGGAACTATGACTATTTTGATGCGGCGCCTTCTTTGAAAATATGGCAACAGTCGACAATGGGTCCTGAGGGAAGTTTCGAAATATTTGAGTTTTCCTTCATCTGTAACGATATTTGTGCGATACATTTTCTGATATTGATTAATCCTGGCTAACGGAATTATTCAAGAATGAGTGAGCTATCAAAGGGGACCGGTATAGAGGTAAGTTGACTGACTAGAAATCGACAAGATTGTGTCGGCGAGATAGGAAACCTGCATGTTTCAGCTTGTCTGTCACTTTCTCATGTTTACATTGGCAACCTCTGTAGATCGGCATTCTTGTGCCGTTGTTGTGTTGCAATGGCAGGGAATCAGCGTTTACAGCTAGAAGGAGATTGTCCTGCTATATATGTACGTTGTTTCAATGTTTATGTCATTATCCATAAATTCCTGGACGTCGCTGAATATTCAAATATTTCAAATAATCAGTTAATTTGAGAAATTAATTAGCCAGTGTACTGACAATCAATGACACGGAGTGTTCCTGCAATGGAATGTTTTCAATGTTAAAGTTAAAGATGATGACAATGTTATCAGAACTCATACTAATTAATAAGTACAAAACAATGTTTGAACCTATTTAAATTCCATAGGTGGGATTCCATTCTGAAACAACAAATCAAGATAATTGGTCAATTGGGTTCTTTCACTTGTAAACTTAAAGTCTGTCATTGTTAACCAGTTAACTATTACTAAACTTAAAATTATAAGTAATACCTGATTTAGGTATTTAAAGCAAAAGGACCATCACTGACCTCTATTTCACCATTACAAAATGAGACTAGAATTCAAGATTCTCTTCAAGTCTGCTATCTTTTTTACATAATAGTTTTAGCTTGCGGAAGTGTTTCCTAAGAAGGCGGATGTAGAAGTGAAAACTCTCATCACTCTTTAATTAAATGACCCTGAAAGATAGACTGTAACGTCAGACTGAAAGATAGACTGTAACGTCAGACTGAAAGATAGACTGTAACGTCAGACTGAAAGATAGACTGTAACGTCAGACTGAAAGATAGACTGTAACGTCAGACTGAAAGATAGACTGTAACGTCAGACTGAAAGATAGACTGTAACGTCAGACTGAAAGATAGACTGTAAACGTCAGACTGAAAGATAGACTGTAACGTCAGACTGAAAGATAGACTGTAACGTCAGACTGAAAGATAGACTGTAACGTCAGACTGAAAGATAGACTGTAACGTCAGACTGAAAGATAGACTGTAACGTCAGACTGAAAGATAGACTGTAACGTCAGACTGAAAGATAGACTGTAACGTCAGACTGAAAGATAGACTGTAACGTCAGACTGAAAGATAGACTGTAACATCAGACTGAAAGATAGACTGTAACATCAGACTGAAAGATAGACTGTAACGTCAGACTGAAAGATAGACTGTAACGTCAGACTGAAAGATAGACTGTAACATCAGACTGAAACATAGACTTTAACATCAGACTGAAAGATAGACTGTAACGTCAGACTGAAAGATAGACTGTAACGTCAGACTGAAAGATAGACTGTAACGTCAGACTGAAAGATAGACTGTAACGTCAGACTGAAAGATAGACTGTAACATCAGACTGAAAGATAGACTGTAACATCAGACTGAAAGATAGACTGTAACGTCAGACTGAAAGATAGACTGTAACATCAGACTGAAAGATAGACTGTAACATCAGACTGAAAGATAGACTGTAACGTCAGACTGAAAGATAGACTGTAACATCAGACTGAAAGATAGACTGTAACGTCAGACTGAAAGATAGACTGTAACATCAGACTGAAAGATAGACTGTAACATCAGACTGAAAGATAGACTGTAACGTCAGACTGAAAGATAGACTGTAACATCAGACTGAAAGATAGACTGTAACATCAGACTGAAAGATAGACTGTAACATCAGACTGAAAGATAGACTGTAACATCAGACTGAAAGATAGACTGTAACGTCAGACTGAAAGATAGACTGTAACATCAGACTGAAAGATAGACTGTAACATCAGACTGAAAGATAGACTGTAACGTCAGACTGAAAGATAGACTGTAACATCAGACTGAAAGATAGACTGTAACATCAGACTGAAAGATAGACTGTAACGTCAGACTGAAAGATAGACTGTAACATCAGACTGAAAGATAGACTGTAACATCAGACTGAAAGATAGACTGTAACGTCAGACTGAAAGATAGACTGTAACATCAGACTGAAAGATAGACTGTAACGTCAGACTGAAAGATAGACTGTAACGTCAGACTGAAAGATAGACTGTAACGTCAGACTGAAAGATAGACTGTAACGTCAGACTGAAAGATAGACTGTAACATCAGACTGAAAGATAGACTGTAACGTCAGACTGAAAGATAGACTGTAACGTCAGACTGAAAGATAGACTGTAACGTCAGACTGAAAGATAGACTGTAACATCAGACTGAAAGATAGACTGTAACGTCAGACTGAAAGATAGACTGTAACATCAGACTGAAAGATAGACTGTAACATCAGACTGAAAGATAGACTGTAACGTCAGACTGAAAGATAGACTGTAACATCAGACTGAAAGATAGACTGTAACATCAGACTGAAAGATAGACTGTAACGTCAGACTGAAAGATAGACTGTAACATCAGACTGAAAGATAGACTGTAACGTCAGACTGAAAGATAGACTGTAACGTCAGACTGAAAGATAGACTGTAACGTCAGACTGAAAGATAGACTGTAAACATCAGACTGAAAGATAGACTGTAACATCAGACTGAAAGATAGACTGTAACGTCAGACTGAAAGATAGACTGTAACGTCAGACTGAAAGATAGACTGTAACGTCAGACTGAAAGATAGACTGTAACATCAGACTGAAAGATAGACTGTAACGTCAGACTGAAAGATAGACTGTAACATCAGACTGAAAGATAGACTGTAACGTCAGACTGAAAGATAGACTGTAACATCAGACTGAAAGATAGACTGTAACATCAGACTGAAAGATAGACTGTAACATCAGACTGAAAGATAGACTGTAACGTCAGACTGAAAGATAGACTGTAACATCAGACTGAAAGATAGACTGTAACGTCAGACTGAAAGATAGACTGTAACATCAGACTGAAAGATAGACTGTAACATCAGACTGAAAGATAGACTGTAACATCAGACTGAAAGATAGACTGTAACGTCAGACTGAAAGATAGACTGTAACGTCAGACTGAAAGATAGACTGTAACGTCAGACTGAAAGATAGACTGTAACATCAGACTGAAGAAAGATAGACTGTAACGTCAGACTGAAAGATAGACTGTAACATCAGACTGAAAGATAGACTGTAACATCAGACTGAAAGATAGACTGTAACGTCAGACTGAAAGATAGACTGTAACATCAGACTGAAAGATAGACTGTAACGTCAGACTGAAAGATAGACTGTAACATCAGACTGAAAGATAGACTGTAACGTCAGACTGAAAGATAGACTGTAACATCAGACTGAAAGATAGACTGTAACATCAGACTGAAAGATAGACTGTAACATCAGACTGAAAGATAGACTGTAACGTCAGACTGAAAGATAGACTGTAACATCAGACTGAAAGATAGACTGTAACGTCAGACTGAAAGATAGACTGTAACATCAGACTGAAAGATAGGTAGTGACTGACTAAACAAGTGCTCGTATACAGGGCTGTTTATGAACACCCCCCCCCCCCCCCCCCTTTCCGGACACACACACACACACAAACAGAAAACACTGGCTTGGCTAATTAATTGTTTGAAACGAAGCTAGTTGAGGACACCATTGATTGGAAAGAAAATGAGGACATTCCAAATGGATGTCCATTTTTATGTAGAGCTGAAAAGAATTTTGAGAGAGGGTGACTTTGGAGTGGTTTCATCTAAAAGCCTTTGGTACTCAGTCACTAATTATGTTGCTACAGTGATATGCAAAGTCTTACTGCAAGCACCATCTCTCTCGGAAGTCGCCGTGGCGGAGAAGCTAGACGCGTGGATCAGAAGGCCTGGCGAAGCCGGACTTTTCTTAAAAAATATCCTTGGCTCCCAGGTCGACCCAGCCTTGTGGGTACCGGGTGCAGTCACGAGAAGTAGAGGCGGCCGGCGTGATGCTGACCACATCGCCCATCTTGTGCTGTTGGTCTTAAAAAATATAAGTCAAGCCCTTTATGCCCTATTCGCCTAAAGGTGTGGAAAAGGGTCCTTTACTTTTTACTTACTATCTCTCTCTCTTTCTGTCCGTCTCTCTTGCTCTGCACCATCTCTGTCCTTCTACTTTGTGTCTCATTTTCCCTTTCTTCTGTCTCTTTCTGTTTATGTGTTTCTGCTGTCATCTTTCTATTTCTGTGATCTTGCTCACTGTTTGTCTCTCTTCCGCTATCCTCCGAATAACGGTCCCAAATAGTCAAGGCTAAAAAAAATACCCTGACAGGGCCTCAATGTTTGTAACTGTGCTGGCAGTAAACTGCGCTAAATATTCAGTAAATAACGTGACGTCGCGTCCATGGAAGTTCCATCCATAACCCTTTAATCGATAGTGTCGTGGTTCCACTGTTGTGACAGATTCTATTGGCGGTGTCGTAATTGCAATACTCCTTGTCCTAACTCTAACCCTAAACCTAGGACCCAGGGGAGAAGTTAAACCTAGCACTCAGTGTCGGAGCTTTTGACACCCTTGATGATTTGGGACCATTATTGGGAGTAGTGTTTCATGCGGTATATTCACCGGAAAGAAGTCCGCAATTTACATATGATTGAGGCCCTGTCAGGGTATTTTCTTAGCCTCGATAATTTGGGACCGTTATTCGGAGGATAGCCCTCTTTTCTTCTGTCTGCCTCTCCTGTCTCCATGCTCTCTCATACTCACTCTGGCTATCCCTCTTGTCTGTTGTTTTTTCTCTTTAGTTAAATTACCACTATATTGTCATCAGTGTGATAAACCACAAGTTGAAACTGAAAGATAACTTTAATGGAACAAGTATACATATGTACACTACACTCTAGTTTTTGTGGTTGGCTTGTCTGTTCAAAATATCGGATGCTTGATGAATATTTAAAAAAAAAAAAGTAAATTAATTTTATTTTTTAAAGTTAAGAACTTAGTAACCTTTGCCTGAAGAAGCTAAATCTAGTCACTTCTTGTTGGGCCACATCCTCATAAATTCTGACATAAGGCCAAGTGTGCAATGGTCTGTTCTAGAAAAACAGTTACATCCCATTTGTTTCATGTGCACTTGCACAGTGTTTGACAGGCCAGGATATCAATATAGTAACTAAAAATAACATTTAGGGGTGTTTCTTTGTGACTCCAGTAGCTTTTTGAAAGCCAAGTTGATGTCAAACCTTCCCATAAGTCTCAGTGATAGAGGTGACGGGGTCAGCAGCCTGTGTCGCCCAATACTTTTTTTTAAAATTATTTGGTTATGCCCTGAGGAATGTATTCCATTGAATGCATTAGTTTATTCATATTTATTGATTACCCCTTTCCATGAAATTTCCTGGTTCCCTGTTTGAACTTAACCCAAGGAGCTAAACATTTTAGGGGCTCCGTAAGGATTTCAACTTATAACCAACAAGGTACCAATGAGACCATTAGCCACTGTGCTACTATGGCATGGCTGCCGCTAAAGTAGTGTACTACATTATAATTTATATAATAAATCAGGGCCTGTTACTTTATTGTGACTATTTCCACATCTTCAACATTGCGAGCCCTTTAGGTTTATTGCAGATGTCAACCACCTCCATTCTTCTCTTGATTGGCTTTCTCTTTTTAGCTGATGACTCCACGTGTTTGTAGTTCTGCCTGTAGTCTATATCTGCACCATCATGGTCTATTTTTAATCTCCATATTATCCGCCACTCTCTCTATATGCCTCATCCAATGTAGGCCTGTCAGTAGTTAGGAGTGATTTATACAGATTATGAATTTTGTTTTTGCCTCTGGCTCTCCAGCTTGGAGGGTTCAAGCCTGGGCTGACATCTCTACCTTTGTATAACCTAATTTCCTTAAAAACTTATCTATAAATTAAAAGTAAAGATCCGTTTTCATGCCTTTCAAATGCATCAGGTATATGGGAAGAGCACCCATATTTTATTTTACAGACCAATTGGCACTAGGTGGGTAATGTGGTCAGCATTACGACGGCCGTCTTTACTTCCCCAGGACATACATCCTGGTACCCATTTTTAGGTTGGATTGACCTGCGACGCTCCATACGATGATAAAAATCCATGGAACCAGCAGTGGGTTTTGATCTCAGTAGGTTGGAATTAGGAGTCGGACTCACAATGCCCATGACGAAACCTATCTATGCCTCCATTATTTGCACGTAACATCACTCAATACTTGTCTCCCCAGAATTATGAGGTGCGGCATTTGCTGGGAAAAGGAGGATTTGCCTGTGTTTATTCGGGTTACGACAAAGTAAAGAAAATCGAAGTGGCAATCAAAATGGTAGGATACAATTTTTTTTTTTTTAAATGTATGCTCATTTTTTCACTCTGTGTGTTTCAGTTGGGCAGCTCATTGTTGATGTTTCCTTTAGAGTGCATCTGCCAAAGAAGCGAGGAATCAGCAGTCTGCATACAATTAAACAAGAACTGTAAATTGGGATCTGAACCCACAACACTTCCTACCTGCAGACAAGAGTCTAGCCGCTACACCACGGTGGCTCCTTAAACTTGAAAGTAGCACCTCTTAAAATAAAATGCACTGAACCAGAAAGTTTCACAAAAAACATTGTTGTATGACTGACTTGACGACTATGAAACCTCCAGTTGAGAAAGTTTGTATGTTTTTCTGAGAATACAGCCTCCAAGGACAAACAGACCTTGTGAAAGTTAGTATCAGAGAGTTTAATGGGATCAGCAGACGGAAAGACATGAAGTGAGCCACATCTGGTGATACATTCATGATGCTCCCAGAAGATGGTGAGCATCACATTAGTTCCGGGGTGCTGATGCCTGGAGGCTTCGCTACCTTGAGCCTCATTTTAAAAACGAGGGTGGGGCAAAAAATATTTGTAAGTAAACTTAGCCCCCCCCCCCCCCCCCCCCCAACTCCAGTCATATAGTTAGTCTTTCCTCTTGTGTCGAGTGCGGCACATAGGGCAGAGGTCGTGACTCTCCATGCACGGCGGTCCGTTGCAATCCGTTGTAGGTCTTGGATGTTTGAGTGGCCCATGAGCGAGCCTTCCCTGATGATAGTTCTACGTAGGGTTTCCCTTGGTCTTCCACGAGATCTTTTCCCCTGTGGTGTCCAAATGAGGGCTTGGTAAGGAAGTCTTGATTTATCCATTCTAAGGACGTGGCCGACATAGTTCCAGCGGCGTTTTCGTATAAAATTAGACACATACTCTTGCCTGGATTCTTGCCTTATTTGTGTATTGGTTCGGAAATCTGACCATTTGAAATTTAGTATTCTTCTAAGGCATTTATTTTCAAAACTGTCTAATTTTGTGTCTAGAGTTTTCGTTGATTTCCAACTCTCGCATCCATAGGTTAGTACTGGAATCACACAAGAATTGAAGATCTTGAGTTTTGTGTGTTTGCTAAGTGTCTTTGATTTCCAGATGTTAGACAGTTTATTGAAGGCACTAGATGCCAGTGCTATTCTAAATGATATTTCTGGTGCGGTATCTCCTGTAGATGACATCTTGCTCCCTAGATAAGTGAAACTGTTGACTTTTTCAAGGCTGTTGTTGTTCAGCGTGATATCAACTGAACTGTTGGTAAGGTCTAGAATTTTTGTTTTTGCGGTGTTAATTTGGAGTCCAATTTGTTCTGAGAAATTCTGGAGTCGATTGATTTTTTCTTGGGCGTCTGTGTGTTCTGAACTCAGGAGTGCTATGTCGTCAGCGAAGTCTAGGTCTTCCAGAATTTTGTCAACCCATGTAATGCCTAAATTTGCGTTATTTATGCACTTGCGCATGACCCAGTCGATTGCTATACCAGTCATATACAGTATTTTTTTTTTTAAGTTTTTGTTTATATGTATTATTTTTTCAAATACATCATTATAATTATTTACCATTGAGCATATTATTTCATGATGAAGCAGTTGAACAAGGATTAGTCTTTTTGATCGCCCACAGCATTTTTAATTTTAAGCTCAAGGATTCCTGGGTTGTGGGATTAGACAGCTTATGTGGATAAGAGACCAGTAAAGGACCTAGTGGAGCAAGTAAACAGAAGGAGTGCAGAATTTGGATTAGATATAAATTTGAAAAAGACAAAAACCATGATATTTAGCAAAGAAAATAATCAGCTAACAATGAATATCACAGTGAACGGGGTGAAATTGGAACAAGTTAAAAATTACTTATATCTTGGACAAGTAATAACATGTGACGGCAGAAGTGAAACAGAAGTCAAAAAAAGAATAGGGATGGCCAAAAACATTTTCAACAACATGCAAAAGTTACTGACATCAAGAGAAATAAGCAATACATTAAAAATGAGAATTGTCAAATGTTATGTATTCTCAACCTTACTGTGTGGCACAGAAACATAGACAATGAACAAACAACTGGAAAATCGTATCAATTCTTTGGAGATGTGGATATACAGAAGATTAGGTCGTATTTCATGGAAACAAAAGCTATCAAATACAGAGGTACTGAGGAAATTGGGAATGAAAAGAGGGTTGCTAGGTGAAATAAAAAAGAGACAAGTGAAATATTTTAGCCACATTAAAAGACATAACAGTATTGTAAAGATCATCCTAGGGGGAAAGGTTCAAGGTAGGCAAGCAAAAGGCAGACAGCGTTACAAGTGGGAGGATAACATCAAGAGATGGACGAACAGCAGTATGAGTGAGTGTACATCAAGGGCAAGAGACAGGGCTTGTTGGAGATCCATTGCAGCCAACCTTCATTGTGGAGACGGCACCTGATTGATTGAAAGGAAGAAAGCCGGAAATTCAATACAGCTACTTCTCATATGAGGATACAGCTTAAAACTTCTCATATGATGATGGAGATAGCAGCTGTCACAAGGACAATTGCACAGCAAGTGGAACAGAAAGTAAATCACACTTAATGATGACAGATTCAGCTAGCATGCTTAAGAAGATCCAAACTTGCAGACTGACTAAAATGGGCTGACAGTATCTAGACGTTCCGCCTCACAAGACAGCATCCAGACGTTCCACCTCGTGAAACGGCATCCAGGCATCATGCTTTGAGAGACATCATCCAGATGTTCTGCCTCGAGAGTCAGCATCCAGACATCCCACCTTGAAAGACAGCATCCAGACATCCTGCCTTGAGAGACAGCATCCAAACATCCCGCCTCTAGAGACAGCATCCAGACATCCCACCTCTAGAGACACCATTAACATGTCCCGCCTCGAGAGACAGCATCTAGACATTCCACCTTGAAAGACAGCATCCAGACATTCCACCTCGAGAGACAGCTTCCAGACATTCCACCTTGAAAGACAGCATTCAGACATCCCACTTCTAGAGACAGCATCAACATCTCGCGCCTCGAGAGACAGCATCCAGACATTCCACCTTGAAAGACAGCATTCAGACATCCCACCTCTAGAGACAGCATCCAGACATTCCACCTTAAATGACAGCATTCAGACATTCCATCTCGAGAGACAGCATCCAGACATCCCGCCTCGAGAGACAGCATCCAGACATCCCGCCTCGAGAGACAGCATCCAGACATTCCACCTTAAATGACAGCATTCAGACATCCCACCTCGAGAGACAGCATCCAGACATCCCACCTCTAGAGACAACATCCAGACATCCCGCCTCGAGAGACAGCATCCAGACATCCCACCTCTAGAGACGACATCCAGACATCCCGCCTCGAGAAGCTCTTGACTGTACGTGCCGTTACACACCGGAGTGAAAGGAAATGAAAGAGCTAATGGGCTGACTGTCTTTAGTGGCTGGTGGAAGAAGTCACGGACAGGGCAGGCATGCTGAATGCGCTGCATTTCAGAGACAAGGAGACAAAGGAGTCAATAGTAATGAACCACCTGTTTGAAATTGGTATGAAACTAGGACAAGCATGCATAAACCGGTGGCAGGGTAAAGAATAAAGATATGCCAGTCAACTGCATCAGAGGGGGGGGGGGGGGGGGGGAGCACACAAGTGGGTCAGACCCACCTGCTAGAATGTTGATATAGAAAACATGTTTGTAGTTCTGCCTGTGGTCTATGTCTGCACCATTGTGGTCTATCTCATGATCTACTCCTATTCAGCTTTTTTGTGTGTGTGTCTACAGTTTAAATCTCCATATTATCTGCCATTCTCTGTATATGCCTCAATCAAAGTGTGTTGTTAAAAAGTATTACAGGTGATCACAGTGGTCCTTGAGGGAGTCCAGAATACCCTGTTGAACCTCCTAAGAAGTTATAATGTAAGCACTCATAACGGCTACAGCAGGTATTACTCAAGGGAACTTTGCTTCCCTAGACTGGTAGGGCTATATGAGCTGAAAGAGTATGGTTGTGTTTCTCTGTAACTTCACTGTAAATTATATATATCTTGTTTCAGATAGAACAGAAAAAGATTAAATCGGGACATTTGTACAACAGAGTGAAGCAGGAGGTGGCCATTCACTTCAGACTCAAACATCCATCGGTCCTGGAGGTCAGTCCTCAGACATACTCAAGATTGTCATTTGTGTTTGTAGTTGTTTGCTTTCATCTATCATAAATTGCAGTGTATATGTCAAGTTTTCAAGCCTTTAAAATCTTTCCAAAACTAATGCTAAACTTATATGAAGAGTATCCTTTAATTTTCACTGATTGTAGATTCCGGCAGTAAGTTTAGTTTGTTTGTCCACTTTTGGACTTTATTCTCTTTCCAGAGCTTGAGTTTTGCATGCACATCCATTTTACAAGTGTAGCTTATTTGTATGCAAACGACTGGTTCCTCACCTCTCAGGCAGATACACTCTAATTTCGAAGGAACACCACACTCTAATTTCGAAGGAACATCACACTCTAATTTTGAAGGATCACCACACTCTAATTTTGAAGGAACACCACACTCTAATTTTGAAAGAACGCCACACTCTAATTTTGAAGGAACGCCACACTCTAATTTTGAAAGAACGCCACACTCTAATTTTGAAGGAACACCACACTTTAATTTTGAAGGAACGCCACACTCAAATTTTGAAGGAACGCCACACTCTAATTTTGAAGGAACGCCACACTCTGATTTTGAAAGAATGCCACACTCTAATTTTGAAGGAACGCCACACTCTAATTTTGAAGGAACGCCACACTCTAATTTTGAATGAACACCCCTAATCAGTTGACTCTTACAGCGTGCTTATTGGGGAGGCGGTGGGTCTGTTCTTTTTCCCCCTACACTGGAGCTCCAGAACCCACACAGGAATATAATGGAGGGTTTGGTTTATGGTTTATACAATGGATCAGCAACATGGCACAAGGGTAGTAACCCATAAGTAACTAAAGCCGGAGATTGAAGAATCTCAGCGCAGGGCTGGAACTCTGTAGCACCGGCGAGGATCCTGAAACACGTTGGGTTGATTTTTAAGGCTGTGTGCGGTTGTTCAAAACAGTGAATTCGGGTCAGTTCTACATGTTTTGGGAAAGTTCATTTTTACACACCTTAGTATGTCTTCTGTCAGATTCTGTATTTGTTTTTGTCTAAAATATGTTATTTTAATGCAATATTAATATTTTATTGAGCTAACCTTAGCTGTGAAATAATTTGTTCATTGACATTTTTTTAACGAAATTGTCGTTTTTCCCACTTTGACAACGTCATGTCCACAAGGAGATAACTGTATGTATTATATACCATTATAAGCGTAATTATGTCCCCTGCATTGTTCGGTGGGAATCATGATCGCAGAATTTCAAATTTTCCATTCATTGCCGATTCACTAACCCATTTAAAAGCCCGGAAATATACATATATGGGTGCACACACGACATCGTGTAATACGGGCGATTCACACCGGCTGAAACTGATCACGTGAGTATCTGATACTCAAAGATGGCCACTGTGGTCGATTGTTTATTGGGCGACAAGAGTTCTGCCGCTGATAGAAAAATGCCTTGTTCCAAACAATTTAAATGTGTTAATAGAATAATTTGTTTATTCAGTTATTTTATATGTTTGTGTTAGAAGGTCAGATGTGTTCACCAGACACAATTTTTAATGGGATATATTTGTGGCGTACGTTTGCAGCCTCTGATGGCCAATTGTATGTTCATCTCCTTCCATTTTCAGCTGTATGATGTTTTCCAAGACTCGAACTATGTGTACTTGATACTTGAGCTGTGTCACAATGGCCAGATGCAGCAGTATCTTGACACTCATTCCAAGACCCTGACGGAAGATGAAGCTCGGGCGGTCATGCATCAGGTTATTGAGGGAATCCTTTATTTGCACTCCCATGGAATTGTCCACCGAGATCTGTCTCTGGCCAATCTGTTGCTAACCAAGGACATGCATGTGGTATGTGATTGTGGTTCAGTTGACCAAGGACATGCATGTGGTATGTGATTGTGGTTCAGTTGTTGACCAAGGACATGCATGTGGTATGTGATTGTGGTTCAGTTGTTGACCAAGGACATGCATGTGGTATGTGATTGTGGTTATGTTGTTGACCAAGGACATGCATGTGGTATGTGATTGTGGTCCAGTTGTTGACCAAGGACATGCATGTGGTATGTGATTGTGGTTATGTTGTTGACCAAGGACATGCATGTGGTATGTGATTGTGGTTCAGTTGCTGACCAAGAACATGCATGTGGTATGTGATTGTGGTTCAGTTGCTGACCAAGAACATGCATGTGGTATGTGATTGTGGTTCAGTTGTTGACCAAGGACATGCATGTGGTATGTGATTGTGGTTATGTTGCTGACCAAGAACATGCATGTGGTATGTGATTGTGGTTCAGTTGCTAAATGTTTTAGTTTACTTGTGTCAAAATTTGTGCCAAAGGGAAGTCAGAAAGAGACAAGCCCTAACTGTGCAGTAAACAGTAATTAAAGCCTTTATCTTTTGTCTTGCACGTTCGTCCTTTAAAGGACAGTTGGCACATTATGTTGTAGTTTACAGCTGGGCTGCGATATTTGCACCTTCCGGCCCAACATGTCCGATTTCAGCAAACCTCTAATTAGTCTCCATTCATCTCTGTGATTTGCCTTCCTCTTACCTGTTGTTGACCACAGATGTTTGTAACTCTGCCTGTGATCTCTTCATCATCTTTTTGGTCTGCCACATCGTCGCCCCTCATTCAACTCTTTTGTGTGTACAGTTTTCTCTCTGTACCGTTCTGTATTTGTCCCAACTATGATTCCATTAGTTAGTGGTGATTGAAACAAATTAGGAAATCTTTGTTATAATTTAATTCTCACGTTCTTCTGTACTGGATATCTTAGTTTTAATTTAATTCTCACGTTCTTCTGTACTGGATATCTTAGTTATAATTTAATTCTCACGTTCTTCTGTACTGGATATCTTAGTTATAATTTAATTCTCACGTTCTTCTGTACTGGATATCTTAGTTTTAATTTAATTCTCACGTTCTTCTGCACTGGATATCTTAGTTATAATTTAATTCTCATGTTCTTGGTTACAGGATATCTTAGTTATGATTTAATTCTCACGTTCTTCTGTACTGGATATCTTAGTTATAATTTAATTCTCACGTTCTTCTGTACTGGATATCTTAGTTTTAATTTAATTCTCACGTTCTTCTGTACTGGATATCTTAGTTTTAATTTAATTCTCACGTTCTTCTGTACTGGATATCTTAGTTATAATTTAATTCTCACGTTCTTCTGTACTGGATATCTTAGTTTTAATTTAATTCTCACGTTCTTCTGTACTGGATATCTTAGTTATAATTTAATTCTCACGTTCTTCTGTACTGGATATCTTAGTTTTAATTTAATTCTCATGTTCTTGGTTACAGGATATCTTAGTTATAATTTAATTCTCACGTTCTTCTGTACTAGATATCTTAGTTTTAATTTAATTCTCACGTTCTTCTGTACTAGATATCTTAGTTTTAATTTAATTCTCACGTTCTTCTGTACTGGATATCTTAGTTTTAATTTAATTCTCACGTTCTTCTGTACTGGATATCTTAGTTATAATTTAATTCTCACGTTCTTCTGTACTGGATATCTTAGTTTTAATTTAATTCTCACGTTCTTCTGTACTGGATATCTTAGTTTTAATTTAATTCTCATGTTCTTGGTTACAGGATATCTTAGTTATAATTTAATTCTCACGTTCTTCTGTACTGGATATCTTAGTTATAATTTAATTCTCACGTTCTTCTGTACTGGATATCTTAGTTTTAATTTAATTCTCACGTTCTTCTGTACTGGATATCTTAGTTATAATTTAATTCTCACGTTCTTCTGTACTGGATATCTTAGTTTTAATTTAATTCTCACGTTCTTCTGTACTGGATATCTTAGTTATAATTTAATTCTCACGTTCTTCTGTACTGGATATCTTAGTTTTAATTTAATTCTCACGTTCTTCTGTACTGGATATCTTAGTTATAATTTAATTCTCACGTTCTTCTGTACTGGATATCTTAGTTATAATTTAATTCTCACGTTCTTCTGTACTGGATATCTTAGTTTTAATTTAATTCTCACTTCTTTCTTCTGTACTGGATATCTTAGTTATAATTTAATTCTCACGTTCTTCTGTACTGGATATCTTAGTTTTAATTTAATTCTCACGTTCTTCTGTACTGGATATCTTAGCTATAATTTAATTCTCACGTTCTTCTGTACTGGATATCTTAGTTATAATTTAATTCTTGTATTCTTGGTTACAGGTCGTATAGGTTTTAATTTAATTCACATGTTCGTGGTTACAGATAATCTGGATTATAATTTATTTCATATGTTCTTGGTTACAGAAAATCTCAGATTTTGGTGTGTCAACAACATTAGAGGATCCCAACCAGAAGCACTACACCATGTGCGGGACACCAAATTACATGTCTCCGTAAGTATTGTCTTCGTTTGTTGTTGTTTAGTAAAGTAGGTCAATCAGAAAGTGGTTGTCTTTTGTTTGAGGGGTGAGAAATGAAGATTTTCAGCAAGGGGTGTAACCAAGCATTTTGATTTATGTGTGTATTTGAAACCCCTTTGAGTCCCACTAAAGATGGCATGTATTCATTAATGTTTCCATTAGCCCAGTAACCGTATGACGAGTACATGTTTTTAATTTGCCAATGAGCCGTGGAAAAGGATAAATTTGCAATTTTGAATGGTCTTTCTGGTTCCTTGTGTTAAAAAACACGCTTGTTTATTCGGAATCGTGGTTAAAACATAAATATGGTATGTTTGTGAGCTTTACTAAGTGTTAGTCTGAGAATGATATACTTGTTGGACAGTTTTTTTTCCATGCATGCCAAGGTCATGTATGGCTTTAAAAGCTTCAAATTAGAAATTTAAAAAAAACTTCATTAGATTTATCTGATGCTAGAGAAAGAACATAGTGAAATAGACTTGTTTCAACCTCTGCTGAGGAGTAGCTCTAATATGCAAAACGAAAAATAATAACAAATTCAGGTGGCACAAAGAGAATAAATATTAATGTAAAAGGCGTATGTCTTCAGTGTCACTTAGTTCTAGTGCTGTTCCGCTTATTATTTATGCAAGCAATATGTATGGGGTGACTCATGCATCAACCTCCATCACTAAGGGTTACAGACAAATTTGACATCAACTTTGTTTTCCAAAACCAAAAGCCATTGGGGTCATATGGATCTCTCCTCCTCCCCCACCCCCTTTTCCTCTGAATGCTATACTTAGTTACTCTATTCATATCCTACTCTACCAAACTCTACATGGGTGCACATAGGAACTGTGCGATTTAACACTTTCTGTTATTTGGTGATAAATCAGTATTTACAGGACTGTGTCAAAACCCGAAGCGACTAGATTTGCCTTCTCTGAGTAGAGTAAAGGCCCCTTTTCCACGCCTTTAGGCTAGACCTATATTTTTATAGACCAATCGGCACAAGATGGTCAGTATAGCGATGGCCACCTTTACTTCCCCAGACTGCACCCGGTCCCCATTCAAGGCTGGCTCAATCTGGGAGTCAAAACAATTTTTAAAAATCTCAGGCTCCGCCAGGGAGCAAACCCACAACCTTCCGATCCGCATGCGGGCGTCTAGCCGCAATGCCTCGGCAACTCCCTGCCTTCGCGGGGTGAGGGGCTTAAATTTTTAAAAAATTTTACTTATGTGTCTGTTTCTTTGCCACAGGGAGATTATCACAAGAAGTGCACATGGCCAGGAGACAGATGTCTGGTCACTTGGTGTTATGCTGTATATATGCCTAGTGGGGAAACGTCCCTTTGAGTCTGGCGGCGTGCACAGTACACTCAAACGAGTGGTACAAGGAGAATACGAACTGCCTGGCACATTAAGTCCTGAAGCTAGTGACCTCATTCAGAAAATGCTTCGCAAAGCTGAAAATCGGATTTCAATACAAGGTTAGCATTGTGTGTATTGTTGTTAATTTCATGTGTTTTTTTTGAAGCTGTAGAAGTCCATTATCAGCGACTGCATTCTGGCTGGATAGAGTAGAGAGGATTGACTTCATTGGACAGGGTTTTATCCCTTGTGGTTTCTAGCTGCAGACCGAGAGTGTTGCAAACAGCATGATCCCCTTTATATCTCAGTAATAATTGCACTGATGAACCAAATGTATGAGAGCTGGATATAGAAAACATTGAACATGTGACATAGCAAAGTAGTTTAACAGAAACCAGACACAAACACAAGTCATTACAATTTCACCCTACAATAGAACACTGTAAACTGTTTTTCTAGACTGTCACTGGAAGCTATTGTAATATTTTGATTGTTTTTTTTTTTAATGTTTTTTTTTCTATTTTTAACTAAACATAAAAAAAAAAAAAGTTTTTTGTAAAATATCTCCTTACTGTTTCATTCCTTGTCTGTGAAGAATTGTTTTTCTGGACTGAGTGGAACGAATGCACTCTGCTCACCCAATCAGTCACAGATAGGATTTGTATTTCTCCTCAGATGCATTAAATGCAGAGCCGTGACCTAGGATTAAAATATGGGAAGACTGTCCTGGTAAACAGATGCCTGAAAAAGTTGGGCGTGTTGTCTGAAAGGGGCATATGTCGCAGTGATGCTGTAAACAGGCACAGCTAAAAAATGTCACTCATGCGAGCGATAAAGAAGAAGATGTTGACTCATGTTTTTGGGGTTATCTTCCACAGATATTCTTACACATCCTTTCATGAGGGTGAAACCAGCGGCCGCCAAAATAACAAACAAGGTAAAAACCAAATTTGATGATATTTTTTCTTTAATTTGTCAACATTGTTGTATTTAGAGTAACTGAAGCAGATGCCACAATCTTCAGGCTGGTAATGTATGAGAGTTGTTCACCCTACCCCATCATTTCATTTAGTGAAGATTTTACATTTCTATCTTGTTTCGTTGATTTCCTGTGACCGGTCAAAGTGCACCTTGACTTTACAGATACATGGTACATTAAGTACATGCAATAGCGATAATGTTCCTCGAATACCGTGCTCTAATTGTCAAAAATTTCTGAACGCCAGCAGGTTTTGCTAGTCACACTCACCATCGCAGCAGGTTTTGCTAGTCACACTTACCATCGCAGCAGGTTTTGCTAGTCACACTCACCATCGCAGCAGGTTTTGCTAGTCACACTCACCATCGCAGCAGGTTTTGCTAGTCACACTCACCATCGCAGCAGGTTTTGCTAGTCACACTCACCATCGCAGCAGGTTTTGCTAGTCACACTCACCATCGCAGCAGGTTTTGCTAGTCACACTCACCATCGCAGCAGGTTTTGCTAGTCACACTCACCATCGCAGCAGGTTTTGCTAGTCACACTCACCATCGCAGCAGGTTTTGCTAGTCACACTAGCCCTCTCAGTAGGCTGTGATTCCTATGCCTCCCTCTAGCACAGTATAACTCTATCGTCGGGAAAGATGCCACCAGTAAGTTACTTCAGTTTAAGCTCTCCACTTAACCATTCTCTACCTTTCTTTGCTTCTTTTATCCTAGTTCATCTGTTTCTTTTGTTGATATGAGATTTACATTTTGTTAACCTTTTTGTGTGTGTGTAATTAATCAACTTAGGCAATCCTCTTTTTCAGCATTCCCGGTCCTTGAGGTTCATTGCTGCAGATATCCCCCTGCCTCATTTCATCTCCGCGATTGGCCGTCTTTTTTCAAGTTTTGTGAATCTAAATGTTTGTAGGTCTGCATGTATGCTATCTCTCCACCATCTTGTTTGATCTGCCTCCTAGCCTACACCCATTCAGCTGTGCTTGGTTGCATAGTTTGTAGCTCTCTGTGTATGGCCCAAACATTACAGTCTGTTTACCCTCATGCGGCTCCGTGGCTTACAGGCTAGTAAATGTGGTTAACAATTTCATGACCCTCGAGTACTGTGGTTTGTTCCCCGCGGTGGATGGGTCAAAATCTGTTCTCATGGTTTTTGGACAATGGTACAAGAGTCACACCGTGCAAGAGATTGGGGCCTCACCAGGTAATATTCCCAAAGAGAACTGTACACAACCTCCATTGTGGAGACAGCACCGAACTTAAAACCCTCATGATGCCAGTATTTAGGGGTGTTTTAAAAAGATTATTAATTTCATTTTTAGACAATGCCATTAAAAAAATCTACTATGTGTCTGGCAGATAGCGGATATGTCCATGGATAGTGGCTGCGGGACAATCTCGTCCACAAAACACAGCACTAGCAGCAGCAGCAGCAACCTCTATGCCCCCAGCAGGAGAAACCAGCCCATGCCTGCCTTCCCGCTGCAGCAGTTCGAGACACACAAAGAAGAAAATAGATCCAACATGAGTATCGGTTCAAGCTCCAGTGGCAGCAGGAGCCTGTCGTACATCAGTCAAAGTTCCTCTCTCAGTGATCGACATCCTCCAAGTCCTCCGGTCCGAGAAAGAGATAGGTGAGTCCACAGTTGCACGGCAACCTCGGTGCACCATTAACTGATTGATTTACTGATTTAAGATTCCACATCATAGTGTCCTGGGCGTACCCATGGATGTTCCGTCTCCTGCAGCAAATGTCTTAAGGTGTAGATTCTAACTGTCCTCTTATCACACTGATTATACACACACCATTCTCTAACTGTCATATACCTGTCCTTGTCGGATTCCCTCCTAATTCCTGGTTCATACATTCTTACACTTGTTATTTCATCTAACCTTATGTCTTCTATTGACATTCATTCAAAAGTGGCCTTCAGAAGGTCTACTTTGTCCAGTTCGAGTGTTCCTGTGGCTGTCACTTTTGTTGCCAGAAAATCTGTGTGATTGTTCCCTCACACTCCTGCATGTCCTGGACAGTAAATCCGTGTGATTGTTCCCTCACATTCCTGCGTGTCCTGGACAGTAAATCCGTGTGATTGTTCTCGCACACTACTGCGTGTCCTGGACAGTAAATCCGTGTGAGTCCTGGTAATGTTGACACGCTGATGTTTTGTATCCACTCATGCAACATTTGTCCCTTTATTTTTTTGCTGCATTTATTTTCTGTTTGTTTCCAGTGTCCAACAGAACAGCAGCATGCACAACAGTGTAATAAATGTCAAATTATCTTAAGCAAGTTCTTTTAGCTGTCAGTTCCTAACTCAGCTTACTAAGAAACTGCTTTTCCGCTACCTTTGTGATATATCTTTTCAACTGCTGTTTCTTGAGTTTTCTTTCTAAACCATTTTCCTTCTCAAAAACTATTTTCCCAAACTAATATCTCAAGCTTGCATGCAACTGCCATATCATGGTGGTGGTCAAATATGCCAGATCTGTCAAACTGGTGTGCACACAAAAGTCAAGCCCTGAAGTCTGGACCAAGATAACCAGCCAGGACTTTTTATCGGAGTTCACAGCTGGTGAGCCCACAAGAATGGTGGAATTATGGGTAATGTGCGTGTTTGCAACCTTTTTGACATGAAGATTGCTGACAAGGGCGTGGTAGTTTAAATTAGCTTGGCAGTATGAAATACCATGCAGACCTTAATCAGAATGGGACACTGAACTGAAAGTAAACTTTTGCCGACTTAGTTTCTAGATGTTTGCCTACTGCTCTGAAAGTCTTGTATTCGAATGTATGCAGTGTGGAAATTAAGTAATTGACATTGACTCATAGGTCAACTCGGCCTAAATATGGGAAGTAAAGGCGGGAGGCGCGATATTGATCACATCACCCAACGAATGATCATACACTGGTGAATTATTGCACTGTCCTATAGATCACACACTGGTGAATTATTGCACTGTCCTATAGAACATACACTGGTGAATTATTGCACTGTCCTATAGATCACACACTGGTGAATTATTGTATTGCCCCGTAGATCACTGGTGAATTATTGTACTGCCCCATAGATCACACATTGTTGAATTATTGTACTGTCCTATAGTTCATACACTGGTGAATTATTGTACTGTCCTATAGATCACACACTGGTGAATTATTGCACTGTCCCATAGTTCATACACTGGTGAATTATTGTACTGTCCTATAGATCACACACTGGTGAATTATTGTACTGTCCTATAGATCACACACTGGTGAATTATTGCACTGTCCTATAGATCACACACTGGTGAATTATTGTACTGTCCTATAGATCACACACTGGTGAATTATTGTACTGTCCTATAGATCATACACTGGTGAATTATTGCACTGTCCTATAGATCATACACTGGTGAATTATTGTACTGTCCTATAGATCACACACTGGTGAATTATTGTACTGTCCTATAGATCATACACTGGTGAATTATTGTACTGTCCTATAGATCACACACTGGTGAATTATTGTACTGTCCCATAGATCACACACTGGTGAATTATTGCACTGTCCTATAGATCACACACTGGTGAATTATTGTACTGTCCCATAGATCATACACTGGTGAATTATTGTACTGTCCTATAGATCACACACTGGTGAATTATTGCACTGTCCTATAGATCACACACTGATGAATTATTGCACTGTCCTATAGATCACACACTGGTGAATTATTGTACTGTCCTATAGATCACACACTGGTGAATTATTGCACTGTCCTATAGATCACACACTGGTGAATTATTGTACTGTCCCATAGATCATACACTAGTGAATTATAGTACTCTTCCCTACACGAGATATGTACATTATTTTCTTGATGCTGATTGCCATTTTATTCTGCTTTTCCATTCCTGTAGCCAAAGTGAGGAAGAGCTTCGAAGATCCAAGGCAGCCATGAGGAACATCAAAAAACATTTGTCTCAGCCCCAAAATATTCACTCCGCAGCTCACAGGGAAGTAGAAGCTAAGTCTGCAGGTCATGGATGTCATAGCTACCACGAGCAGTACACAGCCGAAGCCACAAATCAGCCACATTTTCACTCTTTACAATCAAATGATCATCAGACCGCTCAAAGGCAGTATCAAACTTTCGACCCTCGTAGGTATAAAGATCCTGATTGCAGTAGTAATTATAACAACTCAGGGTTACAGCCGGTGCAGCACAGTGAAAGGGTAGATCAGTACAGAGGCAGTCAACAGTTACAGCAGATGTCGCAGAATATTTCGGTGGATCCACAAAATATGCAGACGCAAGATCTGGCCTGTACAGTTTATAACTTCGTAGCTAAAGATGAAACTCAGAAACGGCTGAAGAACTCCCAGCCGGTGGAGCTTGTCTTCAATAAAATGCCAGTACAGGTAACTAATGTAGTGTATCGTGTTTCTGTTTATTTACATTTTGAAGGCTGGCTTTTTAATTTTCATTAATTATTTTTGTTTATGAAAAAAATTTAACTTTCTATTTTATTTTTTCAAATATTTTCACTATTTTGTTTTACAATTCATAATGTTTGCAGGTTTTTTTTTCATATTCTCACATTATCTCTGTTGATCTTTTTATTATCTGTACACTTTGAATATTCTTTTCTTCTTAGCATTCACCAGCTGTAAACTCTAGTGGAAAGTCCTGGCTGTTGTCCATTTCTGCATTTTCTTCTTGTTCCAGAACTTGTTTTGCATGTACATGTGTTTTACCTCTTTGGCTTATTTATTTTCAGATTGTTGGTTCCCTGCCTTTCGGGCACATACAATCTGACTTGTAGAATACTTATTTTCAGATTTACACTCAAAAAGAGGGATTGGGAAGGGGGGGGGGGCTGGAGAAGTGGTTAAACCATGTGCCTCACGCTTTGGAGGTCGTGGGTTAATTTCATGGACTACATCATTTGGTTCACAAATGCATTGTACAAAGATTCCCAGGGATTGTCACTTATGCTATGGGGTTTGTGCTTTGTGTGAGACTACCACAGACAGCTAGCAGCTCACGAAATGAAACATGGCCTTATGGAATAAAACACAATGCAGCGAAGTCACTAAAAACTTTCAGATTGTTACAAACTATTCCCCATATTATACCTTTTCTTTCCACATTTTCATTGCTTCTTTATATCTCCATTGTTTTTACATTTGGAATATTTGATTGTATAACTTTATGGAATTTGATTAAGAATCTGTCAATGAAACTAAATTAATCAGGTGCAACTTCTCAAAAGAAGAATCCAGAAATGGAAATAATAGTATACTCTGTTGTTGCTTCCATTAAACACCATCAGTCAGATCTGTAAAACGGATGCACACGCAACAGTTAGGTTCTGGAACAGGACTGCAGTCCGAGAGTGGATGAACAACCAGAACTTTCCGCCAGAGTTTATAGCTGGTGAACACGAAGAAGAAGAAGCTTCCATTAACCCTCTTCTTCTTCTTCTTCTTCTGCGTTCGACATCAGTCATGCTACACATTGAGTCCCGTCTGGGTCACAAATAGGATTGTGCGTTTAAGGTCGCCACCGGTCCCCCAAGCTTCTCTTGCAATGTAGCTCCCTTGGTCCAGATCCACAGTCTTTGCTGGGAGAGGTTAGGGCAGTACTGTAGTATGTGCTCTGGGGTTTGTCTTTCTGCTCCACAATCACAGGCAGCAGATTCTTTTATGCCTATCCTGTACAAGTGTGCTCGAAGACCACAGTGTCCAGTCCGAAGTCTAAAAATTCATGTTTGTTCTTTTCTGTTGAGTTTGTTTATGCTGTCACTCTCTGGTCTGTAATCTCCGTTCTTCCTTCTCCACTCCCGCTTGAAAGATTGCTTTAGCGCTGTTTTGGTTTCCTTGTAGCTGTGTGGTGGATGAGGTTGTGGAAGATTACTTCCAGCTTTTGCCAACTCATCTGCTCTCTCATTTCCTTGAATACCTCAGTGGACTGGTATCCACTGCAAGACCAGTTCTGCTTCCTTGGAGAGTAAGCCAATGTTGGTCCTTAGATCTGCAATTAGTTTGTCTTGTTTTTTGCTTGACAGTGCTTGGAGAACAGACAATGAGTCACTAAGTATAACAATTTTGTGCCCTCTGTGTTCTTGAGCATTAACCCTCTGAAAATAAAGTTTGTTTGTTCATTCATTTATTCTTCAGTTTTCAAGTCCCGAACCAGCCAGCAGAAAAGTCAAGTTGACGGAGAAGGAGATGCAGCATTGTCTGACGACAAAGAAGAAGACAACTCTCAAAAGTGATAAGAAACGAGCTTCACCAGAGCTGTACAGTTTAGGACCTGCGTTCAGTACTCAGGGTTTAACTCCCTTACGACAGAAGAGCAGCGTTGCTGTGGTAAGTGTGTAGTCTTGAGGAGTGACTCTTGTCATACTCGTGTAGTGCCAGAGTTAACCAGTGATGTAGTATGCCATTAGACGAAAAGAACTTGTGGCACTCTGCGACACAAACAAAAAAAACATTAACCGCTTCGCCTTGCAAATGTTTTTAAAAAAATTTCGGTCATGACTCCAGGAATTCTTAAACCCACTGATTGCCACACCCGTTAACCCTTGTACTTTCCCAGAGACCACATATTTTAGCGTTTACTAAAAATGTCATAGCTTCACAACTATTTAACATGAACTTATAATGTTTTGCACCAAAGTGAAAGAAGAACAAATTCAAAAATATAAAAACAATTGCATAATCTTGTATATCATCATCATGTGGCTGTACATTTGTGGGAAATGGCAACTGACAAATTTTCTGACACCAATAGAATACATCCCCCCCCCCCCCCCCCAAATATTCTTGGATGAACGCTCTGCCTTACTGTGAAATAAAATTCTGCAAGTTTATTGGCTGTTTGCCATTTTGCATCAAAAACATTTGACGCGGTATGACTGAACTGTCAACCTCAAAAGGCAACTAATTAAAAAAAACTTCCTGAAACGTGCATAGCGGAAAACACATCCTGGTAAATGTAGAGGATTACATTGTGAAATGATTTTCGCTAAACTCTAGGCCACAGAGCCGTAATGAACACAGTCTACACTGTCAGACACATCTAACAATGCACACCTGAAGCACAGACAGGAAACAGTTTGCCCGATCTAATGTAACATAACACACCTGTGACCTACCTCCGCTGCCATGCCGCTGCTGTCAGCGAAACATCATCTTCCAGTTGAGATATTTTTTATAGCAATTCTTAAGAATAATAAAAGTCACAGTCATGAAACTGTTCAGAAATATCCTCACTTATACTTTCTGATTTAAAACAATCAAGACTATCCGATAGTATCAGGAATATTCTTAGAGGTTATAGTGAGCGTGTTTAACAACTCAATGATCCTTGAGTACTAGGATTTATTCTCTGCTGAGAACAGTTTATTTAAATAACAAATTTAAAAAAAAAAGAGAAAGAAAACATTCTTGTGGTTTTTGGAAAGTAGTGCGTAAGTTGCACCGTGGAAGAGATTGATGGGGCATGATATGTTAGAAAAACTAATAGAAGACTTTGTGAAGAAGAAAAAAGGGAAGACTTCCTGGGAAAAAACTAATACAAGGGTTCTTGAAAAAAAGACAATAGAAAACTTTCTTGCAGACAAATAATAGAAGACATCTTAAAGACAAATAATAGAAAGCATCTTGCAGACAAATAATAGAAGACATCTTAAAGACAAATAATAGAAAGCATCTTGCAGACAAATAATAGAAGACACCTTAAAGACAAATAATAGAAGGCATCTTGCAGACAAATAATAGAAGACATCTTAAAGACAAATAATAGAAAGCATCTTGAAGACAAATAATAGAAGACATCTTAAAGACAAATAATAGAAAGCATCTTGAAGACAAATAATAGAAGACATCTTAAAGACAAATAATAGAAGACATGTTGAAGAAAAATAATAGAAGACATGTTAAAGAAAAATAATATAAGAGATCTTGAAGACAAATGATGGAAGGGTTCTTAAAGAAAAATGTAGAAGGGTTCTTGGAAAATGTTAACGAGATGGAACCATTGTCTCTTAGATGAACATCCTGGAGAGTGGGAATATTGTTGTGGAGTTCACCGTGAAGAAAGGACAGGTGGAGACAGTCTCGGATGTCATCATCATCAGCTCTGATGGCATGCAGGTATGCGGCAGAATCTTGTCATTGTTGTTGTTTGACGGCTGTCTCATGTCTGACACACACTTGATGACTGTCTCATGTCTGACACACACTTGACGACTGTCTCATGTCTGACACACACTTGACGACCGTCTCATGTCTGACACACACTTGATGACTGTCTCATGTCTGACACACACTTGACGACTGTCTCATGTCTGACAAACACTTGATGGCTGTCTCATGTCTGACACACACTTGACGACTGTCTCATGTCTGACACACACTTGACGGCTGTCTCATGTCTGACACACACTTGACGGCTGTCTCATGTCTGACACACACTTGACGGCTGTCTCATGTCTGACACACACTTGACGACTGTCTCATGTCTGACACACACTTGACGGCTGACACACACTTGGCGACTGTTTGAAATGCTTGTGGATATTTACAATTTACTAATGATTGCCCATATGTGTATCTTATCTCTTGTGAGATAGCTGAACAGTAGGCTACCGTCTGTCTCTAGGGACCAAGGAGTTGTACCGCTGGTTTTGGGAACAGTGTTTACTATGGCTGTAAAGTTCAGAGTTGAGGTGACAGTCTCTGCCACATAATCCACATGAAACATTGATATGCTATTGTTTTTAGGCTGGTTTTCTTTCACAATCTCCTCTGTATAGCATCTGGCTTTTTTCAAACTGTGACAGTCCATCTTTTACTGTCTGCCTCTAATAGTAGACATTGACTGGACCAGATCAGCTGTGATAGTGTATTACAGAATATAACTGGATATTGTCTACTCGTTACCACCTGTGTACATTTAGAATGTCATCTATGTCTTACATATCAAAGGAGTCAGTTTGCAGTTGATCTCTTCCAAGTTTTGATGCCACTGTTGATATCTTTCAGATCGTGTTTGTGTATATCCTTATAGTGCAGCATTGACTTCCTGCAGATCTTATTCCTGTTACCAGTTCATCATATCCCTGTTACCAGTTCACCATATCCCTGTTACCAGTTCACCATATCCCTGTTACCAGTTCACCATATCCCTGTTACCAGTTCACCATATCCCTGTTACCAGTTCACCATATCCCTGTTACCAGTTCACCATATCCCTGTTACCAGTTCACCATATCCCTGTTACCAGTTCACCATATCCCTGTTACCAGTTCACCATACAGGAGGTCCTTTGGAGTGTGACCGTCCTGCCTGCCAGATACCTGAAAGTCAGCAAATTATAACCGGATAATTCATGATTCTTGCGGAGTGTACTCTAGACACAAATTATTGCTTTGTGATGTAGATGTTTTCTGCTCTTGGTATCCATACAGGTAACAAGATACAAGCCGGAAGTTGCTATCCCAGTAGGTGACCATCCGACACTGATCCCAGAGCATTGCGAAACATTTGTGTACCCACATTTCCCTGAGAAGTTGGTCAAAAAGTATATGTTTGCTGCCAAGTGAGTCATTCTTCTCTTATTGTTATGAAATATGTACGAGAGAGAGAAAAATCACTCACTGCCACTTATTCTCTGCCACCCCCTACTTTTTTTTTTTTTTTTTTTTTTATACAAACACATCCCTCCTGTCCCAATCTGTGAGAGATGTTGATCACATAATCTGCTGGGAGCTCATTTATCTGACAAAGATTTTGTGCTAGCGTCATATGATGTCATCTCTAGTTTAACAAGGCAAGCTGAAGAGACCACAGCCTAGGTTACATTGTAAGCCTTTCTGTCTGGGAGCACTAAACAAATGGGACATGACCATGTTGGAATTCCACAAGACAGATCATTGAAGATATGAAGGACCAAGAGACTGCACACAAATATTCCTAAACTGTAAAATGGGTTTGCATGCAAACCTCAAATCCTGGAACAAGACCAGAGTCCAGAAGTGGACAAACAACCAGGACTTTCCACCTGAGCTTGCAATCAGTAAAAGCCAAAGGGAAGAAGCTAAGAATGAATGTAATCCCTATCTCTGTGATGATGAATTATGCTAAATAATGTGCTGTGTTCAATGCAAAGTCAGTCTGGTTTTTGTTAGCTGTCAGACCATGCTAGTATGTAGGCATTTATGTCCTGGTAGTTCAAACGTCTATCTCCAGATGTGCCAAAGCTAATCAAGTAATGGGGCAACTACCTCCCCTGTTGACACACAAGCAGATACCTCAGAGTACTAAAGTGAATCTTATCACAGCTATTTTTTGGCCAACACTATGCTATCCAATGAACGTAAAATTGGGACAACAGAGATGAAATGCCTTAGAAGAGCTGCAGGAGTTTCAAGAAAACACAGAATACGAAATCATGAAATCAGAAGAATGCTAGGAATAAAGCCAGTCTTACAGGGCATCAAAGAACAACAAATAAAGTGGTTTGGACACCTAACAAGAATGCCCTGGTACTGTCTGCCACAGCGAGCCACACTAAAACGTTACAACTTGTACAGAGCGAGTGGAAGACCTCCGAAAATACGGAGTGATGGCATTAAGAACAGCCTTACAGAAATGGACATCAGTCTAAATAGTGCTCTTGACAGAGCTCATCAACGAACATTACCCCCCCCCCCCCCCCCCCCCCCCCCCCCCCCCCCCCCCCCCCCCCCCCCCCCCCGTCACTTCGGTAAAGAACATACAAAGTGGAAGAGAAGAAGAAGAAGTTTAAATGTCTGTGAACAACATTCACAGCAGAGGATGGAAAATTTAAGGAAAAAATTCATATCTGATGCAGGAAAGCAAACCAAGTATTGCGACAGCTAGCTCCCTTCTTACATCCTAAGACAGTCCCGATCAGCACAAAGACATTTCTTGTACAAAGCGTATTAATTCCCAATGTGTGCCACAAGTGCCAGACATAATCACTTACAACAGGCCAGAAAAGAAAATTAGTAACCACAGAAATAAGATGACTGAGAAAGGCTGCAGGGATGACCAAAAGAGACAAATTAGGAATGAAATCATACGAGAAGTCGGCACTACAGTGTGTACAAAAACAGTGATAAACTAGTTTGCCCGCTCACGAGAATGCCTTGGGACACCATATCTTACATGGCATATACCAAAAGAGTGTATGAGTTAGACCAAGAACTAGATGGAAAGATTACATCAAAGAAATTCTACAGCAACACAGTGTGTCTGTGGTCATGGAGGTCAGAATAGCAAGAAGCAGAACCTTATGTCTCCCTCGACACCAAAAGTTGTACAACAGGAAGTCAAGAAGATGGAATCTTGGGTAAGGGACTTCCTGTTGTCTGTAATCTCTAGAGCTTGTTTCTAGCAACTTGCTGCATATGCTGGTCTAAGTGGTCATGGACTCTCTCTCAGTCTTTTAAAAAAAAGTCAGAGCTTTTGAAATGAAATGCTGCACAAAGATTCTTAGAATACCATGGACCAAGAAGAAAAAACATCCACAGCATGAACATCAAGCGGAACTGACTGATAAACAACATCCTGCAGGACCTGAACATGAAGCAGAACCGGCTGATAAACAACATCTTGCAGGACCTGAACATAAAGCAGAACCAGCTGATAAACAACATCTTGCAGGACCTGAACATGAAGCAGAACTGGCTGATAAACAACATCTTGCAGGACCTAAACATGAAGCAGAACTGGCTGATAAACAAAATCTTGCAGGACCTGAACATCAAGCAGAACTGGCTGATAAACAACATCTTGCAGGACCTGAACATGAAGCAGAACTGGCTGATAAACAACATCTTGCAGGACCTAAACATGAAGCAGAACTGGCTGATAAACAACATCTTGCAGGACCTAAACATGAAGCAGAACTGGCTGATAAACAACATCTTGCAGGACCTGAACATGAAGCAGAACTGGCTGATAAACAGCATCTTGCAGGACCTGAACATCTAGCAGAACGGGCTGATAAACAACATCTTGCAGGACCTAAACATGAAGCAGAACTGGCTGATAAACAACATCTTGCAGGACCTGAACATGAAGCAGAACTGGCTGATAAACAACATCTTGCAGGACCTGAACATGAAGCAGAACTGGCTGATAAACAACATCTTGCAGGACCTGAACATGAAGCAGAACTGGCTGATAAACAACATCCTGCAGGACCTAAAGATGAAGCAGAACTGGCTGATAAACAACATCCTGCAGGACCTAAACATGAAGCAGAACTGGCTGATAAACAACATCTTGCAGGACCTAAACATGAAGCAGAACTGGCTGATAAACAACATCTTGCAGGACCTAAACATGAAGCAGAACTGGCTGATAAACAACATCCTGCAGGACCTAAAGATGAAGCAGAACTGGCTGATAAACAACATCTTGCAGGACCTAAACATGAAGCAGAACTGGCTGATAAACAACATCCTGCAGGACCTAAACATGAAGCAGAACCGGCTGATAAACAACATCTTGCAGGACCTGAACATGAAGCAGAACGGGCTGATAAACAACATCCTGCAGGACCTAAACATGAAGCAGAACTGGCTGATAAACAACATCCTGCAGGACCTAAAGATGAAGCAGAACTGGCTGATAAACAACATCTTGCAGGACCTGAACATCTAGAAGAACGGGCTGATAAACAACACCTTGCAGGACCTAAACATGAAGCAGAACGGGCTGATAAACAACACCTTGCAGGACCTAAACATGAAGCAGAACTGGCTGATAAACAACATCTTGCAGGACCTGAACATGAAGCAGAACTGGCTGATAAACAACATCTTGCAGGACCTGAACATGAAGCAGAACTGGCTGATAAACAACATCTTGCAGGACCTGAACATGAAGCAGAACTGGCTGATAAACAACATCCTGCAGGACCTAAAGATGAAGCAGAACTGGCTGATAAACAACATCCTGCAGGACCTAAACATCAAGCAGAACTGGCTGATAAACAACATCTTGCAGGACCTGAACATGAAGCAGAACCGGCTGATAAACAACATCTTGCAGGACCTGAACATCAAGCAGAACTGGCTGATAAACAACATCCTGCAGGACCTAAAGATGAAGCAGAACTGGCTGATAAACAACATCCTGCAGGACCTAAACATGAAGCAGAACTGGCTGATAAACAACATCCTGCAGGACCTGAACATGAAGCAGAACCGGCTGATAAACAACATCTTGCAGGACCTGAACATCAAGCAGAACTGGCTGATGAACAACATCTTGCAGGACCTAAACATGAAGCAGAACTGGCTGATAAACAACATCCTGCAGGACCTAAAGATGAAGCAGAACTGGCTGATAAACAACATCTTGCAGGACCTAAACATGAAGCAGAACTGGCTGATAAACAACATCCTGCAGGACCTAAACATCAAGCAGAACTGGCTGATGAACAATAAGCTCTCCCTAAAGCTGAGATATTTTGGATTTGCCAAGAGTCATGGTGATCTGGAGAGAACAGTGATAGAGGGTACAGTTCCCAGAAACCGAGGCATGTGATTGACCTCCGTGGAGGTAGATACAGGACACTGAAAATGCATTGGTTGGGATAGAACATTGGGCTGAAGAATCGGCAAGAGAAAGCCATTCACATGTACTGTAAAGATAGCGACATTCTGTAAAGGGCATGCTGATTGGTTGATGCGATGGCTGAGAAGTTGGGCTCTCTGTCCCATCTCAGGGTGACAGCTAACTGCTACATCCACCCAGTCCCATCTCGCTGTATCCAGGCCTCACATATAACCAGTGAATCTTGTTCTCTTTTTGTTCTGTTTACTCCAGAGGAAGGTTCTGGTTGTTCCAGTACTTGAGTTTTACATGCATATCTGTTTTAAAGATCTGGCTTATTTGTATGCAGACTTTGGTTTGTTGCCTCTTATACAGCTTCAAAGGAAATACCCTAATTAGTCATCTCTCACGATATGCTTGTTGGGAAGGGGGTTAGAGGGTCTGTATTTGTATCCCCCAAAATGAGGTCGCTGTAACCGACAGGGAAAGAAGCTCATTCAGCACGGATCCAGATGTAGCTGAGTACAGAAATCAGACTGACTTTGCTGTAGCCTCATGTAGGATGACTGTCAGCAGACCATCCATCTGTACCAGGACGTTGATTGTTCTCTGATCCCCAGAATGGTGAAAATCCTCAAGGACAAACTTCCCAAGGTGACCATATACACAAGCAGGGCTAAGTGTTGCCTGACTGAGTCCTCCAGTTTTAGTGTGGAGTTCTACGATGGTTCGTACTCTCTTGTCTCCTCACAGCCTATTTAGTTCATGCTTAGTAATTGTGGCATAAGGATTATGAGCATGGTTTGTAATTCTGAAATACCCAGTTTAATTCAGAGGAAAGGCAGTTTGGCAGCAGACCGCTTTGCGTTCATTTCAGCAATGGTATGGAGTGCCAGTCACTCAGAGAGCAGTGGCAAACTACTGAATGTAAAATTGCCTGTTAAAAATACAAACTGCTACCAAATGCCTGGGTTGGTTTGTGATGCCCTTCACAAGGATTTGCAGCTTGCTGTGTGATAGTTTGTATTCTGTTGTCCCATCGCAGCGTAGTTTGTATTCTGTTGTCCCATCGCAGCTTAGTTTGTATTCTTGCCTCGTAAAGACAAAGCTATGCTGGAGTATTGGTTAGTGTACTGGTTTACCAATTTGTTCTCATGGATTTCAGACAATGGTAGCAGAGTTCCACTGTGGAAGAGACTGAAGCCTCTCCAGGTAATATTCTCAAAGACAACAGTGGTACACTGAAGCCAACCTTTATTGTGGAGACGGCACTGATATTTTGTTCTTACCAACTCCGGGGGTCGGTGTTGAAATTGTAGGGTTCATTCTGTTTCTGATAGTGTCTGTTCATTATTATGTTTGTTTGTTGCTTTGTGTTCTCCTATGAAACTACAGCTCTGCAGCTTCCATTAACCACTCAGAAGAAAGAACCTCTAAAGACTGTGATGAAAGTTAAATGCATTGGAAAACAAATGCCTACAGAAATTGATTAACATTAAATGGGATGACCCCGAGAGGGCAGAGAAATGAGATAAATGTCTCACAAACCACAGCTGTTAACAGTTATAAGATGGAGAAGGCGGTGATGAATTCTGTACAACCTGAGATGAAATGAACAGAGAATTATCAAACAGGCGCTTGAATGGGAAGGGGGTGGGGGAGGTGGTTTGAGGAAACAGTGACCTCCAGAAACCCAAGGATGAATGTTGATGAGATAGGTCAAAGGTGTTTGATTGGAAATTTCCTGATATTAAGAGAATAGCACAGAATGGAGGACTGAACTGTAGCCCTGTGCACAAGAGAGTGATGATGTTGATGACAAAACTACCTTTGTCTTGACGTATAGTCAAATATCGTAACTTTGTGTATTGATGTCTGCTTGACAGGTGTCAGGGCTCTTTCAGATGGTAAAAGTGTGCAGATTATAGATTCAGACGGGACCTCCCTGACCTTGACCTCAGCTGAGCTGAATCCCAGACTGAGTCAGGAAACTCTAGAGATGCTGGAGTATGTGCAGCAAGTAAGTGTCACGTATTTCTTGTAACTCGTTCACTTTTTGGTCCCCATCTGAGAAGGCTAGATGCCAAGTCCACTACCCTAGAATCAGTAGGAGTATACAATCCTTTCCTAATTTTGTAAATATTCCACTGGCTCCACGCCATAAGTTGAACCGGTCTTCATTAACCAGAGGTGCAAATAGTAACCTTTCTGGAAGTAGAGATCAAATAGAACAGTTAGAAGTGATAATCCAAGTGTTCCAGAGAAAAAAGTGGGCCTTCCTTAGCTTGGTGAAGTCTGGTGTGTCGGCCGAAAGGTGCAGATATCCCAGCTTTGCTGTAAACAGGGACAGCACAATTACATTATTAGAACGAATTAAAAGAAAAGCGGGTAGCTGGTTAAATGTGTCAAGGGGGTGGCATCAGACTGGCCTCACAGACGACCTTAGATCCACAATTCACAGAATCTACACAGGGCTTAGCTTGAGATAGTTGAGAGTCTATGCTCCATTGACAGTTAAAGACACACACAAAAAGTTACCAAGATACAGAATAGATGTATGGAAATTTCTGTATTAATTGTCGGCATATGTCTTTGGTGTTGCAAACATGCTTTATAGTTTCAGTATACAGAGTTCATAGTATTAGGAGCGACTGTTCAGATGAAAGCAACGACAAACTTCTGGATGTAATATTAACCAGTAAAATCACAATCAACCATAAAATGCTGTGGTTGGTTCTGTAAAGGATATGCAGATAAATGTAACTTTATTAAATCAGTAGTGCTCTCGGACTGTCCTCATACATACATGTGAAGTCTCTCAAATGTGGCAATCCCGTGCCCATATGTACATGGGAATTCCCATCAAATTTGACATGATCTGCTTTCTGTCTCCAGTGCCGTGATCTGTGCATCAAGATAGACCAGGCAATCTCCTCTGTTCAGGCACTTGTTCCTGGAACTGACCGTCTGTTTCCCATCACAATTGGCAGGTTTGTCCATGTTTGTGTACACATCATCATCATCATCATGTGCCCTGCCAACTGGCATAGGGGCTCATGCGTCTCCACAGAACATGATCCCTGGTTGCCTGGAACAGCTCTCTTGATGATATCCCTTCATGCCATCATTTCAGCCCATCCAGCATCATCTCTCTTGGTTTGTGTATACAGCACATTGATATTTGTTTTGTTGGCCAGTTTGCCAGAGCTCTGGAGTCGGTCAAGTCAAGAACCCTGTTCGCACCATTACTGCATCGAGTATGTGGCGCTCGACATAAATTGCTTTTAACGATCAATCGGCACTTGATTGGTTGGGTTGATCAACATCATGCCGGCTGCCTTAACTTGCGGTTGATATAGTTTATGCTGTTTTTAGTCGTGTTCCCTGGCTGTAAACTCTGGCTGAAAGTTCTGGGTGTTAGTCCACTTCTGGACTTTGGTCTTGTTCCAGAACTTGAGATTTGGGTGCTCGTCCGTGTTAGAGATCTGGCTTATTTGTATGCTGACTGGTGGATCCGTGCCTCTCAGGCAGATCCCCACTGACTTCAAAGGAAACATCTCTAATTAGTCGATTCTTATAAAAGTAAAGTAAAGACCCCTCTTCACGCCTTAGGCACATCGGGCATATGTGAAGAGCACTCATATTTTAAAACTAATCGGCACTAGGTGGGTAATGTGGTCAGTATTACGCCGACTGTCTTTACTTCCCCAGGACATACAACCTGGTACCCATTTTAGGCTGAATTGACCTGCCATGATAAAAATCCACGCAGCCGTCAGTGGGTTTCGATCGCGGTACGTTGGAATTAGGAGTCGGAATCTCAATGCCTAAGCCACAGACGCGCAGTCGATTCTTACAACATGCAGAGGGCAGTGGAAAAAAATTCACTCTTTCATTCTCTGGCACTCCTGCATGACCCGGGCAGTGTATCCAGGTGAGTCCCTCTAAAGGTGACCTGCTGATGCTGGGGAACTTGGTGGTGTCATGGCTGGTCTCCTGCTGAGAGCGGCCAACAAAGTGTCAGATCCAGTGCTCCGTCCATCTCCGCAAAATTGCACCCAGAAGCCAGTCCCATGTGGGTTCCTGGGCTGCTCCTTAAAAAGAAATTAACCCAAAATGCTTTGACTAAAAAAACTTAACAAATGGGGGATGGGGAACAGCGTGCACAAAACTGACGATCCAGCTGAGCCTTTCTCAACATGAACTATGCAACAGTAGCAAAGTACAAAGGGCTTAGAACATGTTATACATTGATATCTGATGGGCTTAGAACACTTTATACATTGATATCTGATGGGCTTAGAACACTTTATACATTGATTCCTGATGGGCTTAGAACACTTTATACATTGATTCCTGATGGGCTTAGAACACTTTATACATTGATATCTGGTGGGCTTAGAACACTTTATACATTGATTCCTGATGGGCTTAGAACACTATACATTGATATCTGGTGGGCTTAGAACACTTTATACATTGATATCTGGTGGGCTTAGAACACTTTATACATTGATTCCTGATGGGCTTAGAACACTTTATACATTGATATCTGGTGGGCTTAGAACACTTTATACATTGATATCTGGTGGGCTTAGAACACTTTATACATTGATATCTGGTGGGCTTAGAACACTTTATACATTGATTCCTGATGGGCTTATAACACTTTATACATTGATTCCTGATGGGCTTAGAACACTTTATACATTGATATCTGGTGGGCTTAGAACACTTTATACATTGATATCTGGTGGGCTTAGAACACTTTATACATTGATATCTGATGGGCTTAGAACACTTTATACATTGATTCCTGATGGGCTTAGAACACTTTATACATTGATTCCTGATGGGCTTAGAACACTTTATACATTGATTCCTGATGGGCTTAGAACACTTTATACATTGATATCTGGTGGGCTTAGAACACTTTATACATTGATATCTGGTGGGCTTAGAACACTTTATACATTGATTCCTGATGGGCTTAGAACACTTTATACATTGATTCCTGATGGGCTTAGAACACTTTATACATTGATTCCTGATGGGCTTAGAACACTTTATACATTGATATCTGGTGGGCTTAGAACACTTTATACATTGATATCTGGTGGGCTTAGAACACTTTATACATTGATTCCTGATGGGCTTAAAACACTTTATACATTGATTCCTGATGGGCTTAGAACACTTTATACATTGATTCCTGATGGGCTTAGAACACTTTATACATTGATTCCTGATGGGCTTAGAACACTTTATACATTGATATCTGGTGGGCTTAGAACACTTTAACAAGCATGTTGTAAATGATGCCTAATTTAAGGCTTTGTTAAAATTAACTGATTAGGCCCGAGAGATGGCTAGATAGAATAAAATCCAGTGCAATGAATTTAATTAACCTACTTTTAAACACTTTTAAAAAATCATTTCAGACGACCAGCTGGTATAAAATCAGACTACAAGAATACAGAATCAGTTGACAATGCTAAACAGAAACCAGGGAAAAATGCTGTGTCGGAAGCGACCAGTCGGAGCAGTAAAACACTGAAGACTAATGCTGCTTCTGCGAGATCATCCTCAACCACTTCTGGCTCAGACAGCACTTCTGCTCCTCTGCGTTTGAAACCAGCACAGGGAAGCGGAAGTGACTCTAATGCTCATAAACAAATGACAGGAGACAGTGCAGTTCTTGATGGAAGTCATCTTAGTGTCATAAGCAACAAATCAAAGACCACCTGTGCCTTGACTTCGATGTCCCAGATGTCTTCTCCTAGCAACTCTGACAGCAGCTTAGCCCGTGCTGAGTTGCCAGGTTCTGATGTCAGATGCCAGACTTTTGTGCCAGGAGTGGGTTGGGCATCGCAAAAGGCAAACGGAGACACGTCGATTCTTTTCCAAGATGGCACGCGTCTTGGTCTAACGGCAACAAAAGTCATATATTGTACGCTGTCTGGGAGTTCCAGCGAGTAAGTTGTTTTAATATCTTTCTTTTCTAAGTGAAATTAATTTGTTTTACTTTCTTGATGTTTATCAAGTCTTATTGCATGATCCAAGTTTCTGCGTGTTTCTTAAATAGAATTATTATTTGCTCTTTGGTTTTATAAAAAGTTGTGTAGTTTAAGTCTTTTTTATTTTAATTTTTGTAATCAGTAATATTTTGATTGCTATATATGTGTGTCTGGAAATATAAAAATAAGAATACAAAAGGGCTTTTATAGCACTGGTAAATATTATGGGGGGGGGGGGGGAGGGAGGGTTAACTTAATAAATTCTAACAACAAAAACAGAGAATATTTAATTTGAAAAGAAAATCAGTACTGTTGTTTGGAGCCAAAATACAGAGAAGACTGGAATAATTACTAACACACTACAAACAATCATTAAAAGACATAAGAGTCTTTTTAAATACCATGCTGAAGGGAAAAGTTGAAGTTAAGAGATACACAACAATACAAGTGAATGATATCGAAGTATAGGTCAGAACTACAACACAACATGCTAACCGCCCTTTTAACTCTGTCTGTACCAGCCTATGATTATTGTAACTGCTTCTATTGCAGGATGTTCTAGATTAAAGTAGCCAGTTTTGGGGTCCAAAGTTGTTCAAATAACACTTATATCCAGGCCCTCACTTATATCCTGACCCTCACTTATATCCTGACCCTCACTTATATCCTGACCCTCACTTATATCCTGGCCCTCACTTATATCCCGGCCCTCACTTATATCCCGGCCCTCACTTATATCCTGGCCCTCACTTATATCCTGGCCCTCACTTATATCCTGGCCCTCACTTAAATCCCTGCCCTCACTTATATCCTGGCCCTCACTTATATCCTGGCCCTCACTTATATCCTGACCCTCACTTATATCCCTGCCCTCACTTTTATCCCGGCCCTCACTTATATCCCGACCCTCACTTATATCCCTGCCCTCACTTATATCCTGACCCTCACTTATATCCCTGCCTTCACTTATATCCTGGCCCTTCACTTATATCCCTGCCCTCACTTATATCCTGGCCCTTACTTATATCCTGGCCCTCACTTATATCCCGGCCCTCACTTATATCCTGGCCCTCACTTATATCCTGGCCCTCACTTATATCCCGACCCTCACTTATATCCCGGCCCTCACTTATATCCCGACTCTCACTTATATCCCGGTCCTCACTTATATCCCGGCCCTCACTTATATCCCGGCCCTCACTTATATCCCGGCCCTCACTTATATCCTAGCCCTCACTTATATCCTGGCCCTCACTTATATCCTGGCCCTCACTTATATCCTGGCCCTCACTTATATCCTGGCCCTCACTTATATCCTGACCCTCACTTATATCCCTGCCCTCACTTTTATCCCGGCCCTCACTTATATCCCGGCCCTCACTTATATCCCTGCCCTCACTTATATCCCTGCCCTCACTTATATCCTGACCCTCACTTATATCCTGGCCCTTCACTTATATCCTGGCCCTCACTTATATCCTGGCCCTCACTTATATCCTGGCCCTTCACTTATATCCTGGCCCTCACTTATATCCTGGCCCTTCACTTATATCCTGGCCCTCACTTATATCCTGGCCCTCACTTATATCCTGGCCCTCACTTATATCCCTGCCCTCACTTATATCCCTGCCCTCACTTATATCCTGGCCCTCACTTATATCCTGGCCCTCACTTATATCCTGGCCCTCACTTATATCCTGGCCCTCACTTATATCCTGTCCCTCACTTATATCCTGGCCCTCACTTATCTCTAATTAAAAAGAGTAAAAATGTGCTGTCTCTGTAGATTTGCCTTGGAACATTTGATTAGTTGCTTGGGGCCGAAAAGGTTCAGGGGGACTACAGTAGAAGTTTGGTTATTAAATATATACAGCTGTTTATTCTTCTTTTTCTTCTTCTTCTTCTCTAGTCTTATTCTACCTTTCAATGTCAGGTTTTGAAGAGGCATCAGGTAAGAGCATCATTAAATGTTTGGTATATGCGGTAATTTCAGGCCTCAGCTATTGCTTCTATCAATCACTTGCGTAGTCGACTTCTGCTTCCATTATGTCTGAATGACAGGGCTCTTTGTTCACCTCTCATGTCCACAAACAACAGTGTCTGTCATATGTACCAGATTGTCTATTGCCCACGCTGTATGTCATAGAAGACGAACAGCAAAGAAAGCATTATGGGACTAACATATATCCTTTCCTTACTTCCAGATATAGCCGACGAGAGGATTTTCCTGTTGAAGTCAGGAATAAATTAGTTCACGTGGGCGAGGTGGTGAAAATAATTCAAGCAAAGTCTCAGGTGACATCGACATCAGCCCGGTCATCTTCCTCGTCATCAGCGAAATGATTATGCAGCTACGATAGAGAAATGCCCCATATAGACTAGATGCTGGGTATCAGATGGCAGCCATGTGTAACAGGCTAGACTTGGTCATTTATTTACTGGAATCGTTCCACTACAAACTCTTGTTGTCCACGTGCTCATCACGGATGGCACACTGGACATGGAACAGACTAGGTAGTGGGACCAGAAACATTTTCCAGAACTTTATTCGATGTGCCATAGATGTTCCCCGCAGCTCTAGGCTTGTTCTGCTTCAGATTGTGTGAGCCTGGTTAATGGAGAAAGTCAGCCTAGGTCAGTCAATAATTCAGCCATGGTGGGTCAAGTTAATGAGAAAGCCAGTCATGGTGAGTCAGATCAATGAAAAAGTCAGCCTTGGTAAGTCAAGGAGAAAGTCAGCCTTACTGAGCCAAGTTAATGAAAATGTCAGCCTTTGTTGAGTCAATTTAATGAGAAAGTCAGCCTTAATGAGCCAAGTTAATGAGAAGGTCAGCCATGGTGGGTCAAGTTAATGAGAAAGTCAGCCTTAATGAGTCGAGTTAATGAGAAATTCAGCCTTAATGAGTCAAGTTAATTAGAAAGTCAGCCTTGGTGAGTCAAGTCAATCAGTAATTCAGCCATGGTGGGTCAAGCTAATGAGAAAGCCAGCCATGGTGGGTCAGATCCATGAGAAAGCCAGCCGTGGTGGGTCAAATCAGTGAGAAAGTCAGCCTTAATGAGTCAAGTTAATGAGAAAGTCAGCCATGGTAGGTCAAGTTAATTTTTAAAAAAGTCAGCCATAGTGAGTCAAGTTATTGAGAAAGTCAGCTATGGTAAGTTAAGTTGATGAGTCAGCCAGCCATTGTGGGTCAAGTTAATGAGAAAGTCAGCCCTAATGAGCCGGGTTAATGAGAAAATCAGCTAAAGTGGGTCAGGTTAATGATGAATGTCAGCCTTAATGTGTAAATGTCAGCCTTAATGTGTAAGCTAATGACCAAGTCAGCTGTGGTGAGTTAGGTTAATGAGAAAGTCAGCCTTAATGAGTCAAGTTTATGAGAAAGTCAGCCTTAATGAGTCATGTTTGTAACTCAGGTTAATGAGAAAATCAGCCATAGTGGGTCAAGTTAATGGGGAATGTCAGCCTTGATGAGTAAGCTAATGACAAAGTCAGCCATGTTGAGTCAAGTTAATGAGAAAGTTAGCCCTGGTGCATCATGTTAGTTGGAAAGTCAGCATTTGTGAGCCAAGTAAAGGGGGAAAGTCAGCCATGGTGAGTCAAGTTAATGAGAAAGTTAGCCCTGGTGCATCATGATAGTTGGAAAGTCAGCATTTGTGAGCCAAGTAAAGGGGGAAAGTCAGCCTTGGTGAGCCAAGTTAGTTGGCAAGTCTGCCTTCAGTTCTTTTACAAATAAGATTATGGCTGCATTGAAAGTTAGATATATGTAAGTAGTATAAAATATTGATAGATAACTTGAAACCTGTCTCAGTTGTCAGTGCTCTTTGTGCATGTGATACAAATGTAAGTCTAGTCTGTGCATTGTAAATGGCTCGCTCATTAGAATCACTTATATCTTCAATTCCATTCGACTGCCTAGATAGAGATTTCACTACCTTCACTAGAGTTGAATATTAAATCAAGAATCGACATGACAGCACTCAGGACATTCCCATAAGTGCTCTGTCTCCATCTTTAGCTACAAGCACAGAGCTCAAGTTCTGAGGGTACCATGAACAGTCTTATTGTAGATTCATCTCACCTTTGCTTCCCTTAAGTGCTGAGTTACGGGCAGATCTCCCGGGCATTCCCCCCAGCACCATTCTCCTCAGACTGATGATTTGTATACACATTGTTGGTTCCTTGCTGTCAAGCAGATACCCTTTCGAAAGAAGCTCCCCTAATTATTTACCTTTTTCGACATGTTTTTTTTTTAAAGGTTTAAGTGGGTCTGTTCGTGTGTTGTTTTGTTCTCTCCCTGTAATGGAGATCTGAACCCACATAAGATTTGTAGTGTCACATTTAAGGTTGATTTATCCAGCCATTGAGCAGAACTTTCTGAGCTGTATTTGATACAGCCAGGGATGAAGTGTCTCCATAATACAAAGCTTGGGCAGTAATTGTGTGTTGCCCATGCAATGTAATCCCTCTTTCTGCCTGCCTTGTTTACTCCACAAGAAAGTTAACACTAATACTTTTGCTGGGGGGGGGGGGGGGGGGGGGCATGGTACAGTGCTGCTGAATCAGATGAGCCAATGCTGTGACCACCTCTCGGAGCTTCCATCCCTAGACCACCTGCCTGCCAAAGCTAAGGGGTCGGTCTGCTCCACAAAGACATTCAGTGTTTAGGTTGCGTTGCCTCTGTTGTTATAGCATGTGGTGTGAGTAATCATGCCTGTGCACAGCCTTCTGTCTTGTGTGCTGTCAGTTATTTCTGTCGTGAATGTTCTTTCAGGCCATGATGCCAAACTGCTTCTTCTCTACTTTAGTCTCAGTCTCTTTTCTGTCTTCCCCTCCAGATTTTCTGTCATCAGTTGTTACTCTAATTATATTGTCTCCTTCTGATGTGCCTGCAGAATGTAGATTGTTTGCTTCTGATGGTGGTAACCAGTTCTCTTTATGAGTTGTTTCAAGTCATTGCACTTGCTATTTGTTCTTCATGTTCTTGTGCTTAATTCTTTTTAAGGAATGAATACTGTATATTTTTATTATTCCTTCGACTAACTGAAATTATCATCATCATTACAAAGAATATTATTTTTCTCTTGCAGAGTGCTCCAGAATTGTTGACAGTAATCTCCCCTGTGGATTCTGGGGCACTGTTTTGGAGCACACAGAATAGACTCTCTGGCTCCCTCTCCCCCACAAGCATGTCCTAGGAGGTGACTAATTAGGGCTGTTTCCTGCAGTCTGAGAGGTAGCAACCAACAGTTGTGTACACATGTAACCTAGATCTGTGAAGCAGATGTGCACGCAAAACTCAAGTTCTGTATCGACACCGAAGTCCAGGAGTGGATGAACAACCATAACTTTCCGCCAGAGTTTAGAGCTAGTGAACGCTAAGAAGAAGAAGATTCACAGTAATAATATTTCCAACTGCACATATTGGTACATTTTTCACGTTGAAATGAATTGTTTTTATTGCATGGTTGAGACCCTACCCACCAGTGTTGGGGGTGTTCGGCTTACTGAGACATGTTGATGCTGAGCTTGTATGACTGCATAAATTAATTATTTTTAATACTAATTTTCTTGTAATACCTACACTGACATGAATTATTTTCTGGTTGCACTTTGTATATGTGTGCAGTTTTTCTTACATATTTCTTCACAACACTGCATGCTGAATTACTGAATTTTGAATTCATTTCTACACCACTTATATACTTTGATTTTTAAAAGATCACTTTGGCTGGATGCAGATAATTTATATTTTCAGTGAATGTAGCCATTGTATTTCTCCTTCCTTGAGTTGTTGAAGAAATATTTGTCATTGTTCTTTTTTTTTTCCCTTTTTCTTTTTTCATTTACTGCCATCATTTCCCTGCATCCCATTTTAGCCCATGGGAGACAAATCTCCAGACAATGCTAATGGCCCAAGGCTGGGTTGATGTAGAGAGGTTCCCAGTTAGTCAGGACTTCATTTCCGAAGGTGTGGTGCAGACTCTGTACTTCATGGTCACACTCAAGAATTTGTTATCATGTATAAATTTTACAATCTTAAAAAATAGATGGCAGTCTTTTTTTCTTCTTCACGTTCACTAGCTGTAAACTTCAGCGGAAAGTTCTGCTTATTTTTCCACTTCTGGGCTTGAGTTTTCTGTGCACAACCATTTTACAGAACTGGCTTATTTGTGTGCAGACTGTTTGTTCCTTGCCTCTCAGGCAGGACCTCCGACTTCAAAGGAAACACTTCTGATTAGTTAACTTTAAGATGTGCTTGTTAGGGAAAGTGGGTCTAATTTTGTTTTTTTCTTCCCTAAAATGGGGTCTCAGAACCCACATGGGGAGATTGCAGTCTGATCTGATGCTGGTGTTGTTATTTCCACAGACCACCAGATGGTTGAAGGATGGTGTAAAGATGGTTGCTGTACAATATTTATTCAAGTTCCAAGTCCAGGGGGTCATTTTCATTGCACAATTTGCGAAATGTGTATAGTACAACCATAGCACTCGGGATATTCACATAAACGCTCCATCCCTATCTTCAGCAGCAGGCACAGTTGTTTTCGATGGTACCAGTAGCATTTTGATTGTATGTCCGTTTCGCCCCTCCCCCAAGTGTTGAGCATCAGCCAGATTCCCTTGTCAGTCCTTGTTGCACCATTATCCTCAGATCTGTTTGAACATCCACACTGTTCATTTGCTCCCAAGGGGCCTTTACAACATCCATCTTATCATACCACCAGGTGGTGCAGTCTATCAGCCTGTTCTTTTCCCACCACACCGGCCTACCCTGTAGAAAATATCCAAAGTATGCTGACCCGGACCTCTTAAGCGATGCTTGCCACTCTGCATGGAGCATACCTATCCCCACCTTTCTAAACTTGCTGAGTCATTTACAATCATGAGGTGTGTGCAGCTGGTCCCAAGATAGCGGACGGCTGCAGTGACCACCTCCATTCTGAAACTAGACGTCTTATCACATGCCAGGCTTTGTTGCACTGAGCAACGTCCTTTAACGTTTGGTATGAACCTTACGCACTTCGTCTGCCTCTCAACACAGGGCCATCTGTATTCATCACATCACCTGGGCAGGAATTGTCATGAATCATTTATTGAACTGATTCTGCAGCGCCCACTTGCCAGTCCCTACACTCAATACCCTAATGTGATTTGAACCATACACAGATCTGATTGTTGCTCTGACCATTTGACCAACTTCTCTCCTCACTCAATGTTCTCAAGCCTGCATACACATCTACTGTTCTGAGTATGCACCACTAGGGTAGCCTGACCCAGAGAGCAACGAACAATAAAGTTGTATGACATTGTACATCACAACTATAGCTCATTTGATGCAACAGCCATGCTGTCGTGGGAATAGTCCAGTGCTGTTTTTACTCATTGTTTTATGTACATATTTTACCATTTTGATGGAATTGTACAAAACTCCCTCATGTACTATATTGTACATTTTCCTGTCAGAGTTTTATCCTCTTGTTATATTTGCCAGACCTCTGGTTGAGGCTCTTCTGCTATTGTTTTGTTATTTATTAAAAATACCTGCACATTCTTGTCTAATTTTATTTTGTTTCATATACAGCATTTTGTTTTTATGTTTTCCACTCCAGAATTCTACAGGATTAACATCTCAAGATAGAAAATCCTTGTGGGGTGGGGAAAGGCTGAGTGGTCTCGGGGTATGGTGTCTGCCTTGAGTGCCGGAGGTCCCAGGTTCAGGCCCAGATTTTTTCAGACTTCTCGTCATTTCCTCTGGGTAGTAATATCGGACACCTTTACTTCCCAGGACTGTATCTGGTACCCAGTCAAGACTGGGGTCGACCCAGGTCATTTTTTGTAAGAAAGTCCGGTTCCACCAGAACCCGGACCCACAACCTTCCAATCAGCAGGTGATTGTCTCCCGTTACTCCACAGCAGCTTTCATCTAATCTCTATCTGGTTTAGATAACCAGAAAGCAGGTGATTGTCTCCCGTTACTCCACAGCAGCTTTCATCTAATCTCTATCTGGTTTAGATAACCAATCAGCAGGTGATTGTCTCCCGTTACTCCACAGCAGCTTTCATCTAATCTCTATCTGGTTTAGATAACCAGAAAGCAGGTGATTGTCTCCCGTTACTCCACAGCAGCTTTCATCTAATCTCTATCTGGTTTAGATAACCAGAAAGCAGGTGATTGTCTCCCATTACTCCACAGCAGCTTTCATCTAATCTCTATCTGGTTTAGATAACCAGAAAGCAGGTGATTGTCTCCCGTTACTCCACAGCAGCTTTCATCTAATCTCTATCTGGTTTAGATAACCAGAAAAGCAATGCCTTTGTTTTAATCCTTTTCCTGAGGGTTTATAACCAACCACCAGAGCACTTCACTCCACTACCATTAATCTTCTTCACTTCCTACTATTTTACTGCTGCTGGTGTTGATAGAGACTTAAGCTTCTGCTTCTTGCATTTCCTTAGACACAGTGTACTGTTAGAGTTTCTCTGTTATCTTTCCATCTTCTTTTTTGGTATGCTCTTGTCTCTCTTCTGCTGCGTGCCTTGTATGGTATATAAGTGGGCATTTGGTTTGTTGTCTTTGTATAAAAAGTTAAGAATTGACCCCGTCCTATTTTTTTATAACCTCAATCTCCATTTTATTTGGGAAATGCCCTGCTGTGGTGGTCAGACGCTAGACTGTGGATCAGACTTTTTGAAATAAATTGTGTTCGTTATATTGTGAAGCTTGCTGATACTTTTTTTTTCTTCAGTTTTATACCTTTTCTTAGAATTAACCTTGGTCCAGCCCTATATGCCTAACAGGCACGAGGGTGTGGAAAAGGTCCAATTACTTTTACTGATTTGATCTTTTCTGGTCACTCCTGCAGACATGTCATTCCCATGATACACCTTCTGGCTTTGTGAGCGTTGAGTATGTCTCACCCGCGGAGGGGGGCATTGTGAGGTTCGGTTAATTCCCCACCTACGGCACACATGAACTTCACTGGGTAATGGGTTCTGATTGATGCACTAGAGCTGGTTGGAAAACATAATGCAGCATTTTGCTCATTATTCATGGCCCCTTTCTCATCAGGATACACATGTTCCTGAAAAATGGAAGATCTATATTCGGATGTTCTGCATTTGTTGTAAACATGGCAGCTGACTGTGTCGTGCTTTACAAGTTTGGCTGTGATATTACCTTTCAGCCAGCTTTATGCAAACCCCTAATTAGCTTTTACTACATGACTTTAGTACTACTTGATGTAAAATTAGCCTAGAAAAACCACAACAGCCAGGGGCTTTAGAAAATTTTGCATCTGTTGTATCTTCCCCCCCCCCCCCCCCCAACAGGGAATGATGTCATTGAATTTAGGTGCATTCACTCTCTCACATAGTAGTAAGACACACACAAAATGACGGCCAGGAAGGTTACAGATACTGTGTACACTGAGTTTATTGATAACCATGGCAACAAGTTAACAAAGAAGACAAGACAAGTGTACAATTCTAATGTCAGAGACATTCCGTTGTCTCCCCCACTGCCTTATCACCACTAGAGAGGTCAAAGTTAACCTGAAAACCACATCTCAACCTGTTTGATGTTCACCTCATACACCACCAAGTCAGTGGAGATGGAACCAGGCAGTCCCAGAGCAACAATGTTCTCATGCAAGCTCAAACTTTCAGGGCGTTCAGTCCGCAATCACAGCAAGAGATCTGATGTTCTCATGCAAGCTCAAACTTTCAGGGCGTTCAGTCCGCAATCACAGCAAGATATCTGATGCATCAACCTTTACATTCACCTGCAAGTATCTGCCTGTCTTGTCCATCACAGAACGATATGTTCATCACGTTCATCAATAGTTTATCGCAGAGCTTATACAAATGTGTGTTTTACAAAGAACAAAGAAAAGTAAAAGGAGAAACAAATTGCCAAAACAAATGAATTATTCCCTCATAAAATGTATTTACACATACTTCTCTTGTCCGAGGTTTCCATTAAGTTCGCGTGAACAAGCAACAGAAAATCATCTGAACATATTTACAGCACAAATGGGGGGGGGGGGGGGGGTGTCCCCCATCTCCGTGCTCACTCAACCGACAAATCTACGGCAAATCTGTACATAAATCAAACACTAGCAAGCATTCCACAAGAAAATATGTACAAAATAAATTATTTCATTTAAAAAAAAAAGCAGTTAACTAAATCATTTATCCATGAATCGAATGTATCGTACATGCAAGCATCATTGTATCCATTTATGTGTACCGCAAATGTCCACCAAGCGAGACAATCACATGTATCCTAAACTGACATCAAGTGAAACCGAACCTAGCTAGAATAGATACAAATTTCACACGCAGTCATTACAACTGTCCTGCCAGATCAAGCTGAGCCATTAGGCACGTCGTACGCCTGTACCAAATGTTCTGGCTGCAAGCCCTGCTCAAAGCGTTTCCACATGCGATCAAAGAGCTTCTCCAGGTTGTTGGCGTAGATCTTGGTGTTGAACAGTGGACTGGATGTGCGAGCCTTCCACACCTTTGCCTTCATGGCTTGCAAACTGAAAAGGGACATTAGTTTACATTAAAAGAAATTATGCATGGCTACAGCTTGTGTCAATATGACAGCTAGTTGGTGAGGGCCACACCCATCCAAAACTTCTCAGCTCACAATCCTCTACGCTACCGAGTTCCCGTTTTGACAATGTTCTCACGGCTTTTCTGATATTTTTCAGGAGAGATGTCACCTTGCATATGATTGTTTTTCTTCTTCTGCCTTCTATCCCATAATGGAGCATAGGCCCTCAACAACTCATGCAAAGTTGTTCTATCCTTTGTCTACTGCATGCAGCTCTACCCATGTTATCTTTTTAACTTTACTCTCTAGCTTCCACTCCGTGTTTTGTGGTCTTCCTCTATTTCTATGCCCCTGTGGCAAAGACATTCTAGTTATTTTGTTCTCAGGTTTTCTCAACGTGTATCTTATCCAACGCCAGCATCTTTTCTTCACCTCTTGGTCCACTGGAACATGTTTAGTTCTCTCCTAAAGCTCAACATAAGTGATTCTATCATACCATTTAATTCCCTCTATTCTGCGCAGGCACCAGTTAATGAATGAACACTGCCTGAGTTGTTCATGTTTCTACCCCATTTTTTTTTTTATCGATCACCGGCTGTGAATTCCAGTGGAAGGTCCCGGTTAATCGTCCGCTTGGACTTTCGGCTTTCACCTGGACCTGATTTTTGCGTGTACAACCGTTTTTAATTTCCCTGCCTCATGGGCAGCTGTACTCCGACTTCGGCCATTGTTTTGTGTGGGTCGAGACGTTGCCTGATTTGTGTGGTGTCCACTTTGTCTCCTTCGCCGCAGGTATTGCCCCGGAGTACCCCTTTGGGGCAGCCCCCTGTGGAACAGTTAGCCTTCAAGGGAAGGCAGGGGCAGATCATGGGCATTCCCCGCCATCCAAGGAGGCTTCCATGCATGCAGAGCCGGCACATGGCGCTCTGGTTTTGGGCTCACCCAAGGAATCGTCACGTCCTGCACATGCCTGCTTAACCTCACAACCGTATCAGGCCTCCCGCTCGACAGGGGCTGCGCCCTCTGGAAGTCAGCGGGGAGCAGCCCGTGGGTTTTGGACTTTTGTGACCACACAGATAGGTACATTCTTTTTTCTTCGCACGTTAGATTTCTTTGACGAGCCGTTAGCCCGACAGAATTTTACATCCTGCATCAGGCATATCGTTATCAGTTTTGTCCCAACACTCGGGCGAGTGTGGTCTTCGGGTGTGGACATTCGGTCTTTTTCAGTTCAATACAAATTCTGATGGTCAGATTTTGATCCGTATGATCTAGTTTTGTCGGACATTTAGGCTTGGTCATCCGATGGATGGTTGCTGTTGTGGTGTACCTCAGCGCGGTGACGACGACACTGAGGGTTAACCGAGGATGTACAAGGATGGCCAGCCTATGGATGGTTGCTGTTGTGGTGTGCCTCAGCGCGGTGACGACGACACTGAGGGTTAACAGAGGATGTGCAGTGAACAATGTTCTCTTTACTCCGCAGTCTTTTAACCAAGGGTTGTAATTTTGGCTGTACGTTTGACAAACCTATTCATGTTCCTAATGAGTTTTGATAACATTTTTCACCCCACAAGGACACCTCACCTCTGGGGGCCGCCGAACTCCGAGATCCCCTGACAGCTCTGTTAATGCTCATTTGAGACATTATCCGTGGCGCACGACGAGGACGTGCTGTAGGGGTCTTGCGTGAGGTTCCGTACAACCAGGATAGTAAAGGACTGGCGCCCGAGTGATGTACGGAGTATCTCCTTATACACATCATGTTGGACTTAACTTCCCCTCACGCCTGTGACATAAATCACCGTGCCACGTTTCTACCCCATACAACAGGACTGATCTGACAGAATTAACAATCTAGTATTACATGTATTTTCTGTTGACCACACATTTCCTAGTGCTATGAAAGCTCCGCTTGCCTTTTGTATTTAGACTGCAAATCAGTAACACATAGACAATGTATTGATCATCCCTCATAGAAAGAAGTAGGAAGTTACAAGGACACACTAGACAAAATTTGAAAGCTATAGTCACCGTGCTGGGAATCGAACCTATCACCCTCAGCGCGCATTGCTATGGAGACAAGCATACCAAGAATACAACCAACTAGGGACCCCCCCCCCCTCTTCAAAAAAAAAGGTGTCTGTTGCCTTGTCTATCGTATAGGAGATTTAATTATTTACTATTCTTGAAGACAGTGATGGATGGATGGAGGTACATAAATGCAAACAACCTTTTTGTGGGAAAGACAAAAACTGATATTCTTTGAAACTGCTGGAATATACTGAGGTGGAGATATCTGAATCAACCTAGGAAAACCACAAATGACCTAATTATCTTCCAGAAACAAGGCTGACCACTCATGATTTAATCACTCGTGTGGGACAAGCACTTACTAGTTGGGGTCTTGTCCCAGCTTGACAGCAACTTTGATGTAATCTTCTCTAGTCCTGGCCACCAGTTCCGGGCAGCCCAGAGACTGCAGCTGACTAGAAGCCACACGAGAGGCAAGGGTTTCCGCTGAAACATGTGTAGTAATCATAGTCACACATCTATTTTAATGTTATTCTTACATATTTCTATTTACAGTACTAATTGTATTCGGTTCAACATTCAGGCCACCCTATACATCCTTTGTTCCCGTGCCAGTGCAAATCAAAAGAAATCTAATCCCCCTCATTGACCCGCTGGAAAAATGAACAAACAGCTCTGGCACAATCCAGAAATATCCACCTGCAAAGTAAATGCATAAAGCGGTTGCTATAGACAGTAAATCCAACAGTCTAGCCACCCAGCTCAGTAACTGAATTAAATCAAGAACTGACATCACAGCATTCCCATGCTAAGCTCAGTAACTGAGTCAAATCAAGAATTGACATCACAGCATTCCCATGCTAAGCTCAGTAACTGAGTCAAGAACTGACATAACAGCATTCCCATGCTAAGCTCAGTAACTTAGGCAGCAAAATCACAGACTATCAATAATATGTGAAAACTGTATTAGCAAAATATTGTCAGAAGCAATATAACTGTGAAGCTAAACATTCTGCGAAGCCAAAGCCTATCGTCCTCTCAACTGGACTGGAAGTCTGTGATTTCAATAACTGTAACACCATCCACCATCTGAGGAAAGAGACTATGACATACAAGATTTGTATTGGGGAAGGAAGGGGGGCAGGCAATAGTAGTAGGCAGAGTACCGGTGAATGATTTCATAGAATATCAATGAATTAAATGGTTTGGCCACCTGTTCCAAATGGAAGAAAATCAGCCAGCAGCTGGAGCATACTATATGAGAGCAACAGGGCAAGAGGCCAACCAGGAAAGAGATGGATGGAGGCAGTAAAAGAGACTTTAGAAATGCAATATGACAACACAAGCTAGGCAACTAGCAAAAGACAGTAAACTAACTACACAACTCTTTGCTGCATAAGCAGTAGGACAAAGGATTTCAGAATCAGGGCTAATTTTATACTTTAAATACACAACATGAGGTGTCATTTTTTCTTGTTGTTGTAAACTGCAACAAATTCCTCAGCAAGGCTTCAAGAATAGCCTCAAGTGTGTCTTCTCTCATAGTGAATACAAATCTAGAAATGCTGTGATTCTGTGTGCACTGTTCCTTGACTAACAACCAGCATCAACTACGCCACGTCTCCACACTAGGAAAAACTCATGCTCAAACACAAAGAACATGGGGACACCAATGAAACAACTCACAATGATACACACCTGGATAGGTGACCATCGGAGTCCCTGCCCACAAGACATCCATTCCTGTTGTGTGACCATTACACAAAGGTGTGTCTAGGCAGACGTCAGCAACCTGGCCACGGCGTACATGCTCCTCCTAAACAACAATTGAAATCATCAACAATTGAAATCATCAACATATGATCTCTGTACCAATTGTGACACCAATTGTAAACACTGTAAAAAGTATCCAGACAAAGAACCCTTGTGCATGTATAATTGGTTGCCATACGTGTATAGTCCCTGTTTACACGTATCAAGCCACACTCACATAAATGAACACGTATTCTTCATCCATCAAAGTGTTGCTGGCAAGCTGTTTGTCATTTACAGGCAGACTGGAATATCTGGATCAACACATCCAATTTCATAATATCAATAATTAATTACGTTTTACACCCAACCCAAAAAAAAAAAAAAAAAAAAACACCATTTCACACAGGCCACATAAAATAAAATGTACACACACACACAAAAAGTTGACTGCAAAATAATATAAAACAGGTAATCAATAAACATGATTAGAGTGAAGCAGTGCTGCTGTGGAAGCAGAAGTTCAAGCCTTGATTTTCGAGAACGCTCTAGAGGGTGATGCTGTCATTTACACAGATTGTTCTGTAATCTGCCATGTTAGCTCGTGGGCTTTTACAGCTCAGTTTGGAGGGAGACTTGTGAAGGAAGATTCTGGAGCTTTTGCCGTAACTACAAGTAGTCTGACTATGGAGGTCATGGCTGTGACTAAAGCAGTAACATGGCTAGAGACACAGACTTTCACTGGAGCTCGCTTTCTCAGTGACTCGATGAGTATGCTCAGGAAGATAGAGAAGGGCTTGGTCCGAAGGCAGTGGTTGGTGGCTCTACAGAATTCACGGCTGACAAGGATTAGTTTCACTTTTGTGTCTGGACATGTGGGGGTACAAGGAAATCAGCAAGCTGATAGGCTACTGTGAAAGCCGGACAAGCCATGGACCAGGCTGATATACTGAATTCTCTAAGAGAGTTAAGACGTTTGTGTGAACCAACTGAGAACTGAATCTGCAACCATGGTCAGACTGCAAGAACAACATGTTAAACAGTGTGTCGCAAAACTAGAACACTACTTGGGTAGCCAAAGAAGAAGAATAAACCAACACAGAAGTGTCGTTAGCCGCTACACGCTGTGGGATTTACTGAAGGGATCCAAGCACTTATGGACTGAGTGGTTCGACGTGCAATGAGGATAATCTGTCGACTAATTAACATTAAATGGAATACACTCCACAGAGGTCTAAAAAAAAATATATATATATATACAAATCGGGTGCGACTCATGTGGTGCCTCTATCACTGAAGATTCGGAGGAAATGTGACAGGAGGGCTAGTAATTGGTTCATAACAGCTCTCCTCCCCCCCCCCCTTTCCAATAATAAATATGTGTATATCCTGACTTCCTTCAGGCAGGGGCAAATACACCCAATGTCATAAAATATGCATCCTATGAACACATCCCTGTAGAAGTGCCCAGAAACATTGGACTCTCAGAAGTGCCCAGAAACACTGGACTCTCAGAAGTGCCCAGAAACACTGGACTCTCAGAAGTGCTGGTTTTGTCGCTTCCTAGGGTAACAGTTAAAGGGCAGTAACCTACCCCCCCCCCCCCCCCACAAAACAAGGACTATTTTCGTATTAAACAGTAACAAAAAGACTAAATATTCCTGCAGTAGTCATGACAATAATAAAAGAATCAAACTGAACTCACCTTTGGAGCAACGTTAGAGAAAATAATTCTGCCTGCAGAAAGCCCATAGTTCTGTGCTGCCTGGTGGATGTTTGTCTCACCCACGGCAGGGAAGCGCAGCAGCCACAGGACACTGTTGGGGACTTGCTTCAAGATCTCACACTGACCCAAACAACACAATCACTATAAGTTGTCTGCATACAAGTTGCCTCTTAAACTATATGAACATGATGTCACTGCCCTCTCACCCCTCAAACCATTTTAAAATTTATATATCATATGCTCTTCATGACTGTCGTTTGGTGCACACGGCTTTTAAAGAGGGCTTATTTTTATGCTGACTGCTGAGGCAGATGCACTCTGCAGGAAACATTCTTAATTTGTAACCTCTTACAACATGCTTTCCCAGGGAGGCAGTGGGTCTATCCCCTCCCTCCCACCAACAAAATCAGGTCCCACAACCCAAACAGGAAATTCTGTTTAATTTGGCAGACACGACACAAAAGGCATGCGTCTCAAGAGGCTGTTCCTGGATGGCCAAGGCTGAAGATTTAATCCAGCTGGTATGTGACCTAAACAATATCAGTCACGGAAAAGAACAGATGAATACACCAGTAGACATGCATGGCACCTTTAAGGTTATCACACTGGAGGTACTACTGGGATCAGACTCCTGCAGCACTAGACAGAGGTAAAGGCACTGATAAATCAGCATTCATACCTAGTAGACATTGTCTACACAGCTGGGTCAGTGAAGCGCAGATCAAGGTCAGCATGGGCATATACTACACAAAGACTAGGGAAAACAATCAAATAGGACAGCGGGGTTTACCAGGCAACTATGTCAAGCAAGACTAGGGAGATAGCTGCTGCCTCTAGAGCACTAGCATGGGTATCTGAGCAAACAGCAACATCTGAAGTAATTGTATCCGACTCCATGATCATGCATCAGAAGACATCAACAGGTGGTATGCGCTCTGAAAGGGTAATGAGCGAGCAGACCAACTGGCAAGTAAAGCACCAACCCAGAAGAAGCCTGAACAGAGCTGTACGGACTCAGCTAGTGGATAATGATAAATATCTGACACCCACAGGAGTACGTGACATGGTAGTAAAGCATGGTGAGGCACATTTATACCGTCTTCGAGGCTGAGATAGGAGACATTATAACCAACCTCTTATTAGAACAATCAGTAGAGGTACCTTGAAGTGGCTGCTGCAGCGGAGGACTGAGCATGCAGGAGAGTGCCTATATGTGCAGTGACATTGATTGTGATAAGTGAGACCTACCCACATCTCCAGTGTGTTAGGATCTATCTTGTAAAGCTGGTTAAAGTTGCAGTAGACCACGGCCTCATCAGGCAGCCCATACTGAAGTCTCGAGGAGAGTATCACACAACGAGGAATCTCTTCACCTGTTGCTGACTTGTTGTTTGTCTAGCAAAACAGAAAAAAAACAAAAAAAACTGTCATTGGCAAAACAGATCAACATTTACAACAGGAGAACAGCATATTTACAAAGTAAACAGCAGTAAAGTTACAAAGTAAACAAAAAAATATAGCCTACGGTATCCCAGTAGTAACCCAACCTATATAAAGGTCTTATAGTACTTAGCAGTGAGACAGTACATACAGCAAATAGGTCATTATGTAATAATCTATGCAAGCCTTTTATCTGCACATCTCAGAGTAGAGTACAATGAACTGAAAGAGAACAGCAAAATTTAAAAAAAAAAAGGTATAAAATATAACACTACCAGTAAAATTTTGGGTGTGACAACAGTGAAAGCCCCATGCCAACGACAAAGCAGCTGTAACAACCAGTGGAACAAGCTGATGCAGTCAAACTGTTTTGAATCTGTGACCTTAGATTAACATCTCAGTTGGGAGGGGGGGGGGGGTCTGCCCAACGAGGCACCCTGGAAATGATGACTCCACCCAATCTGTGGATACTGAGTACACTAAAGAATATTAGTAATGTTTGGCAGTGCGGTGTAGGTCACTTCCTGAAAAAGAAACTTGTTTCATTACAGCGAAGCACAGTCATTGTTTCATTACAGCGAAGCACAGTCATTGTTTCATTACAGCGAAGCACAGTCATTGTTTCATTACAGCGAAGCACAGTCATTGTTTCATTACAGCGAAGCACAGTCATTGTTTCATTACAGCGAAGCACAGTCACTCTTCCTATCTTTTGCTTTCACTTACAGCTCCAATCAAGTCTTCCCTGCATGTTTATTATTGATCTGCCGCAATCATCTTACCGTGTTTTTGATCAACCTCGTGGAAAACTCACCTGGACACACACAAATAGGTTGTTCCCCCCCCCCCCCAGATGTTCCTCTAATTCAGATTTCAAACAAGAGCATTGCCGGGAACAAACAAACCGTTATCCACATTTGAAATTTGCCATATCAGAGACTGCCTAAAGTAGGCTGCGCTGTATTTATTTTTGTGGTACGAGTTATAAGACAGGTTTTCTGGCTATACTATACCTAGTTAGGTACAAATGCTATGTGATGCCTTCTTCTTCTTCACTTCCTCTTTTACCGCTGTGGGTGTCGAGGGAGATATAAGGTTCTGTTTCTAGCTCTTCTGGCTGCCTCGACCATAGGCACATCGTGCTGTTGTAGAGTTTCTCTGTTGTTATCCTTCCATCTTGTTCTTGGTCTACCCCGTGCTCTACGTCCTTTTTCTCTTCCCATGTATGCTTTGTATGGTATGGTGTCACAAGGCATTCTCTCTAAGTGGGCAAACCATTTCACTTATGTGATGCCTGATACCAGGAAAGTCTTCAGACAACATACATAACTTGCAAGCAAAAGAGCTGCTGAATTATTAGCTGCACACACCCCAGTGTGTTCCTGGTAACACTACACCAAAGAGTTAAATCCCTGCTTCCCCCCCAAAAAAATTGAATGGCAATTGTAAATTGTGCAGATGCATACAAATTACTTTTTTTATTCTGACCAATGTAGAGTAGGAATTCATTTATGCGTGTGCCTTAGGCATAAAATTAGGTGAGCGACAAATACGAGGGGAAACATTCAGTTACCTCAACTACTGTCAGTGCCCCACCTCAACAACTGCCAGTGCCCCACCTCAACTACTGCCAGTGCCCCACCTCAACTACTGCCAGTGCCCCACCTCAACTACTGCCAGTGCCCCACCTCAACTACTGCCAGTGCCCCACCTCAACTACTGCCAGTGCCCCACCTCAACTACTGCCAGTGCCCCACCTCAACTATTATCAGTGTCCGACCTCAACTATTATCAGTGTCCGACCTCAACTACTGTCAGTGTCCGACCTCAACTACTGTCAGTGTCCGACCTCAACTACTGTCAGTGTCCCACCTCAACTACGGTCAGTGTCCCACCTCAACTACTGTCAAGTGTCCCACCTCAACTACTGTCAGTGTCCCACCCCAACTACTGCCCGTGTCTGACACCAAATATCAGTGTCTCACCTCAACTACAGTAGCCAAAGCCTTGATGGGCTCCAAATCGAGGGCGTTCAGGTACATGACAGCTTTGGTGGGTAGATCATTAGCGTCGGTGACCCGCAGCACCAGGCGATGCTGCATGTGTGGGAACATGTTCATGTGATCACCGATGAAGAAAGTGTCCTTCATGTAGGCCAGCTTCTCCGAGTACTGTGAGGCCAGTTCTATGGGAGAGGTGATTCTATCTGTGATGATGTAGTCCATGAATGAAGCACCGGAGGTGCCTGGGTAACCTAGCCACATTACCTGAGCAAGAGAAGAGAAACAGAATATTAGTTATTGTGTACATGATGTCGTTTTCATAACTTTCACGGCTGTTAACTATGGCAGAAAGTTCTGGTTGTTCGCCCGGCATTGGACTTTGCTCTTGAGACCAAAACTTGTGCATGCATATCTGTTTTACAGATCAGACTTTTATGCAGAGTGCTGGTTCCTCACACACCTTGACTATGAAGGAAACCACCCGAATCAGTCGCCTCCTGCGAGATGTTTGTCAGCGGGTCAGTGGATCTATTCTTTGTTCTCCAAAATTGAGCCCTGGAACCCACATGGGGGATCTAAATAATAAATATCTCTCTCTCTGTATGCCTGTGTCTGCTCATGTAAGGCAGTAAAAATATCCGGCTACAGATGGGAGAGTGTGACCTTCAGCATCCACCCTTAAAAGAACAGTCGGCAGGATAAGTTGTAGTTCACACACATTAGTTGAATGCAAAGATCTCAATGAATAATGCACACTATAGATATCATCCCAGCTTCAGTGTCCAAAAGGAAAAGCTAGTCTGTACAAGCAATGAGCACCCCAAACATACTAGTCTGTACAAGAAATGAGCACCCCAAACATACTAGTCTGTACAAGCAATGAGCACCCCAAACATACTAGTCTGTACAAGCAATAAGCACCCCAAACATACTAGACTGTACAAGCAATAAGCACCCCAAACATATTAGTCTGTACAAGCAATGAGCACCCCAAACATGCTAGTCTGTACAAGCGATGAGCACCCCAAACATACTAGTCTGTACAAGCAATGAGCACCCCAAACATGCTAGTCTGTACAAGCAATGAGCACCCCAAACATACTAGTCTGTACAAGCAATGAGCACCCCAAACATACTAGTCTGTACAAGCAATGAGCACCCCAAACATACTAGTCTGTACAAGCAATGAGCACCCCCAAACATGCTAGTCTGTACAAGCAATGAGCACCCCAAACATACTAGTCTGTACAAGCAATGAGCACCCCAAACATGCTAGTCTGTACAAGCAATGAGCACCCCAAACATACTAGTCTGTACAAGCAATGAGCACCCCAAACATGCTAGTCTGTACAAGCAATGAGCACCCCAAACATGCTAGTCTGTACAAGCAATGAGCACCCCAAACATACTAGTCTGTACAAGCAATGAGCACCCCAAACATGCTAGTCTGTACAAGCAATGAGCACCCCAAACATACTAGTCTGTACAAGCAATGAGCACCCCAAACATACTAGTCTGTACAAGCAATGAGCACCCCAAACATACTAGTCTGTACAAGCAATGAGCACCCCAAACATACTAGTCTGTACAAGCAATGAGCACCCCAAACATGCTAGTCTGTACAAGCAATGAGCACCCCAAACATACTAGTCTGTACAAGCAATGAGCACCCCAAACATACTAGTCTGTACAAGCAATGAGCACCCCAAACATACTAGTCTGTACAAGCAATGAGCACCCCCAAACATACTAGTCTGTACAAGCAATGAGCACCCCAAACATACTAGTCTGTACAAGCAATGAGCACCCCAAACATGCTAGTCTGTACAAGCAATGAGCACCCCAAACATACTAGTCTGTACAAGCAATGAGCACCCCAAACATACTAGTCTGTACAAGCAATGAGCACCCCAAACATGCTAGTCTGTACAAGCAATGAGCACCCCAAACATACTAGTCTGTACAAGCAATGAGCACCCCAAACATGCTAGTCTGTACAAGCGATGAGCACCCCAAACATACTAGTCTGTACAAGCAATGAGCACCCCAAACATGCTAGTCTGTACAAGCAATGAGCACCCCAAACATACTAGTCTGTACAAGCAATGAGCACCCCAAACATACTAGTCTGTACAAGCAATGAGCACCCCAAACATGCTAGTCTGTACAAGCAATGAGCACCCCAAACATACTAGTCTGTACAAGCAATGAGCACCCCAAACGGCAGGGAAGGTTGTGGGGATTTAATAAGTTTTACAACTCTATACAAAGCCAACTCATTTTTCAAATGAGGTAATGATCAATATTATAAGTCATTGTATTTTACAACTTGTTCCATAAGCTTCTAATTTTATTGATATAACTACATGACTACCACCATTTTTTAAACAATTTTAATGCGTGTCTATTATATGGCACACAAAGGCACTTCTGGAGTTATGCAAGTAATTACATTCATCATAAGTTTATTTTTCCTGTCTGGAAACTGAAGGAACTTCCTGCACATAAATTATACATTTCCCCACACACAAAATTTCCCTCATTCTCGCTTACTTGGATTGGTGCCGGCCGGAGAGCAAATAGTTCATTGCGAGCCCCTTTTGTATATCCGTTCATATTGACAAGAATATCTATGCCATCAGCCTGAATCTTGTCGGCAGCCTTGCCGTTGCAAGGAATCTTGGACAAGTCTATAAAATGTTCCGCCTCCTGAGAGATCTTCTGCCTGAAAGTGGTGCTGTCGTCTGGGCTCAGGGAATAGCAGAAAATCTGAAAACAGAAACAAGGGGAAATTATGAATGATCTCTGTCAAATCTGAAGTTATTGAAAGTTCTAAACGGTCTGTTTATAACCATCCATTACAATGAGTAGCTGGCCAAGTGGCTAGAATTCAAGGCTGTCATGCAAGAGAGCAGTGTCCAAACTGGCAGTAAGGTTGTGGAATTATCATTTTTGGGGATCAGGGGCAAAAATCCACACCTGCACAATTAATTTCAGGCAACGGCCCTAGCCATGAGGCCCTAAATCATTAAGTTCAAAATATCCTCCCCACCAAAAAAATACAGTAAATACAGGGAGAAAATGAGTTAAACAAACATGGCAGCAATGATGTACTAGAATGAATTCACTGCCAAGATAAGGATCTGTGAAACAGCAACAAAGAAAAAGCACTTTCATAAGATCAGAACCGAGCTGTCATAAGTGTCAAATCACACACACAAACATCAATAAATTATTTCAGAGGTACTGATGGCATCTCAGCATTGAAGTACAAGAACAGAGAACAACACTAAATAATATAAGGCAGAAAACTATATAATATAAACATCTAAAGTTACAGGCAGACTAGAGATTTCAACCGTACCAATCTCCAACAGAATGTGTAAACTGCGCCCAGGTTACAGCAGCAAACAATTACCCCAAATCTGCCAAGTTTCATCCACAAACAGCCATTACTAACCTCCACCTGAGACCTGTCATGGTGTCCGGGGATACTCTGCATGAGGTGCGAGGTTGGGTGGTTGCCAAAGTCAGAGCTGACATAGCCGATGCGCAGACGTCCCCCATTCAACGGCTCCCTCTTGTGGTGGTAGACTGGCTTGTGTAGCACATTGATCTTCTCCAGGCAAAGGCTGGCATGTCGGGCGGCGATGGCTTTACGCATGGAGTGGGTCAGTGGGTAAAGCATGCTGTGGTGTGGGTGTACTGAAGGTAGCCGATTTTTCTCCAGCTGCTCATTGACTATCTGCACCAATCGTTTCATTCGACTTGGGTAATCTGTCCAATCACAGACGATCTGAATAGAACAAAGAAAAGACATGTTACAATCTGAAAAGCCACATATTTTGTCAACTGAAAAAATCTCAATATTCTTCTTCACGTACATCAGCTGTAAGCTCTAGAGAAAAGTTCTGGGTGTTCATCCACCTTTCCACTTTATTTCCACAATATGAGTGTTGCATGCACATTCTTTCACAGATCTTGCTTATTTGTATGCAGACTGTTTCTTTGCCCCTCAGTCAGATGCCTCCAATTAGTGGACTCATATGACATGCTTGGGGGCAGAAGCAGTGGGTCTATTCTTGCTTCCCCCAGAATGGGGCCCTGAAGCACACGGATATGTTATAGACTCAGGGGCACTTGTGGTCAATATGATGCTAGCTACCTTGACTTTTCAGGACACTACCTAGTACCCATGGTAGGCTGGGTCAATTCTGAACAAGAAAAATCTGCTTCAATATGGCTTTGAACTCTTTAACATTCAGGTCGGCAAGTGAGAGTTCCACTACAAAGTGGTTTCTTGAGCTACATCACTGGCTCAATAAAAATAATGAAAATAAAATATGGTTAATTCTGAGGAGCCACAAATGTAATCCTTGATGATACTGCATATAACATTTATTACAAGACGACCAACTTTTGAAGCCAGATAACAGCAAATTCATTTTATATATAAACTAAACAGTTCTGGCTATTAGCTGCCTGTAATGGCTAGATGAAATATGTAACATTAGTAAGTGGACGATTACCTGTAGGCAGTGTGCCAGATTGCAGTATGCATCTGGAAAATCTGGTTTCAACTTTAAGGCAGTTCTGTAGGAAGCAATGGCTTCAGGAATGTTACCAGAGTCCTGCAAGAGAGAGAGAGATCGCAGCTTAAAGAATATGACTGCAAGATAATCACACTATATATTTACTACTGAATTAAAACAACTTTAGCATTCACACAACATAAACACAGGAATAGCATGGGTTTAACCTGCTCATGTCGAGAAGACTAAATCAAGTTATTACTTCCAGTTGTGAGTTACGTAAAAACTGACGTAGCATTTTGCAGTGACCTCAAAAAAATTCCATTGAATATATTTACACCAGCGCAGTGTTTAAGCAGCTACTTCATAACTTTAATGAACTGTTTTCCCAATGGTCTTTGGCGCAACTAACAGGTTAAGAACTGTTGCTCTAAACAATACAAACACATGCTAGCAAAACACTGCAGGTCTGAGTCAAACAGGCAACACTGATCTCAACCACACAGTAGTAGATTCATAACAGATTCAAGAAAGGTGACCAACCTTATGTATGGAAGCCAGGTTACTGTGTGCATCAGCAAATGCTGGGTTGATCTGTATGGCTCGTGTGTAACATTGCAGAGCACCCTGGATGTCTTGCATCTCTTTCAGGGTGTTCCCCATGTTTGAGTACGCATCAGCAAATGTTGGTGAAATCCTGTTCAGAAACAATACACAATTTGAAATGGGAGAAAAAAGGCTGGGAAGGGGGAGGGTCGGGCACAAAAGATATGCAAAGAATTCTAACCGTTAATTGACAGATAAGCCACTCTAGTGAAAGTGCAAATATAAAAATAAGAAAATGTAGACTTATAAAATGATCCGACATGAAAATTATCAGCACTGTCTCTGGATGAACAGATTGTCTGCAAGTCGCCTTTCAGCCCAACAAAGTGAAACCCTAGTTGCCTGTTAAAAGACTGCATCTATTACCTGTCCCTCCCAAAATAGGACTCCAGAGGGTAACAAATTAATTATACCCAAGATGTGAACCCTTTCAGGTGCTACTTGGGTAAACTGAAGATGCCAACACACCACCATACTTTCAATAAAAAAAGACTGCAACAAACCTGTTACACTGAAAGGAAAATCAGAAAATAATAATGAAATAATTCAACAGCATGTACAGGCCAGCACAGTAACTGGTTTCTGTTATCTGGGAGTAACACATTCTACAACAATGTTAATAAATGTTGAAGAGAAAACCTGACAAGATCAAACATCAAATAAAAGCGATTCATAAACAACTAGGAAGCTGAAGGAGACCGGTTATATAAAATCCCATAATGGTTTAGAAAGAACAGCAGTGGAATAGGAAAAGGCTGTTCAAAAAGAAAATGGATAAACAAATATATTAGGGAGATATAAAGCAGCAATAAAGAATAATAGGTTTGATGACAGCAGCATTCTACAAAGACCTAGCTACAACATGAATATATTGAGTCAGCATGTCTGGCTAGCTAGCTCTCACCTGATGGCTTCCTTATAGTGCATCAGAGCTTCATGCAGCTTTCCTTGCTGCTGTAAAACACTTGCCAGGTTTGAATGGGCCACAGCAAATTCTGGGTACACCTGGCAAGCAGAAAAAATACATCAGTTTTGTTCAGCATAATGAACTAGATTATATGCAACGAGTAAAACTTGACCTCTCTATCAAAAGGAATGTATCAAAACTATTGCAACCAACGGGATTCCCCCCATGAACATGCATGAGTTAATCATCAAATGAAAAAAATATTTTAAGATTGTTTTAAAATTCCCTGAGAGAAACTACTAAGAAGTAAGTTAGGAGTTTTGAGTCGGATTATCTTTACAGCACTCCTGACACATCCAGAGGTTCACATTCCCCTTTCAACATATTCATCAGCGTCAGGCGGTTAATAGTGCCAGTCCTATAATGGCTGACAAGACTTCGTGTGCGTCCGGCTGTGCTGATCTTTACTCCCAAATCTGGTATTCTTAGCAGTGATGTTGACACGCTTCCAAAATCCTCAAAACGTCTCATCTCTCAAGGGGCATTGACGTCTGTGATCCATAGGCTGTGTACAACTAATGCCAGTCTAGCAGATCTTTCATTGCCAACATTCCCTGGGACAAATATGAGGGAGACTGCAACAACTCAATCCACTGTCTGCATATGAAGCCTACCAGATCATGCACATAGAATCACTCAGCACACATAAGCGGGAATAGTCCCGTAATTCTAGCCACATAAAAATTTAATGAAGTACACAAGAAACATAAAACAACCGTGGCAATCCATCCGACAAGACCAGACACAGATCTCTTCCACTGACCTCTAGAGCTTTGAGATACAGCCGGACTGCCTCTTCTGTGTTGCCTTGTTCTCTTTTGATGTTGGCCAGGTTGTTAAGAGAATCAGCATGCGTAGGGCTCAGGCGCAGGGCCGTGTTGTAGCATTCCTCAGCCTCCTTCACCTAGAGATCAAAACAATATGCTTCAAGAGAAACTGTCAGCAGCAAACAAATTTAAGTCTTTATTACCGACAGAATATACGTTTATCACACACATCTGATATTTTGCAGAACATCAAGAGAATGTCAGTAGCAAAATATTCAAATCTTCATTACTGACAGAATATATTATATTCATTGTGTATCTGTTACTTTAGAGAACATCTCGCATCACTGCACACTGTACCCAGGTATTGGCCAACTTTCCTGCCTCATGACCAATCAAGTATCACTGAAATGGCTCAACCTGCTGCATTCTCATACACCAAAAAGTACTCTTTATGAACTGAGCAGAAAAAAAGAAGAGCCTATTCTAGAGATCTCTTCCTGCCCTGATGCTGTGAGGCAGTCCGGGAGTAGAAAAAAAAAAACCAGATTCACAACAAAGACCAGAGATCAGAAGAGAGAAACACATCCGGTAAGGGCACACAAAAAGTTGCGTATCCTTTACAGGACGTTGCAGAACAAACCCCATCATTGGCTGTTGAGGTTTTTCTAGGCAAATTTATGTCTAGTAGTTTACCAGCTTTCTAGACAGTCCGGCTTCTTGTTACCACTGTCGAAACCAACGCATAGCACGCAGCTGGGATCGAACCCAGCATTACAAGGCATGTGAGCAACGCCTAAGCCACAGACGCTGACAAGGGCACATGTTGACATGTATCACACAATGTAAGGCTGAAGTTACATTTGTTCTATTGAAACAAAACAAAAAACCATACACAACATCAAATGATGGTTCAAATGACAAGAAACAAATGCCTCACCTGTCCCTTTTCTTTCAAGGCATTAGCCAGGTTACAGTAGGCATCAGGGAAGTTGGGTTGTAGCTCTATTGCCCTTTTGTAGGTATCGATTGCCAGGTCAATGAGTCCCTGTTCATAGTAGACACACGCCAGGTTGCCATGTACAACGGCATGATTGGGGCTCAAGTTTAGGGCCCTCAAGTAGGCAGCTACAGACCTGTCCAACAACAAATGCAATTTTAATGTTAAAAAGTTTCTAAAAAGTACAAAATATGGAGCTCTAAGTTATACGGCTTAAGACCAAACTACTTGTAATGAGTGGAATTTCCGCAAGGGTTTCCTAACAACTGTATAAAACTAAATATAGCATAAGTGAGGATTTTGTGAGAACATGAAGTCTAGAGAAAACACGAGATACTTGAATAGTGCTAGTATGATAGCACAAGAACCAGAACAGGGGTTTGAAGGACAAAGGTTTTGTCGGTTTCGCAGCCAGAGATTGTGGTCAAGAGCAGCATGAATGTGATATTGCATAATTGAAACCTGGAGGAAAGTTTGAAACTACGAGATGGCAGCCTAGCCAGAGTTAAATCAAGTCAACACCCAACCTGATGGTGAAACTTAACTACCAGCTGTCAAAGATGCCTGTTCGGTGCCTGTGTGTGTGACGTGTAGGTAACATCAAGACTGCAAGGTAACGAACGTGTACATATGATACAAGCGGTATAACAGCATTTCTCTAAATCTGTGACCATGCTAAAGCAGCGGACAGTGACTGGAACAGGTTGTCTTTTGGAGTGAATAAACGGTATAACAGCATTTCTCTGAATCTGTGACCATGCTAAAGCAGCGGACAGTGACTGGAACAGGTTGTCTTTTGGAGTGAATAAACGGTATAACAGCATTTCTCTGAATCTGTGACCATGCTAAAGCAGCGGACAGTGACTGGAACAGGTTGTCTTTGGAGTGAATAAACGGTATAAAAGCATTTCTTTGAATCTGTGACCATGCTAAAGCAGCGGACAGTGACTGGAACAGGTTGTCTTTTGGAGTGAATAAATGGTATAACAGCATTTCTCTGAATCTGTGACCATGCTAAAGCAGCGGACAGTGACTGGAACAGGTTGTCTTTTGGAGTGAATAAACGTGAACTGCAAGGCTGCCTCTTCATTACCATCTGTAAGCGTAAACCCGTCATCTATGTGAGAAACAACATTACGCCCCAGACCCGTCATCTATGTGAGAAACAACATTACGCCCTAGACCCGTCATCTATGTGAGAAACAACATTACGCCCTAGACCTGTCATCTAAGTGAGAAACAACATTACGCCCTAGACAACAGCTAGCACACAGAAGACAACTTTGCACTACCAATCTTCATTTCTTAATGTCATTTCAATTCTAACACATGTCAGAGAACTACCAAAGATATGGAACAAAAGTTGAATGCATGAGACCATGAATATCTAAGAAAAACAAACACAAAAATGGGATGACATTTTTTTTTTAAAATAAGGAAATAGAAATGTCTGGACAAATACCTGGGTCAACTGCAATAAGACCAAGAAATAGAAATGTCTGGACAAATACCTGGGTCGACTGCAATAAGACCAAGAAATAGAAATGTCTGGACAAATACCTGGGTCGACTGCAATAAGACCAAGAAAGTGGAGATATACTGGAACCCTCCGAGATGAAATGAGTAAAGGATAATAAAATAAGCACTAAAATGAGAAAGTCTCAGAAAAAGACTGTCCAAAGCTAACATTAAGAAAATTATTACGAGAAGCTAAAAAAAAAAAAAAAAAAAAAAAAAAAAAACGCTGTGTGGTGTCTGCTGTCATAAAGAATAGGACCACTGCATCCTCTCAGTATGTGGTAAGTGGCGACTAAAAGGAGTTGCACGTGGGGCCAGCAACTCTGCACTGTTGGGGAAAAAATTATAATAAAAATACTGTTATAGAAACAGACAAATATCTGTCTTATGTGCATCTAGGCGCGATGATTGATTGAAAGAAAAGTTACACCGAGTGGCATGCAACAGAGCATAGTGAAGGAATTGAATACAAGTGCTTGAGACCATAAGCTGTTTATAAGCAAGCTTTCTTCGTTGCTCAGATCCGGTCCATACTATCATTCCTCAAACTAAATGGCATCCGAAGGAAGCAGCACAAATGTAATATAATGCTCCAGAAACAATAACCACACAGAAACTGTCTCTAATGTTTACCTGTCAAAAATCCTGGCTTCTTTCAAGACATTGCCAAGGTTTATGTATGCATCTAGGAAGTTTGGATCCAGTGCAACTGCCTAAACAAAAAGATTCAATGTGCCTTTAGGTAACAAGTTATTTAAACACACCAAAGTTACATATTCAAAGAAAAAAAAGTGGTTGAAACTTTACATCAAATTCACAAATAAAGTGCACACGATCTACAAAAGAAAATATTTAAATTAAAGATATTCTACGACCAGATCAGATGTTCCCCGAATGTAACATTATTTTCAATAGTGCAGTACGAGAGACAATTGAACATTCGAACTAAGGACACATGAAGTTCGACAGAAGCTAGAAGTGATTTTTCTACGTTGGTACACATAGACAATGCAAGGCAAAAGTAACAAGCTAAAGGATAATTCGGCCTATAGGGCTAGATCTATATTTTTCAGACTAATCGGCATTTGGTGGTGATGCAGTCAACATATCACACAGGCTGCCTTCACTTCCCAGGGCTTCGCCTGGCACCAATTACAGGCCAAACCATACAGGGGGGGGGGGGGGGGGGGGGGGTGATAAAATCAGAAGATGAAATGTACAATTCAAGAGAGACAAGCTCTTCAGTATAGAGACAGCACTGGGCTGGAGAAATATACAGAATAACACCATCATGTAGGCGTAGTCAAAATACTTGATATTGCTGTATATCAGGAAGCTTAACCCAGTCAATCAATACACCCAAAAAGAAGGATGTGTCAGGCGAAAAGGCACAAATATTGTAGCTCCGTTATAAGACACAAAATTTCCAATGAAGAACTCTGTATGTAGACATACTTCAACTACACTTATGAGATGAACTTAAGACATGTGCAGCCATTGTGTAACAACACTTACATGGTGAAGTAATCCCATTCCATGTAATAATAAGGATATAGTGAAGGGACATAAATCTAACTCATGCATTAGAGGTCAAGCGTGACTTCTGACTAGAGATGCCAAAAACTGAGACCAGACTGCCACAATAATCACACACGCAACAGCTAGTCCGCGATCTTAACTTACCTTTTCAAAATGGTGAATGGCCAGCCAGATTTCTCCCTGCGCATTGAACACGCAGCCGAGGTTACTCCAAGCCACAGCAAAGTTGGGACATGTCTCAATGGCCTTTAAGTAACACGCCTGTAACCGGGCAATGGGAAAGGGCCAAATACATAACGATCAACAACAATGTCTAAGATAAATGTTCGCTGGCGCTGCTGCTTTGCTTGCTGCGCGCTGGCGCTTGCTCGCACGCTACTGCTTGCTGCATATTGCCTCGCTTGGTGCTTACGCTTCTAACGCATCGGCGCAGCTGTGATTATAGAAAATTAAAGGCTGACTCAGAAACAAGCACTGCAGCCTTGAACTTCCTAGTACAGCATCACTGAAACCATGCCCTTTGAATGCAGCATTTCATTTGTGAGAAAATTTCTATCGGCCATAAAACTGCGGCAGGACATTAGCTGGATATATCAATCAAGGATCGCAATAAAAGAAGCCACATAATGAGAGCACAGCTGCATTGAAAGGACAAGACGCGCACGCTAATTTACTGCCACGCTGAGCTCGTACCAGTCTGAAATTCGCACGAATTACCACAAACCAAAACATTGGTCTATGCTGATGGCTCTTAAACAAATGTTTAACTGTGTTTCATTAATTTATTATTATAGTCTTCCCACCTTTATTTTTTCTTTTAACCCAATGAAAGGAATAAAAACAAATAAAAAACACCCATCTTCCCAACTTTATTCCTACACTTTTGTTGCTCCTCCCTTAAAAAAAAAATCTGAAACGTTTTACACCAGAAAAGAGCCTTGCAGACTGCTACCAAAAAAAAAAAATGCTACCAACGTATACAATACCTTGAAGAAAATAAAACCACAATTTTGATATAATCCTACCAGGATGATTCAGTTCCAGCAGTAGTGCGGCAATAAAATCCATGGCTGTGTACTCTGTGGAGTCATTGTCGTACATGAAGAAAGCACGCTGCATCTATTTATAAACCAAAGAATTCAAAAAGTACAAGTATTAGCTTTGTTCTCTGACCAACTGTCTTATTTAGAGATAAAACAATGTCCAAGTTTCTTTTGTATCCTTTAAAGCAGGAGAGTAATTTGCAGTACAGCAGGAAGAACGGACACAGAAAGCAACTGAATAGAAAGAACATCAACTGACATTGCACAAAGAGAAATTAGGTATGGTGGCATTTCTTGCAAGAACCATCTTTTTAGCTGACACACTTAACAGTATCAAGACCATTAACAACTAATTAGGAAAATAGTAATGGAAATGAAATGTCTTAGAAGAGCTTGTTATAGTAGCAAGGAGAAAGAAAGTTGAAAATGAAATGAGAACAGTAGGGCTGAACCTAGCTGAACAATACAATTGAGAGATTCCATGGTGTGGCCACACCACACTGAAGAAATATAAGCAAAGAATAACAGGAAAGATTTCAAGAGATGGAACAACTGCATCCGGAAAACGAGAAATTAAAAACAAGGAGGAAGAAAGGCGAGATAGTTTGGTCTCATCTGCGATTGGTTTGAAAGGTCAAAGAATGTATGTGTTATGAATATGGCACTAATGTAACGTACTCTACCAGAGCAGAAGACGGACAAATGAGAGGGGTGGTGGGATGACAGTTTCTTCTTCTCTGTTCATCCGAAGACAACGGATGAAAATTATACTGCAGAAAAAATGCTAAGCAAAGCCTAGAATGTGTGGCCCTGTCGAGATTCTAGGAATAACCCTACAGATATAATTACAATATTAACATGTAATCTAAGAGCTAAAATAAAAGCATTCCCAAGAAAAGCACTTATCAGACACTCTTGCCTGACAATTTAAAACAGTAGTACAATTTGGGGGTCACAAATATGCTAAATCAAACAAGGGAAATAAATTTGTTAGAAAACAGAAAAACATTACTCATCATGTAGACTTGGTGCGATAACGGGGCATCGAGCTAGTCTGATGAATGCGGTGAGCTGTGAAATGACTGAAAATATCATCTATAAGTGTGGACTGGGACAGCTGAAATCAAAACAAAGCCAAACCTTTCACAAGTGCAGCCTGGCTATTACCACTTTACAAAACTTTCACTTCCGATCCAGGCTACTCAAAATAGCTTCAGAAAAAAAGACATTTTAGCATTATGTTCAAGAAACAAACAAAAGCTTTACAAAATGAAAGGTTTGGCAGGCAAATAAATGTTAAAATTTGAAGAAAAAAATACCCTGTAATCCCCCGAAAATATCAAATAATTGAAATATAAACAAAATAAAAATCAGGGATCAGCATCTGGCGGGGTGGTCTTCTGTGAATTCTCAATAAGCAAAACTGCCAGCAGTAAAAACTGTCTATATTGGCAGTGAGGGATTCCAATGTTTCAGGTGGATCATTCTGGACAGGATTTAGAAATGCATACATCCAAAAATGAAAGGGGCCAATGCAATTTGTATATGCCTTTACTATACCCCCCAAGAGAAAACAATGTTACCCTTTGTTTCTGATAGCACACCTTGAGCACCACATAACACCTACACGAGCAGGTGTAATGAGAGCAGCGTACATGTGTTTCCAAAACATCCCTTAGTTTTATGAAAGGCAATGATAGCAAAGTGCAGTTTCCATGGGGTAGGCGGTGCTTTTCACAATTGTTTTAATAGGGGATAAAGGACTAACAGCATGTCAGCTTTAAACATCACTGGCAGTTTTGCTTAGCTGGTGGGAACAAATAAAATGAGATTAGCAATTTGGGAATGCTTGCATGTATGTAGAAACACTGATATCACTGGCTCCTATGTGTTAGTGTGTCTAGCCTTGTCTGCAGCATCTACTCCATAGATATGGACCTTACCTTAGCTTCGTCTAACCGACCCAAGGCTTTCAGCAGGTTGCCCAGGTCACTCCTGACACAGTAGAGGTCCTGGCAAGACAACAGAAACCAACAATGTTTACATCTGCTTTATCATTCACTGTAAGAATTCAAGGGAAAATTAAATGGAGAAAAGAAATGTGAGAATGTGCAATGCTCAGCTAGACTACTCATATCAACAGATGGATGCAGAGATATAGTTGTTTTTTATAACAGTTTGTGTGAGGCTGCCAAGATATCATTGTTCTTCAGTATTCTGAGCCCTAGAGGTTCACTACCACAGATGTCACCTGCCTCAGTCCGTCTGAGTGGCCCTCTTTCTAGTTGGTGATTCCATGTGTCTGACTAGATATTTCACACATTCCATATTTAAACTCTCAAAAGTCATTTGACATTTCAGGGTCATTTTTCCATTTAAATCCATCTGAAACGAAGGTTTAAGACATGTTTCGTAACAAAATGAAGTTGTCAGAAGGCGGGGTGTCAGCGCCACACTTCAACCCCAAAACCAGGATGTGTCGTTTTTCAATGATGTGACTTGTTTTTATGCCCTGCTGGCAGCTATGCTATCGTTGACATAGGTCTCTGACTACAAGCAACCCCACAATGTTAGGTCAACAGACAGACTGTGTATCTGTGGTTGGTGACAAGAACCATTGTTAAATGGGTAGAAATTGTCCTTGTGATTGTCAGTCCGATGTTCCCCTTGTGGGTACCAGGGTCCAAATGGGGAAGGGGGTAAGGACAGGGTGAATAGCCCCGCCGTCCCCTAGCATGCATCTCAAAAAGCAACTAATTAGAGATTTGCACTTCAAAGTCGGAGTGCATCTGCCTGAGTAGTCAGGTACCAACAGCCTAAAAAAAAAAAAGCATGATCTCTAAAAGAGAGATGTGCTTCTAAAACCCCCAGTTCTGGAACAAGACTAAAATCCACAGGACAGACAACCACAACTTACCACCTAAGTTTACCGCCAGTGACTGATAAAAGCCTAATGCGAGCCACAAAAAGAGTCTAGACTGGGTTGGCAACGAGTTTTCCAAGGTCATTGATGTTATGGATCAAAACTTCTAGATGCCCTCCTCTTAAACTGCCCAAAATTATTTATAAAGAAAAGTATAACACACATGAATCATGAGAATGCCAAGCTGACTTAGGACCAACCTTCACTCCTCCACTAAATGTTAAACACCACAACACAGCATGAAACAACTTACAGGATTGTATTGTAAAGCTGTCACGTAAGCCTGAACTGCCTGCTCCATGTCTCCGGCTGCCACCAGAGCCGCCGCTAAGTTGATGTACCCATCAATAAAGTCTGGTTTCAGCCGCACTGCATGTCTGTAATTCTCCAGGGCATCAGCCAACTGGTTCCTCTCCTTGTACACATTTCCTAGATTGGAATAGGCTTCAGCCAGCATTGGGTTTTGTTTGATTGCTAACTGGCTGAAGTATGCAGATCTGAAACAGAAAACGTCTGGATGAAACCTCTAATACTGATTTGCTAAATTAGCGTATTGACACATACAGTTCAATCTTTAACTGTATGGAATCTAAAACACTTGACTTCAAATTCCAAGTGTATTGTTGGGTTCAACATCTTTTGAGCCTGAGGTCAACACTGTAAACCTCTGCTATGCTTCCTTGGAAACCTACAGGAAATCTCATCAGGCTTTCATTCTTCCTCAGTTTCTGCTTTTTCACATTGACCAGAAACAAAATCCAGCGGAAAGTTCTGGTTGTTCATGCACTTCAGGACTCTTGGTCTTCTTGCAGAACCTGACTTGTGTGTGCACATTCATGTGATAGATCAGGCTTATCTGAACGGCACTTCAGCTTCTTCACCTCCCAGGCAGATGCACTCAGACTTTGATGGTAACACCCCTAATTAGCTAACAAGAAATGGTGAAGCGGGCAGTGGGTCTATTCTCCCATCCCACACGGGGACCATCCCAGTTCAAACCAGAGGATTCACTGCAACAATGTTATAAATGCAGCTCTGCTGTGTTCATTATATTCAGAAGACATGCAATATGAACAGAAGTTGAACAGTTTTTTTTAGTTGCATATCCTTTACAGGATGTTGCAGAAATAACCCAAGCATTTTTTGGTTGTGTTTTATCTAGGCATTACAAAGCGTGTTTACAGCGCTTAAGCCAGACGCCGACAACAGAAGATGAACACAGGAAACAAGATAAATACCTTTCTAATCTTCTACACTGAAAATGTATGGAGCTGAGAAGGAGCAGCACCCCAGTGTTGTCTGGCTCCTGGCGCCACAGCTGCATACAATGAGCTTCCGATCGTTCATAGTCCCCTGCTTGGTATTCCCTGTGTGCTAGCTCCGCTAGACCTGAAACATCCCAGTCAAACAGTTATGCGATTCAAATAAAGCATTTTACAGTAAGCATTTATGTTGCAAACACAGATTTATATATATATTTTTTAAGTACTGCACGTTTTTTACAGAGCGTAGAACTAATCACAGCAATTTTATTTTTTTTCGGGCTGTTAGTAATTTTACTAAGAAAATTTTCTGGTTAAGGTGTCATTTTTTTCTAGAACTGTTGGCTCTAGGCACCAATGCCCAAACCAAAGCAAGCTTGTCTGCTGTCACCATGCCCGCAGCTTGGACTAAATCAAGCTGGCACCACAGAATTACAAAGCATGTTTGCAATGCCTAAACTACTTATGTCAACAAATACATATTACCTCCATTGTATTATTCAATACGTCAACGATAATTTACCAGGCAGGATTCCGCTTATTTGAAAATGTCATGTGTACAGATAATCTCTTTTCCAAATGATTTAGATAAAGGGAAAATGGCTATCCTCCGAATAACAGGCACAAAAGATGGCAGCCGCAAAATATCCTGACGAGCCTCAGTCAAGGCGACTAAATTTGCGGTTTTCTGGCGACTACCGATACCACCATGAGTCCCCTAAGCGGCGTGGATTGTGGCTAAACTAGATGGCTAGGACTCATGAGCAAAGCTGCAGGAGATGAAGCTGCTGCTCATAAGTCCTAGCCATCTAGCTTAGATCCCCAATGCACACCACATGAGGGCCGTGAGGGACTCTTGGTGGTGGCGGTTGTTGCAGGAAAACCACAAATTAAGTCGCCGGAAGTGCGCAATTGACACGCAACTGAAGCTGAAATATCCTTACAGGGCTCAGTCGCATTAAAAATATGCGAACTTCTGACGCAGATTAGCGTCGTCGTTGTCCTCAAACTTTTCGGCATGCGCAAAACGCGGTTACACTCACCGCTGACAGTATCCCTCGCGCCGCTACGCGCGGTGCGGATGGGGGGGGCTTAACTAGATGCCTGGGACTCACAAGCAAATTAATTGGAGGAAGTTGCAGGAGATATGGTAGCTGCTGCTCGTGAGTCCCAGCCATCTAGTTTAGCCCCCATCCGCCCCGCACGTAGCGGCGGATACGGTCGGCGGTGAGACATAGTCACAAAAACAAGTCCGCAATTAACATATCGCTGAGACCCAGTTAGAGCATTTGTTTCGCTTTACGGAGCCCATCCTAGTTTTGCCGTGATTCGTTCGTCGCCAGAAGTTCGCATATTTTTAATATGACCGAGTCCTGTAAGGATATTTGTTTGTAATGTAATGCGGGGGTAGAAGTTTGGAGGAGAGCCGAATATTCTTTACTGTATATAACTATTAACAATCTAGTTTACCTTCAAAGTCAATAATTAATATATGAATATTCTTTACTGTATATATATATATATACATATATATATATATATATATATCTAATCATCAACAATCTAGTTTACCTACCTTCAAAGTCAATGATAATTAGGTTATTTTTAGCCATAACCATATGCCATATGCATATACAGGAAAAGGATGCCTGTGAAAAGTCCTAATAACCAAGTAACCAAGCATCAACACAACAGTGTGAAATATCAAAGAGAAACGGTTGGGCGTTGGAACAAGCTGTCTTTGAAAGCTCTATGATTATTCAACGGGAACACTGTTCCTCTTGATCTTTTTCTCCGTTGTGAAGTAGCTACAAAAACAAACTGAATTTTTTTATCAGTGTCAAATTTTGCACAACTTGTCAGTCTCCGCTTGGAATGGATGTCGCGCAATAATTTCCTACTACGTTTCAATTCATCATCTGTGTCCACCCAGCTCCCGTCCCGTAATCGCGACATTTGGAAAATTTTAGGGGGCAAGCAAGTGCCTCCTACTCTAGCAGGAGTTTCAGCAGCGTTCCAGACATCATGGCAATGTCGATGTTTTACTTGCGGCTTCAGCTAAATCCACGCTATATTATCAATACTAAATGGTGAAATGTATATCAAAATGATATGTGATATGATTACAAATTAAATCAAAAGTCCGTACCTGTGGAGTCCAACTGCGCCATAGGCATCGTTCTTATCTCTCCTTTCTTTCAATGTCTCAATTCGCACAAATAATGGCCAACCTCTACGACCGTTACGTTTCTTGTTCTGTAAAGCAGATTTCTATGAACTTAGCCGTCCCAAATCTACAAACACAAATTGTGTTGATAATTTAGAATTAAATAATTACGCCTAATCCGGCGCCGACAAAGAGATAATTACAGAAATGACACCATTGTCAGAGATGAGAAAAACTGTCCCCACCTAAAGCGACGTGCTGCAGACAACTTCCCTCTCTCCACGGCTGCTGACGTCATCCAGTCATGTGACACCTCGTATTAGCATAATTACTGTTTTATATCACTTTCTTTCGTATTAACCAGAATAATCAAAGGACAAACTATTTTTTCAGCATATTTATTAAAAAATCACCTCGGTAATTAATAAATATACATTTATGTCTATGCAGTAATCTTTAATTACAGGGAAAGTGCAAAAAAAAGAACAGCCGGAAATGACGTCATGGCCTAGATAGAGGGCTGCAGATATGGAAAATTTTCCACTTTCCACAAGGTAGTTCTAAATATAGCGGCCATGACGCGGGGGCCGGCCTGCTGCGGGTCTGGCAGGGTGGCGGCCGTTTGGGGGAACAAAGCCAAATATGGTACACCAACAATAAAGCATATCTTAATCACGCTGTTGTGAGATGGATGTGAGACTCGTAAAATGTGTTCAATACTCATGCGGGAAGATATATAGTGACTAAAGTGTTAACAATAAAGCCGACGTTTTTGAAACTATGATGTTAAAAGTAGAGATAAGTTTCATATCTTGGGTGGAAGTAGAGACAAGTTAGAGGCTGTAGTAATGACCAAAAGCGATACAAATCAGTAATGAGATCACACGAGATCAAGTCGGTACAGAACCAATTCCAAATTACATACAAAGACAGCAAATAAAATGCTTTGCCCATTTGAAGAAAATGCCTTCTGATGGTATACCATACAAAGCACATACCAAAAGAGGAAAGGGACGTAGAGCAAGAGGTAGACCAAGAATAACATCAGATAAACTCTACAGCACCACACTATGTCTATGGTCGAAGCAGCCAGAGGAGCACGATGCTGGACCTTATATCTCCCTCGATACTCGTAGTGGTAAAAGAGGAAGTAAAGAAAAGGGGGCGGGGAGAAGAAGAAAAATAAAGAGAAGGGACTCACAGCCCATGGCGACGGCAAGTGTGACTAGCAAGACCCGCACGTGTTGAGAAAAGTTGGTACTTTCTTGTTATCCGACCACAAACAGAGAAAATCCCCAGGTAACTGAAAAGTCAAACATTTCATGGGATGGTAGATTAAGCATATAGTTAGTGTTAGGGTTAGGGTTAGGTAAACGCTCGAAAACCTTGGCCTCGGAAGAAACTCGCTAAAGCACAGAAACCACGGAAAATCCGCTGTTAACACCGTCTAAAATATTAGACTTCCGTTACGTCATTTGTGGTGGGCTAAAAGGAAAGCACCCAAAAGTCTCCCACAATTATGGCATGAAACTTCAGGGGTGTTTCTCTCAGCTCTCAATTGTCAGCAATCATTTTCCCCCCATACTCATTCCCTTTCTGATGTGTCCCTCCACACAACACGGTCCATGGCATCTTGTTCCCAGGAGTCCACCTCAGCACCTGTATCATTCATGTCCCTCATGCACACGTCTTTATATTGTAATAGAGGTCAGCCTCGCCATCTTTTACACATCTTCAGTTCACCATAGAGGATTCCCTTAGGGGCTGTGCCATCCTCCATTCTCCATTTGTGACCCAGCCACCCGAGCCTTCGTAAACTGAGCATTGTGAAAACTGGTATAATACCTGCTCCTTCTTCTTCGCGTTTACCAGCTGTACACTGGCGGAAAGTTCTGGTTGCTCGTCCACAACTGAACTGACATCGGGCTCCATAACCAGAGTGTTGCGTGTGCATCAGTTTTTCAATCTCATTGTCTTTAATACAGACTGTTGGTTCCTTGCCTCTCCGGCAGATGCACTCCGACTTCAAAGGAAGCTCCCCAATTAGTCGACTCTTACGACATGCTTTTGGGGAGGCAGTGGGTCTATTCTTGTTTTCCCCACAATGGGGCCCCGGAACCCACACGGGGGCCTGCTCCTTCTATTACAACATTGTTTGTGATCTTGTCCTGTCATTTAATGCCAAGTATTCTTCTTATGCATCTCATAGGAAAGCTATTTAGTCGTTTCTCCTGATGCGAATAAATTGACCAAGTTTCACTGCCATAAAGCAGTGCGCTGAGACCGGTTCCCACGAAAGCCACATTGTGTCCCTGGTTAAAACTGGTCTCTTAAGATCTGGAGTCTTCGCAGAACAATTCTTCTCACAAGTACACCCCCCCCCCCCCCCCCCCAATCCCACAGTACACATCAGTAATATTACCCTGTAGTTATTGCAGTCACTCCGGTCACTCTAGTTTTTGTAGATCGGGTTCGATCCCAGCGGCGGGCCATGCGCCTTGCGTTGGTGTCGACAGTGGTATCAAGAAAGCCGCCCGTCCAGTAACAATGGCAAACTACTGGACGTAAATTTGCCTAAAAAAAACCACACAACAGCCAGGGGCTGTTGGAGTTGGTTTTGCAACGTCCTGTAAGGATACGCAACTAGCCTATGAGGCTTCAGTCTTCAAAGTCTTGCGGAACATGTACCTCACGCCAACAGAGTGGTTTACGATGAAGAATTTGTGAGGTTAAAATATCTTTCCCATTCCTGATGATCACAATAGGAATTCCATCTATGCATAGGACCTTTCCTGAAGCCAGTTTTTCAGCAGCATTCCTAACTTCCACAATTGTTGGAAATGTGTCTTGATAGTAAAAAGTTGGTAGCGTCTTCACCGCATTAAAAGCAACATCTGTTAGTTTAGACTCAACTGAGTACAGCTCAGAATAATGTTCCACCTATCTATCTAGTTACTTGTTCTTGTCGGTAATAACCCCCACCCACCCCTCTCCTGTTCAAACTAAATAGTAAAGCCAATTGCCTTCTTTATCCCCTCAGACATGACTCTAATATTACCACTGCTGTTAGCATTTTGAATGCTTTCGCATAACTGGATCCAGTATTCGTTGGAACACTGACTAGACAGAGTGAATAACACTATCAATGTCAAAAAAAGGATGCGTCTCAAAAGAGGCTGCTCCTGGATGGTCGAGGCTGAAAATCGAATCCAGTAATTGTGTGAATTTGTATTTGTGTAGTATTGTTTGATTTATATGTGCTGATGAAGGCTCCATAACTGCAACGTTCACGTTTTGTTTGTATTTGTTATATTGTAAAGCCTGCTAATATACTTTTCGTTCGGTTTTATATCTTTTCGTGACCTACACCATGCCTGTTAAAGAAGGTCCTTTGAGGGCCATATGGGTCATATTTGTGTCGTCATGGGTGCCACACACAACAACTAATTAAAGTCATTTGATAAAAAATGTTGCATAATATTTCTGTTGTACGAGCCGCGGATGTGCTTACAAAAGGCCCATGTCGTGTGCGGGCCGAAGTTCGACGTGCTTGACGTAGATGGAAAATAAGACGGATTCATCTGAAGACATAAATGACTTGTCTACGGCTGTCGTAAGACTAAGGAGGTACTGCAAGGATCATATACCGGAATAACACACAAAGTTTGGTAAACAGACAGCGCAGGGATAAAACGAACATCGTTGTTTATGGAGATTGTGTCCTCGTCATTCTTTTGTAGGTTAGTGAAACTTGATCTACTTACGAGTATCAGGAGAAAAGTGTGATGTCTAGGACAGATACTGAAGTCCTGGGAAGAGAAGCTGTCACAACAGTTTTCTTCTTCTTTTTTGTTCACCATATGCAAGCTCCGGTGGAAAGTCCTATTTGTTCGTATTTAGTCTTTGGCTCTGTGCCAGGGCCTGAGTTTTGCGCGTGCATCCATTTTACTCCTTATTTGTGTGCAGTTGGTTGTTCCTTGCCGCTTGGCAGATGCACTCCGACTTCGAAAGACGCCCCCAATTAGTCGATTCTTCTAAAGCCAGTGAATCTATTCTTGTTTTTCTTGAAACCCACAAGAGAAACATCAGTTTTCTCAATGCTGAATCTTCGAAGACCCAGTTGGCCAGGACACCTCGAAGGATGGGAGATGATAGTATAGTCCCTAAGGACATCCTCTGTGATGAATTACAAGAGAGCTAGATGTCAGCCTACGATATAAAGACGTGTGCAAAGCGAGACAAGCATGATACAGGTGTTGAGGTGGATTCATGAGAACAGGATGTTATGGATCGCATTGCAGGGAGGGAGCAAATTGGGAAGGGAGTAGGGGCAAACGAGAACAGGACTGCAGACAGGTGAAGAGCTGCGTCTGCAAATACATGGGATGGCAATACTGGTCCTGACATCTCATGAACATATTGTGGGATGTTCTTAGCTCTAGTGTCATGTCTTGGTCAAATATTGGACACCCCCCCTACTTACTAAAGAAAGCCCCCAGGTTAAGGAAAAGGCATTACCCCTAACCATGGGGGAAAACATATTTAAGGGAAAATACAAAACATACAAAAAATGCCCCAAACACTTAAAAAAGGTTGAAATAGAGGGCCTTAAAATCAGCCATGAAAATGAATGCAGGTAAACAAAAATAAAATAAAATATATAAAAATGAGACAATTGCCCGATCTCCCAGGCTAGATCTCAGGATAAACCTGTCCAAAATCACAAAGAATAACACAGAAAAAGGTCCCTTTGGGGAGGGCATTTGTTATCACGGACAAAACCCAGGAGCTGTGAGGAAAAAAGAAAAATAAGGCGTCAAAAATGCCCACTTAGCCTCTTTTTGTCTATGAGCCTCCCTCAGCTCTCCGATATTGAAGTCTTTGACTCTGGTAATCTCCCCCCAAACCCGGGGTCCCGGGAGTGAAAGGTACTTTTACCATAGGGAAAACCCGCAGCAACTGTACCCCCAATTTTTGCAAATTCCCCTTCACCAGTAAGGGCACACAATG